CCAGGTAGTCTGCATCTGCCAACATGGCTCAGACTAGAATTTAGTGACTTCAAACACTGATGCCATGTTTTGGTTTGGCCGCCCCTAACTCTCTTCCAACCATCCCCAACACTAGTCATCATAGCGCGTCGTGGTAATCGGTGTTCAGGCATACGTAACACGTGGCCCAACCATCTCAGTCGATGAATATTCATGACCTCATCAACTGATTTACCATCGTCCCCTAATACCCTGCGTCTAACCTCACTATTACCTACCCGGTTATCCCAGCAGATGCGAGCAATATTTCTAAGTTATCTGTGGTCAAATACTAGTAACCTACGAGTATCTTTTACTCTTAATGGCCATGTTTCATAGCCGTAAAGTAGAACAGAACGAACTGCTGCGCAGTATACTCGTCCCTTAATCGATAGACGGATATCTCGTCTTCGCCATAGGTGACGTAAGTTTGCAAAAGCCAAACTAGCTTTTTGAATCCGTGCTGAGATTTCGCCAGACACCAACCCATTAGGGCTGGTTAGACTTCCAAGATAAGTGAATTTGTCGACGCGTTCGGCTACTTCACTCCCTATCCTTAGTTCAGGTGTTGACGCAGGCCAGTCCTGGAGTAACAATTTACATTTGGATGGGGAGAAACGCATCCCAAACATCCTGGCATTATTACTGAGTTCCAACAGAAGACTGCATTTTGTCATTGTCTTCACCAAACAGGACTATGTCATCTTCGTATTCTAAGTCGATAAGTGAACATCCTGGTAGAAGATCAACTCCTGAAAATTCAGTCGACGAGAGTGTCATTTCCAGCAACAGGTCTATAATGAAGTTAAACAAAAATGGGGATAGTGGACAGCCTTGACGGACACCACTTGAGGTTGTAAAATCATATGACAGTTCGCTATAAGGTCTCACTCGACTGGTAGTGTTCGAGTAAAGAGCCTTCACAAGGTTTATGTACTTCTGAGGTACACCTTTCAATGACAGACACTGCCACAGAACCTCTTGGTCTAGAGAGTCAAATGCTGCTTTCAAGTCAAGAAAAACTATCATTGTCGGACGCCGATAAGCATGTCTGTGCCCTAAAACTCGACGAATGGTGAATATGTGGTCGATACAGCCACGACCAGGTCTGAAGCCAGCCTGATTTTCTCGTGTTTGCAGTTCACGAGTTTTAGTTAGGCGCCTGATAATTATTGAGGCTAGTATTTTAGATACTATGTATGTCAGACTAATCCCTCTATGGTTATCACAGGATGATTTTGGCCCCTTCTTATATATTGGGACAATCAGAGATTGTGACCAGTCAGATGGGATTACGTCCGTCTCCCAGATTTTAGCCAGAATATTAGTCAACCTAATCGCTAAAATTGGACTAGCATATTTAAAGACCTCTGGAGCCAATCCATCTGGACCAGCTGCTCTTCCTCGTTTCAGATTACTTATAGCCTTTTGAACTTCAAGTAGGGTCGGGGGGCCTACTTCAATGGTAATTTTCAGGTTTTCTGGGAATAGTGGGTAGTTGTGCAGTAGCTGAAGGCCATCTAAACTGCTCCTTAAAGTGTTCCGCCCATCGTTCTAAACGTTTGTTTTGAGAGCAGATAAGGGTTTCATCTTTTTCCGAGATCGTCTCACTTACACTTGACTTATTAATTCCGGTTTCTTTTATTAGTCTGAATAGTTGCCTGGTGTTGCCTACAGCCGCTGCCTTTTCTATCTCTTTTGCTTTCGTTGCCCACCACTGCTCACGATCGTTCCTTAGACTTTTAGTTAACCTAGATCTAGTTTCTTTATGCTCTTCGTCGTGTTCAGAGCCTGATGGGATGAGTTTACGCGAATCCATCAGTGAAATAGACTTGGAAGAAATCCACTGGTTTTTTGGAGCCCTATGGTTTAAATAACTAATAGACGTTACTGCTGTTTCCACAGCTGTTCGTATATCTTTCCAAGCAGCATCTGGGTCAGTTTCGTCTACAGAACACATTTTATACTCATCATGGATTAGATTTGTTTTTTCTCATTTTGGGTTTTACTCATAATAAGTCTATGTAATAGGAATACCAGGGTTATTCTGGGCGAATCAGTCAATAAGGTTATGACTTTTCATCGATTAAGTTAATTGACACGTGTGGTTACGTATACGTAAACTGCCTACCTCGACATTTAATCGTGGATGTAGGATAATGAAGACTAGATACAAACAGGCCGAGGCATAACATCAGTCTGTGAAGTCATAGACTTTTGGTTTTATCTATGTTAATAAGTGTAAACTTGTTAGCGGGACATAGATTGGATTAAAGCATCCCAAAAAACTACTTGGTTCGAGTTTGCGCTGTTAGTTTACTGTTGTATGACATTGGTCAGAATCAGTCACGGTGACAGATACGTTCTTTATTTTGTCCTAGATCTTAAGTTTCAGTATTCCTCCATATACATGTTCTCACTACATCTTCCCGAACTGTATTTTTATCATTCATTCTTCATGACCTTATTGCTATTACAACTGTTTCTACTGGTCATCGATCTTGTTAATTTTATTTCATCACGTAGTGGTATCGCAGCAGGTCAACTCATGTGCACCAAGCTCCATGTTGATTATGAGTGACTCACATTATGCTTATCTCATCTGTTTGATTTATATGTTAAGCAACTTAGCAATTACCATTGATGGATTGTAATTCGTTAACCACTCAGTGATTAATGTACCTCGTTTTGAGTCACACTTCTACCTGGAAAACTGTAGTATTTCGTGTGTAGTAGTTCGCGGGTACCAATCTTACTCCCTATATTTTTGAATAACCAGGTCCAATTTGGATTCCAGCGATTGCTTAGAAATGCTGTTGCATATTTTGATAAACTGTCTATGCATTTACTAAGTTGATCAATTTGCAGTTCATCAGACTTGCTTAAGTTTTTCTAGTAACTCCTAGACTAAGCTGTCGGGATAGATATTGCATTTATCTAAATATCTGAAGCGCGAGAAAAATTTCACAGCTATTAAAGGGTAACTATCATGTATATCCATCTAATTTTCCATTGTTGGTTTTGGGGTTTCAAACTATTCATTTAATCTTTACTGGTCATTAAATTATGATGTTATGAATCTCAAAACCTCATCCCCTCCTGCTCAGGACACGATGAGGAGCGAAGTCAGCTTAAATATAGGTTGATAAAAAGCTTACATTATGATCGTGATCACAGGTGGGTAGCGAATGCAGTGATGAAAAATATAGAAGCGACAGATAACAGTAGACAACTGTTCAGACTATCAAGGGAATGGGTATTAAAAATCCGAATGTTAGTGAAATTCTCTGAGAATATTAATCACTCTAAATGTAGGAGGTTGTATTGATGGGCAGAACATTAGAGAACACTTCAACCGGCATTTAGCCTCACTACAATTACTCACTATCCCTAAGCAACCTGAATGGGAAATTGAAATAAGTCCTTTAACTCGATGAGAGTGAAAAGGATATATGCGATATGAGGCGAGAGAAAGCAATAGTCTCATAAACTAACTCCTGTGCTGAGAAGACCAGGCTAGTTTTAGACCTGGACGTGGATGTATGGGTCAAGTATTGATCGTTCGACAAGTTCAGGAACATCGACGATATTAGTTGCATTCCTCGACATTAAGGCGACATTCGATTGTTGATCGTGAGATTCTGTGGCAGTGTCTGTCACTGAAAAGCGTACCAATGAAGTACGTTATTCTCGTACAGACTATACTCGGTACTCGAACACTACTGGTCGGACCAGATCTTCTGTGGAACAGTTGTCGGAATCGGTTACTGTAAATGGTGTTCATCAGAGTTGATCACCTCTATTCTTATTTAACGTTGTCGTATACATACTTTTGGAGATAACGCTTTATTCGTCTAAAGTTCTAGCGCTTGACCTTCGACTAGAAGATTCACTTGTTGATTTAGAATACGTGGAACATATAGTTCCTTTTGATGAAGACGGTGACGAAATGAAGTCTTTTGACCACCTTAAGGAACAATGAAAATATATTTGGGATGCGATTATCTGCCTCCAAATGCAAAATGGTGCTTTAGGACTGAGTCACGTCGGCGTCTGAATGGCTGATAAGGAGTGATGTAGTTGAACTCATTGACTGCGTCACTTATCTTGACAGTCTCATCAGTCCTAATGGTCTAGTGTTTGACAAAATCTTGACACGGATTCAGAATTCTTGGGTTAGCAGTATAGTACCATGTGAGGATGGCAAATCGATTGATAAGCTGATGAGTCTTCATCAACTGAGGTGGTTGGGCATACGTAACGCATATTCTAACCACCGCTTACCTCGAAGGGCGACGTTGTTCGATGTGGGCGTTGGATAGAGTAAAGCCGGGGACGGCCAAACCAAAACATGACATCAGTTCATAAAGTCATTGACGGTCGAGCTTGGTTATGCTTTTAGGTGTAGACTTCCTGTTTATGTTCCCTGTGATTATCACAACTAATGGTTAGAGACTTTGAATGACACGGCTCAAAATCGTTTACAATGATACAAGTGCATTTATTCTTTGTTTTCCCCCAAATTCTAAGATTCGAAATTCCTTATAACTTCTTTGTTTTGGTTCACTTATGTTTTCTTTTCGAGTCGTATCTCCGATACCTAATCTTTCCTATTACCGCTGATATTGTTACTATCTCTACTATTCTGTGTTTTGGCACAAAAACTTCATCTCCCTGTGCTAATGGGGTATGGCAACTTGAACCGATGTACAGATGTACAGGTTTCACGTTGTAATTGACTAAGTACGATAAATGAGTGGTTAAACTTTTGTGGCTTGTTTTCAGTTAGTTATTGTATTCCTTCAATAAAAATTACATATGCTCCATAACATTTTTGTATGTCATTCCATTATGTTACTATGTTGTGACTTTTTTGAATTTCAGAGCTATTTTCATTGTTTCAAGATATTTTATGCGTTACACTTTTCATTTAGTTGTACTAATCATGTACTTCGAAATTGTTTATTTATTTATACCTCTAGGATGCTCACAACTGTATACCGAACTTCGATGCATCACTAGGTATTTCCTTCTTTGCAGTCTATGACGGCCATGGTGGATCAGAAGTGGCACGATATTGTGCAGAATACATGCCTGATTTTTTAATGAAACTTCCTTATAATAAATTAAATATGAAGGAAACCTTAAAGCAGTTATTCCTTGATTTCGACGCTACATTAGTAACTCCTGAAACGAGAGCTGTTCTAAGTAAAATGTCAGAGACAGACAAAGCCGATAGTTCATCAGAGAAGGAGTCACCTGACCCAGCCCATTATGTAAGCACATGAAGTTGTCTCATAATTGAATATACAGACCGCTGAAATTGATGGTGATGATAATGATGGAGAGGAAGATGAGAATTATTCTGAACTTTTGGCCCTGCGTGCTGAAGCAAACCAACCTTTGGAAGATGTTTTAGAACAATATGGAGGAGAGGATGCTTTACCTTCAAGTATTAAGGTAAGATTAAACTTCTAAAGTATACAACCTTTACGTTTGATTACTTATGTTTGTTACTCGCAATGGAGCATAGGCAGCCGACCAGCATTCTCTCAATCACTCTGTTATGAGCCTTCCTTTCTAGTTCTATCCAGTTGTTGTTCATTCTCATATCTGTTTCCATTTCTTGACATAGTTCTATTTGGTGAAGACGCTGACAAAATGCAGAGTCTTCTCACCGCCGTAAGTAGCAGTGCAAGCATGTTTGGGATGCGATTCTCCCACTCAAAATGCAAAGTGTTACTTCAGGATTGGGTTGCATCGGCACATGAACTAATGTTAGGGAGTGAAGTAGTTGAGCGTGTTGACCGCTTCACTTATCTTGGGAGTCTCATCAACCCTTGTGGTCTGGTGTTTGACGAAATCTCAGCACGGATACAGAAGGCTCGTCTAGCTTTCGCCAACTTGCATCATTTGTGGCGTAGGCGAGATATCCGTCTAGCAACCAAAGGACGGGTTTACTGTGCAGCAGTTCGTTCCGTCCTACTTTATGGAAGTGAAACATGGCCGGTAAGAGTAGAGGATATTCGTAGGCTACTAGTGTTCGATCATAGGTGTCTTCGAAGCATTGCTCGTATATCCTGGGACCACCGAGTAAGTAATGCAGTTGTAAGGAAACGGGTACTAGGTAAGGATGGCAAGTCAATTGGTGAAGTAGTGAAACCTCGTCAGTTGACATGGCTAGGACATATGTTACGTACGTCCAACCACCGACTACCACGACGAGCGATATTTTATGGTGTAGGAGTAGGTTGGAAGAAAGCTAGGGGCGGCCAGACCAAAACATGGCACAAATCCATGAAGTCACTGACAAGTTGACTGAGTCATGTTGGTAGGTGTAGACTACCTGGTTGGGATTCGCTAGATGATAACGAATCTGAAGAATTTTGTGTAGACAACTGTTAATAAACACTTGTAGCTTGTGGATGATGGTTTTTGTAGTTCTGCAAGTTTCCACCCTATACAGTAGAACTGTCTTGACATTTAAATTCATTCAGTATTGTTTGTTTGAATATTCCCATCTATCTCTGCTTACCATGCTTGTCTTGACACTTGTTTTGAAAATTCTTATCTTGGTGTTGGTTGACAGACAATTGTTTTGAGTTCCAGATGTTCTTCGGTTGTAAATGTGTTGCTTTGCTTTGCCGATCCGCACCCTCATATCTGCATCAGATCCACCGTGTTCATCGATGATGCTGCCTAGTTATGTAAAGGTTTGCACATCCTCCAAAGCTTCTCCTTCAAGTTTGATTCGATTTATGCATGTTGTGTTGTATCGGAGAATCTTGCTTTCCCCTTTGTGTATGTTGAGACCTACTGCTACTGAGGCTGCTGCTACACTGGTTGTCTTCTCTTGCATTTGTTGTTGCGTCTGCGATAGAAGAGCCAGATCATCTGAGAAGTCTAAATCGTCCAGATGCATCCTAGTTGTCCAATGTATCCCGTGCTTCCCTTCAGATGTTGACGTTTCGTAATCCAGTCGACCACTAGGAGAAAGGGGAAGTTTGATAATAAGCAACCTTGCCTGACACCGGTCTTTACTTCGAACGAGTCATTAAGCTGTCCACCATACTCAATTTTTCAGTTTAATCCATCGTAGGAATTCCGTATGATATTGACTATCTTCTCAGGCACGTCGTAGTGTCGAGAAAGCCTCTATAGTTTTGTCCTGTCTACGCTATCAAATGCTTTCTCTTAGTCAATGAAGTTGATGTCGAGTGATAAATTCCATTCAATTGATTGTTCCACAGTGATCCATAGAGTTGCAATTTGCTCTGTATAGTCTGTTAGTCGTTTGGCGTTCACGAAGTCCTTCATTCTGTTTAACAACACCCTGTTGAAGACTTTTCCTGGTATTGATAGGTAAGTGCCTCTGTGATTCTCACACCTGCTGAGATCGCCTTTGTTTGGTATCTTGATCAGGTGCCCTTCTATCCAGTCTGTGTATTCAGCTTGTGTCTTGGCTTTCTCTGTCCTTGTTCGGTTGGTATTGATTGATGCCTTATTTTCCCTCCTTTCTTAAATGTTGTCCAATGTATCAACAGTAATCCATTCATTGTGATGGTGCTTCTTGTGGCCCAGAACCTCCTGACATGTTGAAGTGATTGCTTCCTTGATCTTTTTACAGTTGTTCTTCAAGGTAGTTCCCTCTCCAGTGAGTAGATTGTGAAAGGCCTGGTACTTATTTTTAGGGCTTGTCTTTAATTCATTGGATCTGTCAATATCTCGAAGAAAGGCCGTGTTAAACTTTCATGGCGTTGTCCAGTGCTTCTTGAGTTTCAGTTTCATCTTAGTGACTAGCAAGTCATGATCTGAGACTATATCAGCTTCACTCTTGGTTCCCACGTCCTCCATCGTCCTACTGAGCTTCGTATTGATGCAGATACGGTTGATTTGGTTCTGTGTATTGTGATTTGGGAAACTACATTCGGCTTTGTGTATGTGTTTGTGTGGGAATATAGTGCCGCCTATGACCAGGTTGTTGAAGGTACATAGGTTTGCAAATCTCTCACCATTTTCGTTCCTTTCTCACAGTCCATGTCGTTCCATGATATCTTCGTATCCAGTGTTTTCCATCCTAACCTTGGCGTTTATGTCTCCCAGCAAAATGGCCAAGTCCTTTCTCGGGCATTTATCGACGATTGACTGCAGCCTATCTTAGAATTGATCTTTAACGTCTTCATTGTAATCGTTGTAGCCGTATTGGTAGATACAGACTACTTTGTTGGAGTCCGCGTGACTATCGTAACCAATAGTTTGAGACTGTATGACATGTCTCAGAATAAATCACAGTTGTGTAGGTGTATACCTTTCTGTCTTCCCTTAAACTATGAGATTAAAATTGCTTCATATCTTTCTTTCTTCCCGTACTATATCTTTATATACAACCTTTCTTTTATATATTAACACCACTGAATTAACTACTTCTATAAATTTGGTGTTCATCTTGTCGTGCTAATGAGATATGGCAACTTGGACCGATGCATATATGTGCCTGGTCGTACGTTGTAGCTGACTGACTGACTCATTGTAATCGTTGGAAGGCGCATATCATTGGATGACGTTCATTGTAATATCCTCTTCCTTTGTTTTGAAGGAGGCTTTGATGATCCTAGGTTCATGAGATTTCCATCCTATAAGTGCTTCATGTGTTTGTTTGGATAGTATCAGTGCAACGCCTTGTCTATGTGGAACATTTTCTCCTTCATGACCGGAGTATAACAGCAGCTTCCCTGAAGCCAGTCTTTGTTTTCCCAACCTGCGTCCAACGTGTTTCACTGATTACAAGCACCTCCAGTTTCTATCTTTTCATTTCTGCAGGAACTTGGATGGATCTCCCGGTCTCATACATTATACAAACATTCCATGTACCTAAATTAATGGTTGCTTTGGTTGTCAGAAGTGGCATCGGCCTCGTGACTCCTGAAGGAACTCGGCGTCATAACTCTTCTAAATGAAGACCTAACTCCCAGGGCAGAGTTTAAATGGTTTGAATAATTTTTTCTTGTTAGCGTCTTTGTAGCCAGTTAGTTTTGTACGGGATGGAGTCGCTAACCACATGCACAACCCTCCTCCTTTATCCGGGCTCGGGACCGGCAGTAACCGCAGAGAGGGTTCCAGGCGAAGTTAACCTTTATATACATTATGTCTATAATATCTCGGTGAGTAGAGAAATTAGATTTTCCGATGTTTCGTGGCTCAGTGTAAACTACTTCTTCAGAGAATAAATAACCAAATTTTTTCTTAACAAATCTACTGACTATTTTCAACTATTTCAATGAACTTAGTCAGTAGTAATTTCTACGTATTCATAAAAATCAATATGGAGAAAAGTTATTCATTCAATTGCCATTAAAACAAATCACGTGAAGACAATCTGAGCTTATTCCTTCGTATATTAGTTAAAAGTCACTCAATTTTTACTGACACATAAACGAAGCAGGTTTTTACAATGCATTCGATTCGTTTGTTTGTACACACATACTCTCTGTATATATATACTCATCCAAATGTTTGCTAAAGGCCCTTCACTTAATAATTAGTTAACAATATAAACCAAATATAATGCTCACGAATATTCTCTCTCTCTCTCTCTACATAGACTATCCTGGATACCCGACGTCAACAAAAAGTTGGTGAATGTAGTCGTAATTTAAGTAAATCGTCAAAAAGTTCATCAGAAGATAATGATTCAGAGTTGGACAAAACAACAGATTCTTCATGCACAAAAGTATCCAATACTACTGATGCCAATGCTGTTGAGTATGTATTTTTTTAAAAATCCTATTAGTTCATCGTTATACAGGTCTTTTACAATTCTATTCTAGAAATAGCCTATTATTACAGTTATGTTGTACTTGTAAAAGCTTGACTATGTGTTAATGTGTTTGTTTTCTCCACGTATGCCTATACAGCAGTATAAGCAATATTTATCGAGTACTTTATATCATTTATTTATACACATAAATATTGGTACAAGGGGTACCAGATACATATGCGCCGCACAAATCTCATTTGATTTGTGTGAGGGCTGTAATACTGCTCAAGTGCCGAAACTGAAGCAGGTGGTTTTCTTAACGGGCCACACGCGGAGCCTATGACCTAAAGGTCTAGTCCACAAGGCAGTGGAGCATCATGAAGAGATGCAGTCCCATGGTAGCCGGTGACCAACGATTGATTCCTACGCCATTTGTTTACTCAGGATACTTTAGTCCATGTGTACCATTTGTTTGGAATGAGGGTTTTCCAACTCCCCTGGGTGAACTTTCCGTGTCCACCAACCCGGTTAAAGCGCCGGACATTCACTTTTCGTCCTCTCAATTTCGTAAACGACAGTAATGCCACGAGAAGGCAATAAGTAGGACTTCCCTGGCAGAGGCTATGGGAGAGGATTTCGAGAGGGAGAGCAGACTCTCCCCACTCTCGGCCGTACCAGGGCATTTTGGGGCCATTTATTGAGTACGTTGTTGGATGCATTTTAAATCATATTTAACTAGTTATTACTTTAACATTGACTTTTCCCGTATTTCATAGTTGACCAGTTCAGTGTTTTATTTATTCCGTTATAATTCCTTTCGATATCTAGAGCTTCTGGGAAAGCTTACGCTTATTTAAATAAAGTTTTTTCCAACCTATAATTCATGAGACATAAGTATCTGGAAAAGATTAATGATCAGATTTTCTCACGAATAGTATTTATACGATCGTTGATTAACTGATTAAGCTTTTCACTAAAGTGACTTAGGTGACTTAATAAAATGCATCTAATGAAAATTATATTTCAATTTGGGGTTGTGGAGATTGTTGAATTTCATTAAAATCATGAGCCAATTAATGTTAGATCATTGTTGAACATCTGGAAGCACTAGATGTCCGTTTCGTTCTAATATGTTTTGTTACGTCCTTGATCTGTCTACCCACTTTCGTGGCGAGTATAACTTGTCTAATATAGATTAAGACCTTGACGCGATAGGCTGACTGGCTTAACCTTGAGGCTAGTATGCGTGAGTTCGAAGTGGCGATAGAGAGACAAGAACTATTCTATCCCTGATTGGGTGGCAAACACGCGCGCGAGAGAGAAGAAAAAACAACTGGAACACTACTCACTTTATTCCAATCCCGATTTGGTACCCGAATTCCGATTTCTTATTAGTGTAAAAAGATACATGAATAAATAGATGACTAACCTGACCACAACGTACAGTAATTAGGAAAATACAATTATGTGCCAGACTGAGGGATTAGAATAAAAAAATAGAGTACAATAGGTTACGTCTAAATTACAATAGCTTTGGAACAAAAAAGGCTATGGCAGTGAATCATACATCAAACGAAAGCTTATGTGTAGAATATACTCAGTCAGTCAGTCAGTTACAACGTAGAACTTTGTACGTACGTACATCAGTTCGAGTTGCCATACCACATTAGCACAGAGATGAAGTTGTCGATTCAAATCCCATAATGGTAGAAGTAGTAAGAGTATAAGCAGTAATCGGAAAGATTAAGGTTTGAAGATGTTATTGAAGAAGTATAATACAATGAAATAAATTTGGAAAAATAAAAATAAAAGGAACATGAGGAATTCAGAAGATTAGAATTTGGTAGAACACAAAGAGTGGATGCACCTTCGCCATTGCAAACGATTTTGAGCCATGTCATTCAAGGTCTCTAACCATCGGTTGCTATCATCTCGCGAATCCCAACCAGGTAGTCTACACCTACCAACATGGCCCAGTCCACTTGTCAGTGACTTCATTGATTTGTGCCATGTTTTGGTCTGGCCGCCCCTAGCTTTCTTCCCATCTACTCTTACACCATAAAGCATTGCACGTCGGGGCAGTCGGTGGTTGGGCATACGTAACACATGTCCCAGCCATCTCAACTGATGAAGTTTCACTACTTCATCAATCGATTTGCCTTCCTTACCTAGTACCCGTTTCTTAACATCTGCATTACTTACTCGGTGGTCCCAGGATATACGAGCAATGCTTCGAAGACACCTATGATCGAACACTAGTAGCCTACGAATATCCTCTACTCTTACCGGCCATGTTTCACTTCCATAAAGTAGGACGAAACAGACTGCTGCACAGTAAACCCGTCCTATGGTTGCTAGACGGATATCTCGCCTACGCCATAAATGACGCAAGTTGGCGAAAGCTAGACGAGCCTTCTGTATCCGTGCTGAGATTTCGTCACACACCAGACCACAAGGGTTGATGAGACTCCCAAGATAAGTGAAGCGGTCAACACGCTCAACTACTTCACTCCCTATCGTTAGTCCAGGTGTCGATGCAACCCAGTCCTGAAGTAAAATTTTGCACTTGGAGGGAGAGAATCGCATCCCGAACATGTCTGCATTGTTGCTTATAGTGGTCAGAAGACTGCATTTTGTCAGAGTCTTCACCGAATAAAACTATGTCGTCGGCGTATTCTAAGTCAACAGGTGAGCCTCCTGGAGGTCTAGCTGATGAAAGTGATACCTCTAAAAGCATGTCAATGACAAAGTTAAACAAGAATGGGGAGAGTGGACAGCCCTGACGAACGCCACTTGAGGTAAACAATTCTGATGACAATTCGCCATAGGCTCTAACTCGACCAGTTGTGTTCGAGTAGATAGCCTTTATGAGGTTAATGTACTTCTTTGGTACTCCTTTCAGTGACAAACACTGCCATAGAACCTCACGATCAACGGCGTCAAATGCTGCCTTAAGGTCAAGAAATACTACTATTGTGGGACGTCTGAATGTATGTCTATGTTCTAGGACCTGACGTAGAGTGAATATCTAGTTTATGCAACTACGTCCAAGTCGAAAACCAGCCTGGTTTTCTCTAGTCTGCTCTTCACGAGCTTTGGTTAGGCGACCTAGTATTATTGAAGCTAATATTTTAGACACTATATTAGTCAAACTGATCCCTCTGTGATTGTCACAGGAGGACTTTTGTTCTTTCTTATAGACTGGCACAATCAGTGATTGGGACCAGTCAGATGGAATTACGTCCAGTTCCCAGATTCTACCTAAAACATCAGTCAATCTCACTGCTAGTACTGGACCACCATCCTTAAAAATCTCAGGGGTCAACCTGTCAGGGCCTGCTGCTCTCCCTCGCTTCAGATTTCCTATAGCTTTTTCAACCTCACAGAGGGTTGGAGGACTTAAATCAATTTGCCATTCAGGACGACTGGGGATCGTGGGTAATTGAAGCGTGGCTGAAGGCCAGTTGAACTGATCCCTAAAGTGTTCTGCCCATCGATCCAATCTCCTGGATTGAGAATGAATAATATGCCCATCTCTATCTGAGATGGTTTCACTGATATTCGGGTTCCTAATGCCGGTTTCTTTAAAGAGTCTGAATAGCTGCCTACTGTTACCTATTGCCGCTGCCTTTTCCATCTCTCTTGCTTTTGCTACCCACCACTGTTCACAATCATTACGTAGGCTTCTTATAAGCCTGCGCTTAAGTTGACTCCGCTCTTCGTTATGCTCAGAGCCAGGTGGGATGAGTTTACGAGCATCTATCAGTGCGGAAGATGCTGCCGAGATCCATTGTTTCTCCCTAACGTTATGGTTTACCTTACTAGCGGACATCACTGCTGTTTCCACAGCTTTTCGGATGTCATTCCACGCTGCCTCGGGGTGGACACAACTTACATGGCTGCCTAACTGTTTTTCTAGTTGTTCCTGATATATATTCTTAGCTTGCCTATCATTAAGTAGAACCCTTAGAGGCTTCCCTGCAGTGTCTTTCCTACGACCAGTTAGACGCAGACAGATACGTGCTCGCACTAGAGCATGATCTGAATCTAAACATGTGCCCCATAATGAGCGACAGTCTTCAATCGAGCCCCTCCATCGGTGGCTGATAGCGATGTGATCTAATTGGGTCCAACGTTTGGACGAATTCGGGGGTCGCCATGTCAAAAGATGTTTTTCCTTATGCTTAAAGTTAGTATTTGCAAGAAATAGGCGGTTATCTGAGCACAGCTGCAACAGACGGTCGCCATTATCTGTTCTTTTCGCCATGACACCATAAGATCCTCCCAGGTGTCTTTCCATTTCACCTTGTTTACCTACTTGAGCATTAAAGTCACCAGCCACTATTACTACATCAGAACGCCTAGCTTCTCGGAGAAGGTCAGAAAGTTTTCTGTAAAACTCATCTTTTATATCGTCTGAGCTGCAGTCAGTGGGAGAGTAGGCAGAGACGACGAAGAGGCAACGACGAGTTTCCCTATCTTTCCGGGTCCTTACTGATCCGTTTAGTCGGATAGCGAATAGACGACTGTCTACTGGGATCCAGTCTAAAAGAGCTAGTTCTGCCCTAGGACTTAATGCTATACCTACTCCAGCGAGGCCACGGGAAGCAGCGTCAGGGCTTCCAGATACACGAAGCGTGTATCGAGATGAAACTTTATTTTGATTAGGTGCGGTCAAATGAATGACTCTACTCGGATCTTGTATGCGCGTTTCGGAGACGCAGCATACATCGATGGTGTAAGATTCTAGAGTCCTAGCTAAGGAAGCCTGTTGTCCTATTTGGCATAATGTTCGGACATTAAAAGTTCCTATATGTAGTTTAGAGCGTGGTTTCAGGAGACCAGGAATAACGTTCCGTGTACACGAATCGTTTGCCCTAGCGGTGCGAGGTGATAAAAGGACGTGGGAAGGGTTAGTCGTGGAGATAACAGAGTTATTAAGAGGTGTAGGAAGGATTTGAAAGTGACCAACTTGGTCTCGTGTGCTGTTACGGGTATGAGGGCATTTATCACTTCCCGGCTGCCCACACCTTGGAACGGTATTTCTTGAGGGACCTGAAAAAGAAGTTGGATTAGTGTTGATCTGAACGACCTGGGAGCGTGACCGCAGTGCCTAAGGGATAACTGCTTGAGGCCGGTCACACACGGCCTTTTTGTGGGGGATTTTTGAAGTGTTAGCTCCGTTCTTCAAAGGACCTTACCGCCGGAGACGGAAATCCGTGGGATAAGGCGAGGTGTGCATTTTTAGGGTCGACCTTTTCTAACCCCACCCCTCCTTGTGGGAAGGCAGCATCGCTGTCATGCTGGTTGTCTGAAGGAAACACCTTACTGCTTTCACACCTCTGTACAGTCAGCAGTACGACTTCGCCTTCGGACCTTGGGATTGCTGCTTTTAGTCTCACCGCTCTTCGACCGACCTGTCTGGCATGGTAGGACCTCGAGGAACGATTGTTCCAGCCAGCATAGCTCGATTGGATCATCACGATAGGCAAGCCCGACCACCACGTCAAGGTAGCAGCAACGGTCGAGACTAGGGGTAAAAGTAAATGTTACACAAGTAAAGTAAATGTTATACAAGCCTTGAATTAAATTAAATAACGTCCCCCAAAATAACTTCCGTAGTTTATCAAGGCTTCTTATTTCGCGGTTCACATTATGTTTCTATCGGAGTCATCGTTCACATTGTTTTCTTTAATAAATTATATCTTTATTGTTTGGAGTACAGATTTTGTAATTTAACATGTCAGTATGACTACTTAAATAAAAATAAGTAACTAATCGTTTCTTCGTAATATTTCTTTTACTTCCCACTATGTTAGAACTGTTGAACAAGGAGACTCGTGTGAGTTTTATTATTTTTTAGCTAGTAATTGATGTTTTGTATTAAGTGCATATATATTCACTTTTGTTTGTTACTCTCTGTACACTTGTTATATCTTTTGACCGACTGGATACCCTGTTAAATGTGTAACATGATAAGACCGCCAAACAAAGAGCAACAAATTATCGATTGGAACAGTGACACACGAAAACCATGCGAGCATTCTAGATTACGTATTGGTCCTGCTTCTGCCTAGCCCAGCCAGTTAAGTTCAGAACACCAATAACAGCCTCTGTGGTATGAATCATTGTATTTCAAACACATTGAGTTTATATATCAGATAATAGATAATAACATTTGTACAAGATTCAGCCAAATGTGGCTGTGAATGTGGGAGCCAGTGATTAATAGACTAATGATATCTCAAGAATTGTAAATCGTATAATAACAATAGTCTATAGGTCAAAATAAAGCTTATAATAAGGGGGACATGAATATGAATAGTTTAATTATTTAGCAAATATACGATAAAAATTATAATCATAATATGGGTCCATAAATGGATCCCAAAGTTACTATTCACTATTGTTATCGGGACATAACAACACTCAATCGTTTTCTTCGAAATGTTCAGTATTCTTTAACGTCACAATTTATTCTCTTCATTTTTTCTTATCAGCATCTACTCCTTTTTGCATCAGTAATTTCTAGTCATAATCGTGGAAATAGTAGTTCTCATTCCTCTTATTCTTTGAACATTCTATTTGACAACTTGCACCGGTATAAATATGAATGTCTGATTGAAAACGTCAACCGGATATATAGTCAGGTTTTTAAAATGATGAATAAGATATGATCGACTGATAACTTCGTAAGAAACCAAATTAATGTATTCGTCCATTTGTCTGATTTAATTTGTTTATTAAAACATCGAAAATTTCTGATGTTTTCGTTCAAACATTATTGTATCTAGTGGTCTTTTTCTATTTTTACATCGTTTTATTTGTACACTAATGATGATGATTGATGAGGTTTCACTACTTCATCAATCGATTTACCATCCTTATCTAGTACCCGTTTCCTTACAACTGCATTACTTACCCGGTGGTTCCAGGATATACGAGCAATGCTTCGAAGACACCTATGATCGAATACTAGTAGCCTACGAATATCCTCTAATCTTATCGGCCATGTTTCACTGCCGTATAATAGGACGGAACGAACTGCTGCGCGGTAAACCCGTCCTATGGTTACTAGACGGATAACTCGCCCACGCCATTAATAATGCAAGTTGGCGAAAGCTAGTCGAGCCTTCTGTATCCGTGCTGAGATTTCGTCACACACCAGACCACAAGGGTTGATGAGACTCCTAAGATAAGTGAAGCGGTCAACACGCTCAACTACTTCATTCCCTATGATTATTTCAGGTGTCGATGCAAACCAATCCTGAAGTAATATTTTGCACTTGGAGGGAGAGAATCGCATCCCAAACATGCATGCATAGTTGCATAGTTCGATTAGTGTTGGTCTTAACGACCTGAGAGCGTGACCACAGAGCACAACAGACAAGTGCCTAAAGCCGGTCGCTCACGGCCTTTTTGTGGGGGATTTTCGACGTGTAAGCTCCATTCTTCAAAGAGCCTTACCACCGGAGACGGAAATCCGTGAGGTAAAGTGAGGCGTTACATTTTCAGGGTCGATATTTCTCACCCCTCCCTTCTTTGTGAGAAGGCGGCATCACTGCAGATGCTGGTTGTACGAGGAAAACACCTTACTGCTGTCACACCCCTCTACAATCAGCAGTGCGACTTCGCCCTCAGACCTTGAATTGCTGCTTTTAGTCTTACTGTTCTCTAATCGATCTGTTTGGCATGGTAGAACCTACGAGAACATATGTCCCAGTCAATATAGCTCGGTTGGGTTATCACGATAACGAATCCCAACCACCACGTCAAGGTAGCATCTATGGTCGTACATGAGATTCATCCGTTATTATAGGACTAGTTGTATTGTATTTTTTTAGCATTGGTTGATGTTGCCGTACTCGACTAGTGACGCAATGACCTTTCTTTAATCAATAACTACGACTACGACAGAAATCCATACTTAATATCTATTGTTTCAGGGTGACTTTTCTCACATTCACCTGCTCGATACTTGGACTGAAATATCACCAAACCAGGCAGATAAACTTCTCTTCTACGATTTAATTTATAACCTAAACTAGTGTGATAATATCGACTGGTTACCTGACAGTATATCTTGTTAACAGGAAAATCAGTTAACAATACTTGCAGTATGTATTTATTGAAACATGTCAGACTTGCATAAAGGATAACTTAAAATTTGTTGAGTAAATTATAAGTGTATAAAAATAAGTTTAATAATTTTTAACATTAGCTCAGTATGTATAGAACTTTAGTGTTGAATGATCTCGTACACAAATATTAGTTTTAATCAGTTGAGTTCAGCTGTGTTTGGGTGTGAGGAAAGTATCTACCGTAATATCAACAGAAGAGTCACGCCACATCCAAGGTTGATTGGATTTAAACTTGTAAATTGATGAATGGTGGCTCAGTTGTTTTAGAAGTCTAAGCGTTCATGCACGGAACTGAAGGTTCTGTATTCGACCCCCCCCCAAAGTCTCATGATGATCTCCGTATTGACTTTTGAGAAGTCCCATAATAGAACAAAATATTTGTTTTATGCTTTTCAGGTTTTCACTGGTTGTTTTACTTCGAACAGTCTGTGGTCTTAATTGAATATATATGAGTTCAAAACATCATTATTACTATTAATGACAAATTTGTATACTATTAACTCTTACTCTGTTCTTAGCTTCTGAATCTAGTAATAGAACAGACAGTACTACTTATTCTCACAATGATGATAATACAAAAAAAGAATTATCAAATGAACCATCAGAAATACCTACAGATAAAAATGTAAACAATTCTACAGTGACTGATACAAAGAATGATGTTGATGATGAAAGTGACGATGAAAGTGCAGATTTTGACCCATCAATTGAATTCGAAGATAGCGATGAGAATGATGATGATGATGATGAAGAGGAAGAAGATGAAGAGGATGATGATGACGACGATGATGATGATGATGATGAAGATGAAGAGGATGACGACGATGACGATGAACTGACTGGTTTTTCCATACCACGTTCTATAGCAGACACTGAAGAGTCAGAACCTGGAATAGATAGTGGGACAACTGCATGCGTTGCTGTTCTTGTACCAGTCAATGGTGTTGTACGCTTGTATGTTGCTAATGCTGGCGATTCACGAGCTGTACTCTGTCGTGGTGGTGCTGCAGTCGATTTATCAGTTGATCATAAACCTGAGGATGAAGATGAAAAAGCTCGGATTGTTGCAGCTGGTGGAACTGTAACGCGTGATGGCCGAGTAAATGGTGGTCTTAATCTCAGTCGGGCTCTTGGTGATCATAGTTATAAGGTGAGGTTATGCATGGAAAAGTCATACTTTGGCTTTAAGTTAGTGTTCTTATGATGGTGGAGTGCACTTCAAACCCATGACCTACTAACTGAAAGCCTTAATACTTTAGCTATTAACCAACGCACTTACCCACAAAGTATATTTTACTAATCAATTTAATTGCTTTGCTTTAAAGTGACAACAATGCTTATCAACTAATACCTCGAATGTTCCGCTTTTTAATCAATCATTAGCTGTAGAATCTGAATTGGACAGTTCGTTTCATTTCGGATTGTCCTGGAAGTATTCCATCATTTGTTTTGGTGTTCAGTGCCTCTTCTACAATCGAGACTCACATCTCAATGCGTCAGGTGTCATTTAGTCATACATCTTTGATAAGTACTCTGATTTATGTGTTCGTTTGAGACTGCTACGGCTGCACAACATTACCCCTCTTCCTGTCCACCGTTATTTACTATCATATAACCACATGGAGCCGCATAGTTTGTATGTGGTCTATTCTGAAATGCTTACCTGCACAGTGTGACGGTGGCACTCGATGCCTAACTGCTCAATACGCCAATCCCAATATTTTGTATTTATTAGATTTTATCATGTAGCGATAAAAATAAGTGTCAGAGAATAATTCTGTTTGGGGTTCAAACCTTGTTCCTAATAATTCGATTTGAAAAACTCCATAGGGCCACTAGTCCTCATAGCTGAAGTATGACTTGTAACGGAATAAGTACCCGGCAATTGAATTACACATATATTTTGAATTTTATACAGTTAATTACTGTAACACAATAACTGTCTTATTTCTTTTACAGCAAACTCCAAATATTCCATTAACAGATCAAATGATCACACCATCCCCAGATGTTACTGAAATAGATTTAATTCCATCAGCGGATGAATTTTTAGTTATTGCATGTGATGGAGTATGGAATTCAATGACAAGTCAAGAGGTTGTAGAATTTATTCAGGATCGTTTACATCCTCCGACTATAAACAATAACAGTAGTAATAAAAACACTTCAAATAATCATTCGAATTCCGATGCTAATGTCAACGAAAATGGTAATGCTCGTAGTGAGGTCGATAAATTGGATTCGTCTGATCAATTAAGAAAAATTTGTCATGAAGTAAGACTGATAGTTTTTTTTCTTCCAGATTTTGTATCTGAGAGGACAGGCAAATAATATCGCTCTTGCTTTGTACAAAAGATGTAGTTAAGTTGATTGTATAAGTTTTTATTACAAGTCTGATGGTGTTGAACACGTTTCTCTTTTTTGTGGTACATTCATACTGTAGATAGTTGCTGTTTTTGTTTCAAATAATCGGCTCTAGATTTGTATCCGCACTTTACCATTGAATTTAATGTTTGTTTTTGTTTATCTTATAGATTTTCGATCATTGTTTGGCGCCGAATACCGACGGTGACGGTACAGGTTGTGATAATATGACCTGTATTATAGTTCGTTTTGACAATCTTCCTGGTTGGGTTGAATATTACGAAAATAATGATAAAGGTACTGTAATAATTGATCCAACGACCAACGCTAAAAACACATCGACGACAACTACACTATCACCAAGGAAACGACCAATTTCTCATGAACTCTCCGAGGATAGTAATCATGATAATGATGACGAAACACATATTAATGTTCATGATACCAACGGAAACAATTCATCTCCCACCACTAATGATAGTCAGGCAACAACTATGAAACGTCCAAAATTGGAATCTCACGAATTGGAGAATTCCACAGAAGCAACAATTACAAATGGAACAGGTAGCAATGTTAACTAGTAATGTTATGTATTTTATGAAGTTGAAAATACAGGAACAAATGGCAGTTGCATTTTTCTTCTTCATTTTCATTATTATTATTAATACTATTCAGGCAATCAACTGCCCGAAAAATGACAAAGATTTAAAAATAATTCTCTACGTGTCTTTATTCTCAATGGTGTTCGTTTCGTCCGTTACCAAGGTTATAGTAGTATCTTTGTCGATTGCTCTCACTCTCTATCCTTGTCATTGGTTTTTTTGTTTGTTTAATTTTTGGAGAGAAAATTAAAGAAATTGACATACAGTAGTGCATTTATTAATTATAAAAAAAGAGAGAATCATTAACATACTACTGATAAAAGTAGTAAGTTACCACCTTTGAAAAGAGATCTGTGTGTGTGTGTGTGTGTATTTCATATAAGTACACCAATAAAAATGTATGTGTGTATAGATCTAATTGTTTTATACATGGTAAATGTAATTAAGATCTTGTAACTTAGTAATGGTGGTAGTAACGTATTTACATACGACTCCCTCATGGAATAACAACAACTACCCCCTACTACGTTGCGCGTTCTCTCTCTCCCCCTCTCATTCTATTCCTGTTCTATTTAATTTATATTATGTTATCATTGTTCGTTTTAGTAATCTCATTAATAAAAAAACGGAAACAATTCACTGTTCTTCATTCATTTCTACTCTCTCTCTCTATATATATATGAATCAGATGTAATTTAATCTTGTTCATTATGTAACTAAAATCATTCTCTCTCTCTCTCTCATATATATTATATAATTTGGGGTTCTATATTTTTATTCCATCCCCCCTTTCTTTTGTCTAAACAGTGCTCAAATTGTTTCATACAAAAAAATTTTTTTAAATTACTCTTTTTACATTTTATGTATTTGCTTATATAATTGTAAAAAAAAATTAATATATCTATGGACAGAATTATACTGCTCAATATCTTTATGTAATTGTTTGTAAAAAAAAAAACAGAAGGGTGGTGGGGTGGGGAGTCGTTTTGTGCAAATAATGTTTTGTTATATATATGTAATTTTTATTCTATTTAAACACATAAATATTGGTAACAAAGGGGCACCAGATATATATGCGCCATATAAATCTTATTTGATTTGTGTGAGGGCTGTGATACTGCCCAGGTGCCCAAACTGAAGCAGGTGGTTTTCTCAGGGGGACCACACTTGGAGCCTCTGACCTAAAGTTCTGATCCACAAGGCAGTGGAGCATCGTGAGGAGATACAGTCCCATGGTAGCCGGTGACCAACAATTGGTTCATACTCCATTTGTTTCTTCAGGATACTGGATCCCATGTGCACTATTGGTTTGGAATCAGGGTTTTCCAACCTTCCTAGGTGGACTTTCCATGTCCACCAACCCGGTTAAAGCGCCGGACATTCGCCTTTCAATTTCGTAAACAATAGTAATGCCTTGAGATGGCAATGAGTAGGACTTCCCTGACAGAGGCTATATACGCGTGACCATGTGAGAGCATTTGGAGAAAAAGAGCTGATTCTCATCACTCTCGACTGTACCAGTCATACTAAAAACGTCGGTATATATATATATATATATACCGAAGACAATGCTTGTTGAGGTACACGAGAAGGCTACGTAGGATGAGATGTATTATATTTCATAACCTCGTTCAGTTGTCAGAGGTCAAATGTCACTGCGATCACAGCCTTGTATAGTCAGCAGTCAACATTATTACCATTCTCCAACCGACTAGCCTGGCATGATAGAACGTAAAAAGACGAGTATTTCAGATAACATAACTCAATTCGGTCATCACTACATACAAGCACGGATACCGTAACAATAGCAACCGCAGTTGGATACTAGGTAAATGCACTCAGATTGTTGCGTAACCAACGTAAAGTATAGGTCGTCGATATAAATGGTCTCATTATGTCCACCATTCTGAATTCATAATAATAGTTGACATTTAGTGGAAACGATAACTGATTTCTAAAAATGTTTCAATAGATGGATAATATAGGTTTAGAACAAGAATCCTTATTACTTGTCAAATGTGCATTATTTTACTAATCGTAAACTTGGTGGCAAATGTTATTCATAGGTAGCACGTTTTTGCTTTCAGAGAATTAAATTAAATCATTTACCAAGTACTTGTGTATGGTCCTCACTCTACCGATCAGCTCAAAACTAAAGTATAGCGAGGTCTGAAATTAATGGTTGAAAGTCGAACAATTCGACCACTGCTGCTCTTAGTCTTGCAACTCTAACTAACCTGATTGATATGATGAAATGTAAACAGTGTGTGAAGCTCAATTTTCTAGCCCATAATTTAAACGCCTTGCCATCAATGCATCAGGCAAAACGTCTATTTTATGACTTTCATAGTCTTATCTATCTGTGAATTTCCGTGTCTAGTGAATAAATAAGTGGTTGGAAATTTATGGCGCTATGCTTTGAGCATCAAGAGGAGCAGATTAATTCACTACCTTACTTATTTTATTTCTTACAGCATTGTTTATTCTTGAATCTTTCCTATTACCATTGGTTGTACTCCTGTTTCAACTCATGCTATTAATCTCCGACGGATATATTATAGTAACTTATGATGACACATTTATGCCAGACTCTACGTTAGTTGTCTTGTGGTTAACTGACTTTTCGCACTGAATGAATGTTGCTGTACTCTTCATAAGTAACTATTATCCTGAGTTAGTATTGTATGGGGAATAGATGCCATACCTTAATGATCAAATTCTACAAATTTAATACAAAGTAGTGAATTCTTGTTGTAAAACATCAGAATATATCTTCAGATTTTTGTAGCTAGATTCGATCTGAATCCTATGTGTATTTAGTTGTTCGGTTTAGCTCGATCAATTTTGTTACGACAATCGTCAATGGAGTATGAACAATGTAATCCAAACACGTATTGTTAAGAGTTGTAATATATCAAGAACGCTAATTAACAAACCCAATCAGGAAACAATGAATTATGATGTAAGTTATGACGCGTGTGGATTGATGTAATCATCAATCGTTGTATGAATTGATAAGAGTACTTAAATCGTACGAATTATTAATGAATTAAAGCAGAGAAACATGACAATGTAGGAATTGTCAATCTACCGCAAATTATTGTTGTATGCTAACATGTTCATGGATTATTTGCGTATGCACTGTCCTATGGAGAACCTCGTAAGCTTAACATAGAACATGAAGAGATAGTGGTTATCTACACTCATTTCTTTATTGAACAGTTTTTTTTTACCAGATTATGAATAGTTATGCCAACAGGTTTTAGCAACTTTTTATTAATAAAACGACGTCCAAATCGGCTATGATCTATTCAGTAAAAGAAAAACTTGTACTCTCATCTTGTAATTACTTATAGCAATCTCATGTTTCTACATCACATGTACTATAAAAAATTTTTATAAATTAGTGATTTGGGCATACTTTTTCATATTACATTTGTGTTGTATATTGCAGTGATAAGATCCGACAGTGAAAACTGAACAGTATGTGTATGTAGTCGATACTGATTAGTAGCCGCGGGCATTAAGTCAGCAATGCATATGTAATATAAACAAATTAGCATGAAATAAGATACGAATCGAAGTGATTTTCATGTAGTTTTATTCTCTGATCTGGATGGTTTTGTCGTAGAAGTTTCATTATTCTTCTTAATATCATAATGATGACAGATAGTAGTGATTTATTCGAATTTTTCCGCATATGACTAACTGCTTGTCGGTGGACTTCAATCTTGTTATTGTTGACCTCGAACGTAATATCATCTGTCTCTTCATTCTGGTTGAGCCTATCTTTGATCTGATTCTCGATCTTATATTTGTCTATGATTTTTCTGAGAAGTTAATAGATTAAATCGATTGTAATGTGTTTGTTGATCACCAAATGACTTAAGAGCCAAGCTTCTAAAAACTCTAGTGTTCTTAGTATCCCCTCTATTCAGAATTTTAACATTATTCCAGTTGAATAAGTGCCCACCATTGTAGTGGATTCATCAACATTAAAAAATTTATTAATCATAATTGATGTATTAATAAAAGCATCATTTCAGAATGAATACGTTAGCTAAATGAATTATAATGAACCTTGGATAGTATTCAATTACTTCTTCACTACACCTCTATTATTTGGTGTAAGTCAATATTAAACTATATTCCCCATTGAGTATTTAGAATCATGTTTAAGCTGTAGAATGTTTCTGAGTATGATAATCAGATAAGCCAAGTACTCATGTTGTCTTGCAATCCAACTAGGCTACATAAATAGTCTGATTAAAGCAAATATATATATTCCTAAAAATTACAAAACATTGTTGTAACCTTTTGATTGTAATGACAATCGATGTAATGAAAACATATTAGACGCATGTTTTCTACTCTTCTGGACATCAATGCGTTTCAACAATAATGAAATTTTACAGTTGAAATTGAAGGTAGACCGCCTAGGAAGCACTGGACGACCGTGTCGTCCTATTGTGGGACTGCTCAGCAGTGAGCATCCACGATCTCGCTTCGCGAGATTCGAACATAGAACATATTAGCCTTGCGCGCAAGCCCTCAATCACTAGACCACTCAGCCGGCATCCAATGGTGTTGATGTCTAAGTTTAACCAAAACCACGAAGTTGAGCAACCGTTCATCATTGTTGATATCTGACAAAAGGCCTGGTTGAACTCCACTGGTCACCGCTTCTCACTAGAACTCGAGAAAATAGCTTTTGAAGTCAGTCATTAATGAGCACGTATAATGGAATTAACAAAGATATACTTCTATCTTATTCCTCGCCCTTTGTACAGACAATAAAAATTTAGTTATATAAACCCATCAACGCTAATCAATCTATTATATCCCGAAGAGAATTATGAATGGTAACTATGAAGGTTATTTATAGACCAATATGATGCGTATATTTCCTATTGTATAATTGTTAAGTAACTAAACTATTCATATTCGCCTCCCTCTTATTATAAGCTTTATTTTGACCCACAGACTATTATTATACGACTTACGATTCTTGAGTTATCCCTAGTCTATTGATTGCTTCCCCCCACAATCACAGCCAGAATTGGCCAAATTTTTTACAAATGTTATTTTCCATTTTATTGGCACGATGTGGTCAGTGTGTTTGGTATATAAACTCAGTATGTTTGAGAATAATGATTCATATTCTAGAGGCTATTATTGGTGTTCTGTACTTAACTGGCAGGGCTAAGCAGGACCGAGTAATGCTCTAGACTGCTTATACGGTTTTCATGTATCATTGGACAATCAATAAATTCACTTTTCTCTAATAGGCAAGCGATCGATATAACACAATCTAATGATCTGCTAAAAATAATAAACTACAATCTAAACAAAAGTGAATTAACTACTAACAAACATTTAAGTAGCTTCGCAAAATCAACAAAAGAAAACATAATTTTCAACAAAAAAAATCCCAGATATAGGTTTTTTTATATTTTATTGAAAGGGGTATAAATGATAACAAAACTGTACAAAAATGTATTTCCATTGTCTTATATAATTTTCCTTTATTATATAGAAAGAAAACTATCCTATCTAAGATGAACATATTAGATCATTTAAGCATCCATCAAATTGAGAAAAAGAATCCTAAATTATCTACTTAATCGTTGTAAACGATCATGTACATTACGTAAACATTCAATCCATTTAGATTTTGATAATTTGCCGAAATGACCAGTTTTATCCATCATATTACTGATTGTTGTCGTTGGGGTGTTGGTAGTGGTAATATCTGAATTTAAATCAACTAATAAACCAGTAATTTGATTTAAAATACGATCAGCTTGTAACATACGTTGACGTAATGGTAATTGAATAGATGTATTAGTTAAAAAATCTTCAATAATTGTTATTAATGCAATAAATAAACGTTCTTGTAATTCATCACGACGCCATAATGAATCTTTTGAATGAATTAATTCATTATATGCATCAGATATATTAGCAATACATAATAAATGTGAATCACGTAGAATAGTTGGTACCCATGTTGGATTTAATGAATGTTGAATAGCATAATATTCCAAAGTGGAAATGATATCAGCTAATAGATAAGATGAGAATAAAGGAGAGTGTAGAAGAAAACAATGATAGCATTATAGAATTACTGAATAGAAAAACGGTTTGTTCTTCAGTGACTGATGCCTCATAATCAGTTAATAATGAGTCAACAGGAATCATTAGTTTAAAGAACCAATATTTGTAAAAACATAGGAACCTTTTTTCAATCTTAAAGCTACATTATTTTTAGGTACAGAAACAGCTAATTCATTTGAAAACAGGAAAGTCAGTTAGTTATCTACAACGTAGATTCATCCAAGTTGTCATGCCTCATTATCACAAAAAAATGAACACTCATTCCAAACCAATGGTGCACATAGGCTCCAGTATCCTGGTTGAACAAATGGCGTATGAGACAATCGTTGGTCACCGGATACCATGCTACCATGGGACTGCATCTCCTGACGATGTTCCATTGCCTCATGGATTAGATCTTTAGGTCAAAGGCTCGGGGTGTGGCCCCCTAAGAAAGTCATCTGTTTCAGTTTGGGCATCCGGATAATATCATAGTCCTCACACAAATCAAGTGAGATTTGTGTAGCACACATGTATCTCGTGCCCCTTTGTACCAATGGTTATGTGCTTAAATAAATAAATAAACATAAATAAGGTTTGTATATAGGAATATGATACAGGGAGAAACAATCAGTTCGTTGGAAGAAAGGTATAAAGTAAATTTAACCTCATAATTCAAGGGAAGACAAATAGTGTTTACACCTATGCCATTGTGATTGATTCTGAGTTATTTCACCCAGAGTCTCTAAGCATTGGTTACAATAGTTGCGCGGAGCTCAACCAAGTGGTCTGCATTTACCAACATGGTTCAGAACAGAAGTTACTGACTACAAGGACTAATGCTAAGTTTTAGTTTGACCGCCAACTAACTTTCTTCCATCTGTCTTCAACACTAATCAGCATTGCAAATAGAAAGGTTCATGTACATAGATCTTAAATAACTGAAACAGTAATTCCTATGACTTTATCATTTATAATGAAATATGGATTGAAAAATTGTAATTTTTATTGTCATTTTCACTTAATAGTGACATTTTTGTACGAAGCATTTTATAAAAAATGGAACATTAGACAAGATTACTTAACAACATTGACGTAAGAATGAACAAGAAAGTCTTTGAATCGCACTTGATCATTTAAGTGTTTAACGTTAACCGGATAGAATGCTGATTATGGTATACTTTGATTGGGTTCAACACTGAATGTGTACATTGTTTAAAATTACCACAACCCATTGGCACAGCAAGATAAAACGGCCAAGACGAATCACAGAGTATAAGAGATAACAACTGTACCATTGATAACAGAAAAGATTATGCATCCCAGATGCTATTCCCAGGAAATATGTCGACTAGGTAAATAAAAGAATTCTATAAAAAGTTGAGAAACTTGGGATCGTGAGAAATACAAAGAGTGGTTGCACCTCCGAAATCGCCAACAATTTTGATTCATGTCAACCAAAGTCTATGACTACTGGTTACGATAATTATTCCAACCTCAACCACCTAGTTTGCACCTACCTACATGACTCAATTCACAGGTCAGTATCATCATGTATTGACGCCTTGTAACGATTTAGTCAATCCTAGCTTTCTTTCAACTTTGTGTACACATCGGTTCAGTAATAAAATAATACACATTATACTAAAACAGAATATAAATGAAACTTACTTAAAGGGAAATAAATGGAACATTTTAAATGATTTGTACTTGAATCATTCAAAAAACGACTACCAAAACGTGATAAACAATCTTGTAATGTTAATTCAATTAATTGTAATGTAGATGAACGATTTGTTGTTTTAATATCTTGTGGTTTAGTATATGGAGTAAACATTGAAGGTGAACGTTTCAATGGACTTTGAGTAGTAACAGTAGTATCAATGGATGGTTGATTAAGTATTTTACGTAAAAGATCACGCCAAATTGCTTTGATTAATGCAGAATCCTTTATAACACACAAAAAAAAGAATTAGATATATACTCGAAGTAGTAGTTAACTAGTGATGGGATGACCCTGCAATTTTTTCGCAAGCGACATGACAAGCTTATGGGTCATCAAGGAGCATTTCAACCAATCAGCGATTAATTAGAAGTTATGTTACTAAAATAACGAAAATGGAAAAGTCACATGTGGAGATCCTGATTGGCTGATTAACACACTGCTACTATGTTTAGCAGTATTGTAGAACTTTCGGTAAAACTCAAGGACTCTTAAATTACTATAAAATCCCCATATTTTCTGTACATGAATGAACCCTGTAGTAAAGTGCTTCCCACACACTTTGTGCCTTTTCTCTGGTCTTAAAGTCGCGGAGTAGTTCTAGCTCAAGGGTACGGAACTAGCTTAGGAAAGCGAATATAGCGTTTACAATCGGCCAGACGTAACAACTAGAAAGGTGTTTTTTTGTTCTACTTTAGAAAATGAATTTTGATTGAACTTTTTGGAATATTAAATTACCATACCCTATGGGCATAGCGAGATAAAATTGTTAAGTCGAATCCCAGAGTAGTAGAGATAACAACTGTATCACTTTAAATATCAGATGAATTATGATGAAAATATAACTACATACTATAAATTGGTGAATACAAAGAAAAACAATCGACTTGTATAAAGAGTAAAGTTAGTCAGAAACTTCACTTCATTTCTACCCGAAGTTTGTGATGATGATATCGTTCAGAAGGATGATGAAAGCTACACGACCAAACCATTCAGCTCGGAGAACAAACCTATGTCAAAATTAGTCAGAAACTGCTACAATATTTCAGTAGAGGGATATAAAACTACTACAAAAATTCCAGAGTAATAGAACTAATAACAGTATCAGTGGTAATAGTAGAAAATATTATCCATAGACAACATGATTTGAGAGGAGAAAAATCACTTCATTAGTAAAATATAGTACAAGATAAATATGAAACTCGAAATCAAATGGAAGATAAATGATTATGATAAGTCTTGGTGATTGAACGCTATACTCGGATCCTAAGCGAGTCGCGTAACCTTCAAGCTAGAACTACACAGCGACTTGAACATGAAAGAAAATGCACAATATACGAGAAGCACTTTACTCCAGAGGTTCATTCATGTACAAAGAATATAAGGTTTTTATAGTATTTAACAAGTCCTTAGGTTTTGGTGAAAATTCTGGAACGCTACTAAACATAGTAGCAGTGTAGTAATCAGTCAATCAGAAACTCTACATGTAACTTTTACCTTTCGTGATGTTTCTAGCAAAACTTCTAGTCAAACGCTGATTGGATAAAATGATTCCTAATATTTCCTGAGCTTGTCATGTATGTTGCGAGAAATTTTCAGGATCGTTTCAACAGATTAAATGAGTGTTTACCAATGTGTTCACTAATGTAATGTCCAAAACATTAGCCTCAATAATACTTTCGAATCTAACTAGAGCTTGTGAAGAGCCAACCAGAGTAAACCAGTCTACTTTCAGACTTGGACATGGTGTATAGACCAAACATTCACCCTTCAACAGAATATGGAACGTAGGTACACTTTTTGACATCTAACTCAAGTTCTGTTCCTTGACTTTAAAGTGGTGTTCGACGTTGTTGATCGTGAGTTTCTGTGGCAATGTCTGTTATTGAGAAGCTCAATTCAGTAGTGTTTACTCAAAAGCCTTATATAAGCAACTACATGGAAAAAACATCGACAGCTATGTAGCTTTTATATTCAGTTTCAAATTAATTCTTTTCATTTTATTCTTTGCTAAGATATGCAGGTACAAAAATTTTCTTTAGGATTAACCCGTTAGATTTCGTTTAACTCAACCGATCATCTCAGTAGAGCAAAAAGTAATTAATTGCCAAGATTTAGAAGCCATTCTTGAATGACTGAACTTAAACTAATGACTACGTTACTGTTATCTAAGAATAGTGATAAATTACATTCGACCGGAAATTCACACTTTATTTCCTCTATGACATATAACGTGAACGTAATTTCATAATAAATAATGAATGTGCTTTACTAGTCAATACACACACTCATAATGAAAGACAAGTAAATCAGATGAGGATTTTGTGGAGATTTCAGTATTTTCAAAGTTGAAACCGTGAGTCCTGGGGTCGAATCTCGAGAGTGCGGGATCGTGGATGAGCACTGCTGAGGAGTCCCAAAATAGGACGAAACGGCCGCCCAGTGTTTCCCGGTTTTTCATGGTGGTTTAGCTTTAATTGACACATGGTTTTAACTTTGACAAATAAGTTCATAAGAGTAATACTGATTACGTTATTACTCTGGTTCTTAGATGCCGAGTACCAGAACAGAATACAAACACCCTTCTCGTGGCGGGGGTGTTGTTTACGAAAGTGAGAGGACGAAAAGCGAATGTCCGGTGCTTTAACCGGGTTGGTGGACATGGAAAGTCCATCCAGAGGAGTTGAAAAACCCTGATTCCAAACCAATCGTGTACATGGGCTCCAGTATCCTGATGGAACGAATGGCGGACGAACCTGTCATTGGTCAACGGCTACCATGGGACTGCATCTCCTCACGATGCTCCACTGCCTTGTGGATCAGACCTTTAGGTCAAAGGCTCCGGGTGTGGCCCCCTAAGAAAACCACCTGCTTCGGTTTGGGCACCCGGGCAGTATGACAGCCCACACAAGTGTGGCGCATATGTATCTGGTGCCCTTTTGTACCAATATATATGTGTTTAAATAAATAAAATAAAATACAAACACCATTGTGAGAAATCACTTACACTTCTATTTTTAGGAAATTCATTGTTTGAATGAAATTGAGAGTGAACAACAGAACAATGTTAGCAGATTCATCTAACGTTTATCGAATTATTTTTCATAATTTTACGACAATCAATATAATAAAGTCAATTTACTACTTAGTCAATTATAGTAGTAAGTACTATCACTCCAATTGTCGTTCTGGATAACATCATGAATAATGATGATGATATTACATACTTCCCTAAGCACAGATTCGTATTGTGGGCTTTAAATCACATTTCATGTATGAAAGGGTTAGTGATATTCACTGCTTGTCCAACTTAGGCTGGACCGAGTGAAATTCAAACCAGCGACCAGTAGTAATTTCAATATTGTATAATGGGTGCTGAATATATTGTTCATAAAACAACAATAACTACTGCAAAATTAACCTATCTACTTTAAGGAGACTCACACCATGAAAGGATCCACCTTACCTGTAAATCATCTTTATTATATAATAAAAGCAAGCATGAAAAGTAAACACATTTATCACTTACCTGAGAACCACTAGCCCATAATAAAAACAATTTTGATTCGTGTAAACCAAATCGATCAGCATAATTGGCAAACATTTCAGTGACACCTAACAATGGTCCATGAGTTAACTGTCCTAACGCCTCATCAATATCATCATTTATAGTTGTTGATAGAAGTGAGATATGACCACTGCCACGTGTTAATGATGACGGTGATGATGATGGCGGGGATCCTGATGTCTGTTTGTTTTGATGTCGTTTTGGTTGATAGCTTAATTGTTTCTTTAATTGTTTTAATTCATTTGTTAACATTTGTTGTAATTGTGCTAGTTCTAAGCGAACTTCAAGATCTCTTAAATAATCTAAATCTTGTTGAGAAGCTTCATATATTAGGAAATGATAATATATTTGTAAAAAGAGAAAAGAAATTGTATGAAAAATCAGTAAAGTAATATTATAAGTTATAGGTAAAACAGAGTTGGTCAGAATATAAGAACGCATGTCATCCTATCTAGGACTCTAAAGTGTTGATGACTACATTGTGACTCAAACCAAATGCCTTCTCCTCAAACACTCAATTCGTTATCAACTGAGTTGCCGAGTCTTAATAGTCGTCAGTTAATGCATCCAATTTAAGAGTTATAACGGTATTTGTAAGAGTTTGCATTTTCTTGTTGATCATATCAATTCTCTTTTGAAAATATTGGAATTCAAGCCAATTTTTGTTATGAAAAAGTGTCTTAGACCGATGGGAATATCAAGATAATCCATTCAAGATAATGAATAAAGGTCAAAAGAAAATGATCAGTTGTCGATTTTAGAACTAAAAGTAGAAGAATTCTCTCAATCAAATAACGTCTATTTGTAAGGATAGGTCGTGCACAGACCAGATTGCGACACTACAGATCATCGCTGAACAATCAGTTGAGTGGAACTCATCACTATATGTCAACTTCATTGACTATGAGAAGGCGTTTGACAGCGTGGATAGGAGAACATTATGGAAACTAATTCGATACTATGGAGTTCCTGAAAAGATTGTCAACATTATCCAAAACTCATACGATGGACTACAGTGCAAAGTCATGCATGGAGGACAGCTGACAGATGCATTTCCAGTAAAGACCGGAGTCAGACAAGGATGTCTACTCTCCCCATTACTCTTCCTTCTAGTGATTAACTGGATTATGAAGAATTCGACATCTGACGGGAAATACGGAATACAATGGACAGCTCAGAATCAATTAGATGATTTGGACTTCGCGGATGACCTAGCCCTCCTCTCTCATACACACGAACAAATGCAGACGAAAACAACAAATGTAGCAGCAGCCTCTGCATCAATAGGCCTCAACATACACAAAGGAAAAAGCAAGACTCTCAAATACAACACGGAGAACACCAACCCAATCACACTTGATGGCGAAACTCTGGAAGAGGTGGAAACATTTACGTACCTGGGAAGCATCGTTGATAAACAAGGAGGATCTGATGCAGATGTAAAGGCGAGGATTGACAAAGCAAGGGCAGCATTTTTACAATTGAAGAACATGTGGAACTCAAAACAACTCTTAACCAATTTCAAGGTCAGAATCTTCAATACGAACGTCAAGACAGTCCTACTGTATGGAGATTAAACGTGGAGAACTACTACGAACATCATCAGGAAGGTACAAGTATTTATAAATCGTTGTCTATGCAAAATACTCAACATTCACTGGACGGATACTATCAGCAACAGAGTTTTATGGAAGAGGACAAACCAGCTTCCAGCTGAAGAGGAAATTAGGAAAAGACGTTGGAAGTTGATCGGACATACATTAAGGAAATCACCAAAGTGTATCACAAGGCGATCCCTAACTTGGAATCCAGAAGGGAAGCGGAAAAGAAGTAGGCCAAAGAACACATTATGACGGAAAATAGTAGCAGAGATGAAAAGGATGAATAACAATTGGAAAGGATTGCCCAGGATATGGTTCGATGGAGAATTCTGAGGAGCGGTCTATGCTCCTCCACGAGGGGTAACAGGTGTAAGTAAATAAGTAAATTATCCAGTGGCTGAGATAATCAGAAATGAATCTTAATCAATCTATGTTGGAATACGTGTCACTTTGTGTAGATTGTACTTTAAGTGAGAAAAAAGTGCGTATCTTGATTTCTACTATCCATTACAAATAACTTATGATATGTAAAACTTGTAGCGAAATGGCTATATCATAGTATTCCACACGAAAGCATAGAATGAATTACAGAGTTTGTTGTATGGGATTGTAAGAAAAAGGGAGAATTCGTGAAAAAAAAAGAATAAATAATTATTGCTAAATAAAATACTTGTCAAGAACGGTAAATAATACGAGAGAGAGTTCAGTAGTCGAACACACGTGATCGAAACTCAGGATTACCAATATGGTGTCGCAAATCAATACCAGCAGTCCTTCGGAGACAACGACAATCAAACACAGAGTCGCGTAATATCCTCAACTCGCAGAGGCCAGGCCTCACAGCCACAAAGAAAGACTGCTCTTACTGAAGCGTTATGAATCTAGATTTCTACGACTAGGCTAACATAACAAAGGTGCCAAAGATGGCCTAGACTGACATAAGCCGCTCTGGCTTGCACTATACGTAAATTGATTTAATTAGTCACATCTGCACTTATACAACTCAGCAGATATGCGAACTTTTCAAATGATTTTGACTGTCTACCACAAAGAGTGATTGCAGACACATGCTTCTATCAGATAGTGAAAGCATTCGGTATTTAGGTGCATTGTGCATATCATACTTACGGACATTGACTGAAAACTGATTATGATTAGTGTAGCTTGATGTCACTTTACAGTAAAACAATATGGTCCGCATACTCAAGGTCGAGAAGTCTTTTTCCGAGTAACAGATACGCACCACCAATACTACCTATTTCCATAGTATGATCGAATAAATTCAGAATCATAGTTCCCCCCTCCCAAAAAGAAATTGTAATCAATCGCTGACGTCATTTCCCTCAACGACTTCAGTTAAATCCAAGGAGCAGGACTGATTTTTTAAGGATGGAAAGGTGATATAGTGGGCCAATCAAAATTATCCAAATGAGAAGGTCACTTGAAAGAAATGACCTGAATGACAATTGTATATCATTGGCTAACAAATGGATTCGTTTTCTAAGAAGAAATGTATATATATATTAATCAGTATTTGTTCATATTAATCGGTAGCCCAATAAATTTTCTCTTTCATTCTTGTCTTTTCTTTCAAGTAGTCACTTTTGGGAGTTAGCACGTAGTACGCTGTGTATCAAAATCAGATCACGGACATCACCCATCATAACGATATAAACCATTTTGGTAGATGCCAAATACCTGGATGGGGGCCGCAACATAACCATGATGGGTGACTGCTGACATTGAGTAACTTAGCTCAAAATCGATCACAATGGTGTATATGCATTCACTTATTATCTCACTCTAAATCTTGAGTTCCATTATATCTTCATTCATACCTCTTCACTCTGTCTATTTGAACCATATTCTCAACACTTAGTCTTTATCATTATAATTGCAACTGCATTATTTCAATTCCTCCATTATACACAATTTTAAATTCATCTCATACTGTTAATGTGATAAAAAACTTAAACAAATGTATAAACAAATCAGGCTACAAGTTGATCTCGACTAACTGAATAATTGAAACATGTACTTGATTTTATAGAGTTGAAATCATGAGTCAATTGAAGCTAGACCACCATGGAAAACCTGGAAGCATTGGATGGTCGTTTCGTCCTATTATGGGACTCCTCAGCAGTGCGCATCCAGGTTTTCGATGGTGGTCTAACTTCAATCGATTCATGATCTCAACTCTATAAAATTACTAAAATCTCATCCAAACCCCTTCTGATAATGTACTTGATTATCTATTTACTCTAAATGAATGTTTCAAAAACTTGGAAAGTGAAATGATTATGTAATGTAAATAAAAAAGATTCAAACATCACATATCATAGTAATGATGAAATGAACAACTAATAAACTAATAAAACCATATATGTAAATCAATTAAATGTATTAACCTGGAAGTGCTTTGACAGCGACAATAGCACGTGCAGCAAAATCTAGTCTATCCTCTAAAGTTAATTGATGACATGGTGTAACAGCTAAATGTTCCAACACTTGAGCTGCTTCTAAACGTGCACCACGACGTTCCAATAAACGCCATAAAAGACAACGTAAATTAGCATCATCTGGTGTTTGACGTAGTCTTGAACGTAGATATGCTTCAAAATGCGCTGAATTTAATAACATCACCGTATCAGTAAGACCATTGGATAATAACCAATTGAAAACCTAAAGGAAGAAATGTTTTAAAATAATTAGTTGAAAAAAAAACTGATTGAGATCATGAATTTATGAATGTTAGACCACCACTGAAAACCTGTAAGCATTGAATTGACATGTGATAATAGTAGTTCAACGATAATATATGAAATATTTGGTATGTGGCTAGAAGTACAAATAGGGACAGGCACTGTCCCAACTGGAACTCGTCAACTATTGATACACCTGTATCTCAGTGTTGATATTTATATTGAGACGCGAACTCACCACCTTTCACCTTAAACGCCTTTATAACTGATGCCATACTTGGATTTATTCGACCTTTTTTCAATTCACTTCTTTCTAAGCTGGTGGCAGTCAATGATAGAAAATTACATTCGGAAGTAGAAGTGATGACGAAGGCAGCATAGCTGTTATGCTGGTTATCTGAAGGAAACACCTTACTGCTGTCACACCTCTGTAAAGTCAGCAGTAGGACTTCACCTTCAGACCTTGGGATTGCTACTTTTAGTCTTACCACTCTTCAACCGACCTGGCTGGCATGGTAGGACCTTGAGGAACGATTGCTTCATCATCACGATAGGCAACGATAGCAGCAACGGTCTATGTTGAGTATGATTGGTAAAGAACACGACAAAAAAAAAAAAGAAGAATAACAATTTTTGGCATAAAACTCAATTGTAAGAAATAATTACTTCAAAATGTGCCAATATATCATCAGATTTATTAATATCCATTAAAATGATTTGTAAAATAGATCGTGCCAATTGAGGTGATGATAAATCATTTAATTCATTTAGAATAAATAATGAATTAGATAATTCATTAATATTGAATGGATATTCTTCACCATCTTGATTGGTCTTATTCAATATGGTTTCATTATTATTAGTAGTAGTAGTAGTATTAGTAGATATTGGTTCAAGAAGATAAGTTGCATCAGATTTAATTTGTGCTGCATGAAGTAAATGATCTAAACAAATAGTCATACGACGATATGCATCGTATCTATGATAACAAAGGAATGGAATAATCAAAACATAGATAATCATCAGTACAAATGAGAAAGTGATAAAACGTTATTCAATATAAATTCTCTTTCTTTCTCACATCTTTACTAATTGTTCGATGAACAGTTCGAAAATTGTTGTCAGTATACAAGAAGTACGAAGATTACTGTTGTTTATATCTTACATCATAAACTAATTTTAATAATTTATCTATAAAAAAAACCAAGAAGGTTTAAACAGCTGTTATGTCTCGAAGTTCTGGATAGAAGCCATGTTCAGTGTAGTTTAACCAAGCCAGGTGTTAGGCAGTACACGTTCGCTCATGTGATCTGATGGATAAGTAGTTTTTTTATTTACCTGATCAACATATTTTCTGGGAATTGCATCTGGGATACGTGATGCTTTCTGTTAACAGTGGTACAGTGGTTATCTCTATTACTCTAAGATTCGGCTTGACAATTTTATCTCGCTGTGCCAATGGGGTATAATAATTTGAACCAGTATACAAACATCAGGTTGTATGTTGCACTTCAGGTGACATGGCTCAGAATCGATCACAATGGCGTAGGTGTATACACTCTTTTTCTTCCCTTAATGTGTGAGATTAAAATTGCTTCATATCTGTCTTTCTTTCTGTATTATATCCTTATATACAACCTTTCTTTTATATATTACCACCACTAAATTAACTACTCCTATGAATCCGGTGTTCACTTTGTTGTGCTAACGAGGTATGGCTACTTTGACCGATGAATAAATGTGCTTGGTCGTACGTTGTACCTGACTGACTGACGTTACACATGAATGACTAACTGATTACAATAAAGATGGATATTGTTGCGGACAGCTAAGACTGAGAAAATAAGATATCTAACCAATAAAATTGGAAGAAGCAAATAACTAAACAGTTTTCTGAGATTTTTAACATCCCTAATCACATAATTTAAGTTTTCAGTAGAGAAAATGCACATTCTCATATTATATAATTGACAATCAATAAAGAAACATATAACAGCACAAGTGGTGTCAGTTTGCAAAATATTAAAAAGACACTCCATTTACCAGTATGGGCCAGTGTTTCAATGGTTACACATCACTACACTATCAACTAGTAGGTCTTCAGTTCAAACCTTACGATATTATCACTAACCTTCACTTAAGTACACTGACTTAAAACTGAGTACTTAAGTCTTTGCTTGGTAGATGGGTTACATAAGGCCCTATATTTCAGTTGAATAGTTAAATAATCCAGAAACTGTAAAACATCAACATCAACACAACCGAATAATGACTAACCTGCCTTCTGTGGCTGCTAATTCCGAAACAGCATAAAGTCGATTCAATTTAGATCGATTGGTAAATCTGTGATCAAAATCAATTAATGGATCAGAAGATGGACGACGACCTCGTTTTAAACAGTCCACAGCTATATCGGATGGATCACGTGAACGTGCAACAGATAAGCATAGTTTCACTGCACCACGCCATGCACCACAACTTTCTAATCGATGCACTGCATTATCTAAATTAATACTAGGTCCAGCTTCGCTATATAATAAGATTGCTTCAGAAATCAGTTGATCTATATGTGTCCTGTCAGAAAGACTATTCTCATATTGAATATCACTCAAATTCTCTCCATTGTTTATTGATGATAAAAGATTTGTTCGAATTATAGATGCCTTAGAAAAAAAAGGTTAAATAGAATAAGGAATTTCCATGTGAAAAGGATGTAGCGTATTTATATGTATCAATGCAAAAGTTGAACTTCATAGTTCCAAATAAATTGAGGACTAGGTAGAAAGCTAATGATATATTTCTGACGTTTTATGACTTAACGCAAGTCACTTCGATTCAGTCTTATACTGACAGGCATTTCATTCCTGATTGCTGCGGCATACTATTTATTATATCTGTCAGCACTAGTGGTAAGCACAACACACAGTTTAAACTTATTCAGCTCATTTACTAGATACAGATTTATTTACTGGATTTTGAGTCACACTCTAAGTGTGAGGGCAGGTGATACTAAATTATTGTTCAAACTGAAGTATGTGGAATATGGTTCGAATCTGTGACTTAATGGTCGAAAATCGAACGCCATGACCATTATTAAGATACTTTTTCATAAAGTAAACTAGAAATTTGTGAACGAATTATAAAGGTTTCCAATGATGCGTTGGAGTAAAGCTGAACTATAAGAGTTTTATAGTTTTTTTGAAGGTGATTTTGTGCTAGTGTCTCAACTATCTAGATACCTTCTCATGAAGTTTTGGGGATAACCATTTTTATTTATGTGTAGGGTGCGACAGAATATAACTCTCTATATACAGCTGAAATATCGCCATTAAATTTGTTTAACAAAATTTAGGAACATAGAAAACATGTATATGAACTTAGAAACAAGTTACACTGTATTAGAGAACAGCATTAGTGATGATATCCAGTTGCCTAAATGGAAATAGATAAATCAAAGTTCGTGTTTGATTGAATAATTAAAAAGTGGAATGTTGTATGGTTGGAACTAATCAACAAGAAGCCTCACCTAAAGTCGGTTTTGTACTATGCTGAGTTCATCAGCAAGAAGTACTTGGAATATTTAGATAGTCGTTGTTTTCTGAAGAATTCGAACATGCTTCACTCAGCTAGGTGTTATGAGTGGAACGTTACTGATAAGTTAGTTAGACGGTAACTGACATCAAGCAGAACCGAGACATTTACAACTCATTGATCAGTAAGCAGTGCTCAATTAAGTATGAAAGGTAAAATGCTGGCAGAACGGTGGTGTATATCACATCAAACATTTCAGTCAAAAATTTTGACATTCACTGTACAGTAATTTTTTTACAAGAAACTACAATGCAAACTATGCGTGAAAACATAAAATACTTGACGCAAGTAGATGTAATATTTAAAAAGGATATTATAACACTGTTTTTAAGTGAAGAGGAGATCAAGATGATGAAAATATGAGAGGAATAAAACAGAGTTATCACCCATTCACTCACTTGGATTAAGCATTCACTAGCTTTAGCACACATAGCATCTTCATTTGCGAATAAACTAGGACAAGTGGATTGAAGACGTGATGTGATAGTTTCCACAGTTAGATTATTATTAGCAGTGGTAGTACTGAGAATATTACGACTTTCTTCTTCTAACTCTTCACTTGCCTCCACAAGATAATATTCAATTAGGGCAGTAATTAATGCACCGATAACTTCAGTACCGGTATGATTGGATGTTGTATTGAAACCAACACTACTACCAGTACGAGCAGTAGTAGTGGTTGCACTGGCAACGCCTACGCTACCAACTGAGGATGATATTGGACTTCTACTTATCCGACTATCTCCAATTAATGAAGTTTGTACATTGCTCATAACTGATCCAATGCATGGAATGTTTAACAAACTTGATATATATGCTTCAATAGTTAATTTAAGCGCTAAATCTCGATGTTCACTAGACAGTCGTCTACAAGGAAAGGGAAAAATGTGCAGTTATTAGGGGGTAGATGAAAAAGCAGTAATTTACATCACAGATTAATCTTATTTAAGCAGTTATCCGAAACCAAGGAACACTGGAAAGCTATCATTCTTCAGTTATCGACGAGACTATGATTTATCGACGAACCAATCAGATTTAGGATAACAGATCTTCGATTTTGGAACGAAATTCATTCCCCCCATTCATCTAAATAACGTTTTAGCATTTTGGCTGATGTCAGTTCGTGATAAAAACCCTAAATCTAATTCCTAATCCTAATCATCAACTGTAAATCATAATCTTTGTTCTTCACACGGGTTTATAACCCTCATTTAGCCCTAGTTAATTGGCGGAGATTCTCAAGGTCACTTTAACGTCGCTCAAAGGTCGTCTATAAATTAGAGTCTCATCCAGTTATCAAGAAAATCTCTTCCATAACACTAATATTTTTAAAAGAATGATGTAATCTTGTAGCAATTGATAGAAGTTTTGAGTAGGAAAACCAACTCAGGAAGTGATTGTAATAGCTTGGACATGTGTATAATATTCATACTTAATACTAGTTATGATATCTAGCACAGCCTTAATGTGTCGGATAGCCATTATAGTTACACAGATATTATTGGAGAATATTGGTTAGGAGCACTTGTGGGGCTACACTCGGGGCTACAAATCTTCTACACTATCTTGATAGTGGTTGTATACATTGACTTGGTCTACCAAATTTTTTTGATCAGTTTATATATTTAGTGGTTGGTCAGTATGAAAAACAAGTCAGTTAATAAGATAATCAAACCTTCGGAGGTTATTTTCTCTAAGACCTAGTAATCTATTAACTAATTTCGAAATTTTACACCACTTTCCTTCCAGAAAGTTGGGCAGTAATGGTTGACTGTTCGACATTTTCAAATGACACTGACTTACGATACAGTGTGTTAATCAAAAGTCGACAAATGAGAAGATCACGTTGTGCTAAACAAAAGTTATCTAATGACAATTACATGTTATTGGATAAGAAATAGTTTTATTTTCTAAGGTGCAGACATAGATATACATATATATAAGAGTACTTATGTATTGTATTCAGTTTAACCCAATCAACTTCCTTCTTCATTCTCAGATTTTCCACCCAATAGCAAGTTGGGGGCTTGTGTAAAGGAAGTTTGTGCATCAGTATCAGATTCGAATACCCAGCGTCGTAACAATTTCAATACAGAATTATAAATGTTCAATAAAAGCAATAACACTATCAGCAGGATAATTCCCTGACTAATGGATACACTGATCAAGCTTAAATTAGAATATTTGGATTGAAATACTTCCGAACAATTTATTTATTTAAACACATAAATATTGGTACAAGGAAGCACCTGATACATATGCGCCATACAAATCTCATACGATTTGTGTGAGGGCTGTGATACTGCCCACGTGTTCGAACCGAAGCAGGTGGTTTTCTTAGGGGGCCACACTCCGAGCCTTTGATCTAAAGGTCTGATCCACAAGGCAATGGAGCATCGTGAGGAGATGCAGTCCCATGGTAGCCGGCGACCAACACTTGATTCATACGCCATTTGTTTCTTCAGGATACTGGAGCCCATGTGCACCATTGGTTTGGAATCAGTGTTTTCCAACTCCCCTAGGTGGACTTTCCGTGTCCACCAACCCGGTTAAAGCACCGGACATTCGCTTTTCGTATTCGCAATTTCGTAAAAAAACAACCCCGCCACGAGAAGGCAATAAGCATTAGTGAACGAACAGAGAAGCAAAAAAGGTTCTATTACTGGATATTGATCATTCTCTATCAAATCTTGTTTTAATTTAAGATTTGAGTGAAGTATCATGGTCATAAAATATCAAATAGTTGAAGCATATGACATATACCTAATGAATTTCATAGTTGAAATCATGAGTCAATTGAAGCTAGACCACCATGGAAAACCTGGAAGCACTGGACGGCCGTTTCGTCCCATTATGGGACTCTTCAGCAGTGCGCATCCACGATCGTCCAGTGCTTCCAGGTTTTCCATGGTGGTCTAGCTTCAACTGACTTATGATTTCAACTATGAAAACACTGAATTCTCCACAAAACCCCCCTTCTGATCTAATGAATTTCATCATTTGAAATTAAAATTTCAAATTAATGAGTGAAATATGAAACAACATACTTCATAATTTTGTGAACAACATGTTCACTCAATATCTCCCAAAACCCTAATATCTCTGCAATCATAGATAATAAATGATGTAATTCTTCAGCTAATCTTTGAAGTGCCACTTCATCCATATACTCTTCAGTATTTAAACCAGTAGGATTATCTGATAGTGTAGATTCTAAATGAATATTACCATTGACATTGCCAATAGAATGATGCGATGGTGATAGTCGAAACCAACCACCACGAATATTTAATTGACGTTGAATTAATTGTTGTAAATAGATGATTTGATTACGTAACCATGAAATTTCAGATGTTTCCAAACGGGAAATTATCTGTTTTTAGAAAATGTTATAAACGAAACAAGTAATGAGTCAAATTGAAAGCATATATAATGAAATTGTTAAATAACATATTACAATAAATAATTACACTGTAGTTCGGCTTATTATGAATCTAGATCTATCTAGTACGAAGGAGTACACTAATTGAAACTAAAAGAACATATATGCTATCACATTTGATCTAAACCATTAACAGTGAAGTAGCACCACCAAACTTTGATGTGTCTAGATGATATATGAGAGTGAAGTAGGGGGATTGGTGAACGCAATACAATTTATGTACTTGCAGCCCAAAAAGGCTCCACAATATCTTATTTTATTATTATTTATTTGAACACAAATATTGGTACAATGAAGCACCAGATATATATGCGCCATACAAATCTCATTCGATTTGCTTGAGGGCTGTGATACTGCCCACGTGCCCAAACTGAAGCAGGTGGTTTTCTTAGGGGATCACACCTGGAGCCTTTGACCGAAAGATCTGATCCACAAGGCAGTGGAGCATCGTGAGGAGATGCATACCCATGGTAGCCGGTGATCAACGATTGATTCGTACGCCATTTGTTCCCTCAGGATACTGGAGCCCATGTGCACCATTGGTTTGGAATCAGTGTTTTCCAACTCCCCTGGGTGGATTCTCTATATCCACCAACCCGAATAAAACGCCGGACATTCGCTTACCGTCCTCTCAATTTCGTAAACAACACCGGTATCACGAGAAGATAGTGAGTAGGACTTCCATGACAGAGGCTATATATTCGCTGGCTATGTGAGAGGATTTCGAGAGGGAGAGCGGACTCTCCTCACTCTTGGCTGTAACAGGGCATTGGGGGGCACAAAAATACAATTATTCAGTTCTATATATTTCACTAATGCGCATATGTATATCCATTCACCCCTGATCAATTAAACTGCGAGTTAACAACATTAACGGACCTACCAAACCCCAGAAACCGTATTTTGGGTGATCTGGCTACAATAAACCAACAGTTTCTTCTAAAGTTTTCATCGTGATAGGGGTTACAAAACATCTGCCTAAAAATAGAATACCTCACCTAGCCCCACAGATTTCCGTTCTCAACGGTAAGGAACCTTCGAAGCGCAGAGCTGATACATTAAGAACACTCGCTAACAAGTTATGTCACCAGCGTCAAGTAGACATTCTGTGTGCACTGTGGTAACATCCACATAACCACAAGAAAACCCTTAATACAGTTTCCTTCTCACCTACCGCAAGAAGCAGAATTCCTAGATTGTATGGACGACCGTTAAGTTATAACCCCTCTTAAACTTCCGACAGCACTCGAGATCAACTTGGATCTGAACTACTTGTCTAACGATTCACTACTACTGTTTGATCTTCAAAGTAACCGCATAGCATGCATGCAGAAAACACAAGTTGATAATATTAGTGCACATGCACCCAAATGCCCTGGTACGGCCGAGAGTGGGGAGAGTCACCTCTCCCTCTCGAAATACTCTCATATGGCCAGCGAATATATAGCCTCTGACAGGGAAGTCCTACTCACTGCCTTCTCGTGGCACACGTGTTGTTTACGAAAGTGAGAGGACGAAAAGCGAATGTCCGGCGCTTTAACCGGGTTGGTGGACACGGAAAGTCCACCTAGGGGAGTTGGAAAACACTGATTCCAAACCAATGGTGCACATGGGATACAGTATCCTGATGGAACGAATGGCGGACGAACCTGTCATTGGTCAACGGCTACCATGGGACTGCATCTCCTCACGATGCTCCACTGCCTTGTGGATCAGACATTCAGGTCAAAGGCTCTGGGTGTGGCCCCCTAAGAAAACCACCTGCTTCAGTCTGGGCACCTGGGCAGTATCACAGCCCTCACACAAATCGAATGAGATTTGTGAGGCGCATATTTATCTGGTGCTTCATTGTACCAATATTTATGTGTTTAAATAAATAAAAATAAATAATCAGTGCATAGATCGACTTAATTTTATATGATAACACATTAACGCTTATACTCTTACTACCTCTACCACTATGGGATTTGAGTCGACAATTGCATCTCTGTGCTAATGTGGTATGCCAACTCGAACTGATGTACGTACGTACGAAGTTCTACGCTGTGACTAACTGACTGACTGAGATGATATGAAAAGAAAGCATTCAGAATCATTTGTCTCTGATTTAAAATAACCATTTCCAGATGACAAGAAGCAAACACGAACGGTTTTCAAAACGGAAACCCATATATGAATTATTTTGATAGTTTGAAGCAATATACTGAAGGTTATAGGATTGGTGGTAATCAGAAACTGTTGAATAATATAATCCACATTTGAGCGCATATATCCTACAAACCTATTTACACGATGTGGATAGAATAAGCATCCGAAAATAGTGACAATGTTATATACACATTAAGAACCATTGAAATTTATCATAAGATCTTAACTTAATTTACCAAATATAAGTTTGTATACTCGCCATCAAAACACAAGTTTTGAGTTATTAATAGTAAGCAAAACAATGCTCTAGTAAGGTGGGGAGTAAGGAGAATCCGCTAGCTCCAATACCCCGCCTAAAGCTTCTTCTAGGAAATTCCTACTAACTGCCTTCATGTGGTATTCTTTACGAAAGTAAGATGAACAGTTTACAGTTCAAGCATTAAAATATCTTTATAAATTATGAAATACATAAAATAAAACAATCCAGATACTTACAATCTGTTCAACTGATGATGTGTTCGATTTTCCACCGCCAAATGTTGAAACAGTTGATAAAGTATAAATTAGACTACGAACCCATGATCTTAATCCTCCATTACTACCAATATTAGTAGTAGTATTTTTTATTCCAGACATTGATTTAACATTACATTTAGAACATATACTAGTTGCATCATAAAACATGGAATATCTCCAAAATGAACGTGCAATTCGTGCTAAGAACAAACAAATCCCACTGAATAGATGAAGCGCACTATTAATTGACTTATCTTCCGTACCACGAGTAGTAGCAGTAGCTGAAGATAATTGTGAACGAGATTGGACGCAAGATAGATTAGGAGCGCGTGTTCGAATTATTGCTGGAGTCCAATATTGACTGGCTTTAGCAGCAAAATATAACGCAGTCTAATAATCGGAAATATATAGAACAGTTCATAAATACGAGCATCTAAACATTTCATATACGCAAACGACATATCATTGAACTATCCTGACGCTGATATTCTTGACCAAATTTTCATCGGTCTCTGTTGATATATATGCATCATTCAGTGCGGATAGTTTCGATAGACATTCTGTCACGTTTTTTTTTAAATAGATGGATTGTGGTTAGTAATGGAATTCAGGATCCATATTTCGCATTGTGCTTAAGTTCTAATATGGATATCAACACTGGGAGATACGAACACATTCAACTGTCGAATGCCAAATAGGATGAAACAATAGACTTGGAACCCATTCCTGGTCACAATCCATCTATTCTATACAAAGGACAGATCAATATTACCGACATTCATGGGATAAATGCAAAGGTTTAGTTTAATATTGTCATCAGTTGTTTTAAGAAATTTATTTAACTCGACTGAAAAACGTTCATGATTGATTTATAGAATACAATAAATGCTATTTGCTTTAACGGTTTCCTTTATGAGTGTCAAATCAGTTTTTTCTGATAACATGTAGTAAGAGTTTCAGTACCGCTTTCGCTGATATTTTGCGTTATATATATATATATATATATATATATATATATATATATATATGCAGGACAAACTGAAAGTGCTACAGTTACTTTCAATGAGACAGATATCCCTCATAGCTGTTGGAAATATATCAGTTCAGTTAGTTGTAAGACTGATAACCTACAATTATCGAGGATATCGTAGCACTCGCTATACATTGATGAAAACCTGAAAGCGAATTGTAGAAAATCTTTACCTTAAGCTGACATATGACTGAATATTCCAGAACAATAATCATTTACGTTTTAACTAGAAGTTAGTTGTTAGAAATACATCCTTAATTTGGATAACATCGAGAAAACAACAAATCATAAAAATCAAAATGGGTTTTGTGGAGAATTTAGTATTTTCATAGTTGAAATCATGAGTCAGTTGAAGCTAGACCACCATCAAAAACCTCGAAGCACTGCTTGACGGCCGTTTTGTCCAATTATGGGATTCCTCAACAGTGCGCATCCACGATCCCGCACTGACGAGATTCGAACCCAGGAGCTACAAGTCTCGCGCCAGAGCACTTAACCGATAGACCACTGAGCCGGCATCCGATCGTGTTAATGTCTAACTTCAACTAATCCACGATTTTGAGCTTCAACTGACTCATGATTTCAACTATGAAAATCATAAAAACACTAGTATTTCGTATAAATTTACATACTTTAATGCATGAAGCAAACATTTTGATTATTGTTAAGCATTTAAGTGTGTAAGAGTACTGTTAACAAGTGCAAAAGTTCTTGAATCTAACATAATGATAAACCTCAAATTCAGTGTAACGGTAAAAGAACAAAGAAACATGTACATAAACTATGCTCGTAATTAGTGAGTTGTTTAATGTAAATATGTGTAAATCGTCAATTCAATAATAATGAACACTATTATTTGTAGTTTACATCAATCAACCTAGTTTTATTAAAATAAATAACCAATCATAAACATTTACTTGTTCAGCTACAAGTTGAAGACTTTTGCCTAATCCACCTGAGACTGTAGCAGATGCGCCTATTGCTAATGCAGTGCAAATAGCTTCATCTGGACTGAATTGATGTAAAAATGCGGATAGATAATTACCACCACCTTCCAAGCCTAACTTTAAATCATTCTCTAAATAACTTGGAAAATTAGGAATCATATCAGATAATTGAGGATCACCATATCCCGGTAATAATAAAGAAGCATTAGAGAATTCACGAGATAAATATTCTGTTAATCGAGTTAATGGGTTAGCCAGACGAAAATGTACAACACCTTGAGCAGATATTAATAATAAACGTCGAAATGGTGGATCTAAAATCTGTGTTAACACAACTGGAGGTTCACCACGACGTGGTGATTGACGTTTCTCTGATTGTGAAGACTCTGAGAAACTTGAAATCCTGAAACAAAGAAATAAATAAAACACTATTGTAAACTTGTAAAACTTGAAGGTAGGTAAAACTTAGTGGAAGTATTAAATCCAAACGAGAAAATCAAGAGAGAAAGTGAGAAAAAAGACGGCGATTTACTTCATTCATGAAGTAAGTTATTTAATATTGGCATTGAACAACTATTATACATAGAATAGGACTGAAGTATTCCAACGCATGATTTTTTAACAACAACAAAAACATACCTCAGTAATAAAAGTACATTTTGAAGGACAGAGAAAATTACGACTTGTTTAATACTTCTAATTATTTAAAATCAAATATACGTGTGGTAACATACTGGCGTCAATTGGCTTAGTCTAGTGAGACCGTTGTAAAATAAAAAACTAACGACTGATCTTGATACCAAGACAACCAGTGAATCATAGACAGAGTGGGATCTGCTAAATAGTGCACCGATGTCTTCCTAGATTGTAACAGTTTATGTAAGCATAGTGAGAAACGAAAGTTACAGAATGGAACAAGACGAAGAGACGGTAACAATAGATATGACATGGCTCAGAATCGACGTAGGTGTATACACTCTTTGTCTTCCCTTATTGCTTGAGATTAAAATTGCTTTATAGCTTTTTTCTACCAACTAATTCTTTCCTCCTGTATTATATTCTTATATACAATCTTTTTTTCATACATTACTACGATTGAAGTAACTACTATGAATTTGATGTTCATATTGTTGTGCTAATGAGGCATGGCAACTTGGACCGATGCATGTATGAGCCTGGTCCTACATTGTACCTGACTGACTGACTGAATAATGGATGTCAATTGTAATGAAAAGCTAAGTATCAAACAAACCATACCGTTGTAGATAAACGAACGATGTGGAAAAATGAAAAGTGAGCAAATAACATCAAACGTATATAATCCCTTCAAAAGCATGTTACGATCACCTTGCAGATGGAAACTAAGAAAATCACATCTAACTCTAAAGTAAATGTAATTCTGAGTACTGGTGTGGGACTAGACAGAAGATAAAATAAATCACAGTCTCATAATCAATTATTGCATACATCACACTGTTGAGTCTGGTCACAAATAGATGTAAAAAATAACTTTCCAAAGGTTAACAGAGCATCAATCTAACTAAAGTCATCATCATCTTAAATGGTTGGATAAACAAAACATTAAACTATTATTGGTCGCACATTTATTATGTGACATTTAACATGCACTATTTCAAATGATGTTTAAAATTGAAAGGAATATCTTTTTAAGAATAAGTGTATTTATGTAAATGTGACTATTACAGCATAGAATTCATTTACAAATATACACATCTAACTGCATCCTACAGTTGATTGTGCTTCATTAGCCCTTGTAGGTTGATTTCTGACAGAATGTTAGCACGACATCAGAAAAATTGACTGACTTTTATCAGCTTGTATCACTTGTGAAATATGCTAGATGTCAACCTACTAGCCAAAGGACGATTATTCTGCGCGGTAGTTTAGTCCATTCTACTTTGTAGCTGTTAGAACGCGGTCTTTACAAATGGATGGTATTCGTAGGTTACAAATATTTGATTACAGGCATCTTCGAAGCACTGCAAGTATATATTAGAACCGCTGAGTAAGTCAAGCTGAGGTTAGACGCAGAGTACTGGGTAAGAGTGAAAAGTAGGTTGATGAGGTTGTATATTTTCATTGAATGAAGTGATTGGGACATATATAAGTATTAAAGAACCACCACGTACTCGACGGGAAATGTCAGGTATACAAGTAGGCTAGAAGAAAGCTAGGGAAAGGAAAACCAAAACACAGTAACTTGAATAAATGAACATATATGCTAGGTTTTGAGTCATCCAGGATTGAATAACTTCTTTGTCTCCCTATTTGTACGACTAAAAATGCTGAAGGTTTAAGAAAATCTAAAAAAGAACACACAGAAAACCTTACTTACCTTTTTTCTATTGCTAAATATCCACCTAGATCATTCCCCATAGAATCCCCAAATGATTGATTATCCGGTAAAACCGTTAACGCCCATGCACCACCATCAACACACCAACTAGTCGTAAAACTCTCCGTTAAGTTCAGTGTCCAAGGGTACAAATCTGGACTGATTGTATAGATAACATGTGGTGGAATTTGTTTTGTAAAGACATTTAAATTATCATCAGATTGATTAAGTACTGCTGCCGCCTTGTAACTACTATTACTATTGTCAAGATCCGATGTGAAAAACTGTCCCAAACTCATATTTAAACTGGACTGGTTTAGTGTAGCAGCAGCAGCAGAGCGTGTTGTCGTTGCATATCGAGAACCTAGTCTACCCAATGTGCTAGCGGTAGATGATACATTTTGTGGTAAAGCAGACACCATAATCACTGTACCGCGAGTTTCCACTGCCAGTCTGTAAACCAAATAGTTACAACACCAATAGATTAAAAAATTGGTTTTCTGTTATATCCCGATAACAATAGTGAATGGTAACTTTGGGATCCTTTTTATGGACCAATATTATGCATATCATTTTTATCGTATATTTGCTAAATAATTAAACTACTCATATTCATGTTCCGTTCATTGCGGCTTTATTTTGACCCTTCGACTGTTATTGTACGATTTACCATTCCTGAGTTATACTCAGTCTATTAATTACTGCCTCCCACATTCACAGACACATTTGGCTGAATCTTGGCTGAATCTTATTTTCCATTTTATTGGTATGATGTGGTCAGTCTATTTGGTATATAAACTCAGTATGTTTGAAATGCAAGGATTCATACCACAGAGGCTGTTATTGGTGTTCTGTACTTAACTCGCTGGGCTAGGCAGGGGCAGGATCGATAAGCACTCTAGACTGCTCGTACGGTTTTCGTGTGTCACTATTCCAATCGATAATTCGCTGCTATGATTGGCGGTCTTATCACGTCATACATTAACTAGGCATCCACTCGATCACAAGATATAACATTTTCTAACTGCGATCTTTGCAAATACCTCACCTTTGTAATAGATAAAGAATACTAAATTTGACAGTAAAGTTAATTGGTCATTTGATGACACAGGTTTTTGAATGTTGACAGCTTGAGTGAGTGCATAACAGATTGTTAGTAACACGACTTCAAGTGACAGAAGATTTCCTACTGTGAGACATGGAACTCAAAAATGGTTACATAAAAAAGTCATCAAAACGATAGTAATAATAATTATAGTAATATTAATAATAGTACAAATTAATTGGAGACGAAGAATGCTATTGGAAATCAAAATTTATTCATACAAAAGGACCAACTGATCTTCCCTTCTTTCTTTCTATCTTGTAAGATTATTTTTATCTTCCTGAATTATATATATATAACAAACTGGTTAGGGATTAACATGCTCCCTCGAACAGAAATGAAGAAAAGAAAAGGAGACCAATTCCATGATAACACCAAAGGAAGGGAAACAATTTAAAGTCATAATAAACACTAGTGATATATAGCTTAAAAATTGATGAAAGCGGTAGGATATGACGATAAATGTATACAACTGAGCCATTGCAACTAATCCTCAGACATGTTATCTAACGTCCCTATTAACTGATGGTTACAACAATCACGTAAACTCAAACCAGATAGTTAGCACTTATTTGCACGACTCAGTTATGAACTGATATTATAGTTTGTTTTAGCATCACTAATACGCTGTGAACGGATAGTACTCAACAATTACAAAAGAAACATACTACTTTTAAGGAAGAAACTAATTAACGCATCGGATCGTGTCAACCTCCATTGATTATAAAAATATAATTCGATGTATTCGGAATACAAAACACAATCGAATCAGGTCACAAAAACAGATAAACACTTCTGTTAGATGCTTTAAACCAACATCTCCCAACCCAGCCCACCCTCTCCCAAAAAAAGTAATATATTTAACTTACTTTACATCACTTAAACCGATAGTGTCATAAGGTGAGGAAGGAGGAAGCCTTATATGCAGTAAGCGTAAATTCTCTCCGAAATACAAACGAATACCAGTTTTTGTAATGGCCAACAGATAGCATAGACCAGTTGTTAATGGGATAATAGAAACTATACTGTTTAATAGAAATGTAATTGAAAAGGTCAAGAAAGTAGTAATATTAAGAAACGAGAAATATTATGATGTATAATATATTTTTAGCAAAATTGAAGCTTAACTATTGACATATACATAACTAATGTTGAAACAATACACAAATGATTCATATAAAACAATAAATGAAGAAATAAGTTAAGCGGGACTTTTAAAAAGATAGAATACATGCCCCCAAATGCCCTGGTACGGCCGAGAGTGGGGAGAGTCCGCTCTCCCTTTCCAAATGCTCTCATATGGACACGCGAATATATAGCCTCTGACAGGGAAGTCCTACTCACCGCCTTCTCGTGGCATACGTGTTGTTTATGAAATTGAGAGGATGGTAAGCGAATGTCCGGCGCTTTAACCGGGTTGGTGGACACGGAAAGTCCACCTAGGGGAGTTGGAAAACACTGATTCCAAACCAATGGTGCACATGGGATATAGTATCCTGACGGAACAAATGGCGTATGAATCAAGTGTTGGTCGCCGGCTACCATGGGACTGCATTTCCTCACGATGCTCCATTGCCTTGTGGATCAGACCTTTAGATCAAAGGCTCGGAGTGTGGCTCCCTAAGAAAACCACCTGCTTCGGTTCGGGCACGTGGGCAGTATCACAGCCCTCACACAAATCGAATGAGATTTGTGTGGTGCATATGTATCAGGTGCTTTCTTGTACCAATATTTATGTGTTTAAATAAATAAAATAAACAAATAAATAGAATACATGCACTTAGTTACATTACATTTGGTCTCCATCCAAGTGGAATAATGCTTTGAAGAAAACATTTATCTATTATTTTGTCCGATCAATATAACAATCCCACAGTGAGCACTAAGATTTAAAGATATAGCCAGTGTTGAATATTGATGCAGTCATCCTGTAGTTTCTTTTTCATCCTAGTTTAGAACACTGATAGTATCTACCTACGAACCTACCATAAACAAATCAAACCTTCTGGTCTTAAATTGAGTCGATGTTACGCCGTAGCGAAAAACTATTACTAAAAGCTTTTTTTTATTTGCAACTTAATAACTCACACAAATGTTTGTGTGTACTAATTCAAATGACTTTAAAATACCGTTTTATGCTTGCCTAAAATTCGAAAACCATTAACAATATGAAACAAATAGAACTAAATGAAAACATCTGTGTTACTTACTTTCGAAATTGATTTTTGTCTACAGAACGTACAATACAAGATGCTTGATAAGCCAGATCTGATGCAGATAATGAGGATAAACGTGAAAAAGAACCAGATATTTTATCTGAAAATTCATAAACCACCAAATGGGAGTCCTCAGTACGAGAATAAAGTAGATGTCGTGAGGTATCTACAGCCAACTGTATGATTGAATCTGGTTATAAAAAAACAATGACACAGCATTAAAAAAAAACTTATAAAGGCATCACAAGGTACTTTAAACACTAAGTCACCGCTTTATGGTCATTCACGTAGTTAATAGTAAACCGAAGGTCAACATAACCCATAAATAGTATTTTTAACTCTAAACAGGATAAAACATAACAATATAGGAAGATCACTATTCGTATCTACCACTTGATAGAACTAAAAAGCGAATAACTGAACAAAACTCTACCTCATGATCGAAAAACTCACCACCATTATGAAATCTAGAAGTTATTATTGAAGGCAACAACAAGCTCAGTGCAGAAACAGAGTGATTCACAAGCGTACAATATCCAGTTTTACCAACGGGTGGTTGTAGGGAATCACCATCCCAGTTAGGTATTGAACTATAAGTCATTTCCAATAGAAATCCTTCACGAGTCCCAAGAAATATTCTACAGATAAAGCGATGAATAGAATAAAAATAATAAATAAAAACTTGTCATATTGTTTTTATTACTCATTAGTTAACCTTTTTGAGCAAAGTAAACCTTAGAATTCCCGCTAGGACATTGAGAACGATAAATGTAGCAAACATATCTTCAATGTGTTTTTCTCTAAACGGTAAATTAATGAAACTCATTTACCGAGTACATATTTACATACCTAGCTTCGCGTCACATTTTATGAAGACTAGTGATACCACACAGCTTCGCAGTGGAGTGGTGGCTTGATAGTTAAGGCGTTAGACGTTCATCCACCACGTTTTATGTTCCAATCTCACTCCACGCAGATCAGTTTGAATAACAGGAGGAGTGTGAGACGGAGTCAATTAAATAACTCTGTGCTTGGTAAATGAGTTAATAAGTGAAAAACAAAAACATGGTCTCTTAGATCTAAGTAGATGGAATTTGGATCAACAACCTAATGGTGAAAAAATCGAGTGTTTTATGTAATGGATTCATAGATGTATAACTTAACATATATAACGGATAAACTAAGTTAACAAGAGTAAAACAATCATCTAAAAAATTCCATGAATTACCTGCCATTCGGTGTACTTTCAATACAAGAAATGTAATTATTTTCGGTCGGTAAGCAATAGAGAGGATCTGGCATTACTTCCAGAATAGGACAGGAAGATTGCATTCTCACTGTGTGATTGCTGTTCGTATTTGAGTACATCATACCAAGAAGCCAGATTTCTGAAGGAGTTGCTAGACATAATAAGAATTTAATATGCTCTGGTAGTGTACCTATAATCAAATACATAAAGTACAAAAATACTTGGAATGATTATTTAAATATAGTAGTGAAATCAGCTCAAAAAAGCTTTGAAAAAGTTAGTACCCAATGAATAATAACAAAGTACGACAATTATGGTCTTATTTGATTTGAGGATGAAAAACTTGTCTTTTGAAATCTACATACACAGAGGGATATTATTGCGATAATTTGATGCTACATTGTCATAAATTATTTTAAAGGCTGACAAGCTATTTTTGATGTCCACTAGGTTTTTAATGTGCTAAATATTCAAACAAAGATATACTTAAAGATTAATTAGGACATGATGTGAAGCGACTTTTACTCAGTTTAATTGTTTTAAAAGTTGAATCAATTTCATACAATCTAATTTATTATTGGAGATCATTAGGTCAGTTGTTGTTGTCAAAGTTCGTATCAGTTGGAAACAGCTAAGTTTTAAGGAAGGAACATTGAAATGCGATGCAGTTACTCTACTGTCTAGTTAATCCATTAGATTTACATGTTGAAATGATCAGCTACATTTGTACGTACTGAAAACAGGAACGCATATAAAATTGTTTTTTGATCAAATCACATGAGACTTGACACTACTGGTCCATGACACTTGATTCTTAGTCGAGTTTCACACGTGCCTACACAACACAAACTGAATGAATTAGCACCAGTTTTGGCTTGTTTAGTGTACGATCACCTTTTTTCATTTACATATAGGAGTAAATAGTAACTAGACACACAGAACATCACTAGTCAACTTTGATCATGAAAGTTCACAGCTTGAACAAACTTACTTTGACATTTAATACTTAACGGTTAGTATAGGAAAATGCCCGGACGAATTGAAACCTTGAAGGCGACAAATAATCTGAAAAGATAAGCGATCGCCATGCATACACTGTTACCTTTGTACCCTTACCTGGTAAAATAGTTACGTGCAATCAATGTAGTCTTTTGAAATAGGATACATCTCAGAGAGTGAGTTGTTACACTTTAAAAGGCGATTATGAGAGCAATTTTCAAAAGTTTGTTACATATTTACACGTAAAATACAAGTGTTAGGCATCCGGAAAAGAGCTGAGAAGAAATGTGTCTGAATTATAGTCATTTGCGAAAAATTGAGTTGGTCGAAAAACTCACTTAGCGCTTGGAGCATTCAACTCGGCAAAAGAGAGTTCAAGTGAGAGGATAGGGAAATGAACTATAATTTTACAAATTATATTGGGGTTGTTTTTAATTTACGACAGGATAAACAATACATTTGCAGAGTTCTTTTTACAAGTTCAGTACTGTCTGCTTTTGCGAGTTTATCCTGAAGTTAATCTTAAAATGATTACCGGAAGAAAACGAAAATACAGAATGTTAGTGAAACTCTATAGTTTCGAGAATCAATAAATATTTGAATCTCCAGTTAATCTACTAATTGAGAGTATAGTTTTAATTAAAAAACAGGTTTTTGAGCAACGTATGACATTGAGCTACCACAGAAAATAGGTGCATTGAATAACTCAAGCCATTTCAGATACTTACCAACTGAGGGCACGATTAGAGACACAGATATAATAATGTCGTTTACTCCATCGTAATAAGCTAGGTCCTCTCTAAAAATAAGTTTGGGTTAACCAAATGGATTGCACGGACCCATCCTCGAAGTTCCACATAAATATTTCATTGTCTATTGTGACCCACACTTTTTCACACAAGGTGAAAACTCCCATCAAACAGTTCGTTTGCATACCTAAAATATCCTTTATACTACGGAATCAAATGTACTTGAAAACTTTTCAATCAAATCAGGAGGTAGAGGAAACGATTTAGTTGCCTCAATTTCATAGCTGAGGCCATCATTAAGAACTGGATAATCAAGTTCCCGAGTGCCGCTGAAACAAACTTTACCTGATATAAGGAATAATTTTAAAGTAGTGCTTCAGAATTACATTTTTCCAGCTCTAAGTTAGATGTCAAATCTCTGTGAAGATTATCACGGTATAAAAGTTTATTTAACCACTCTGAAGGGGAGTCGGATAAACACAAACAAGACGATTGTGGGACAGCCATTTCCCACACTTCATTCAAATATGTGCCGAAAATTAGATGCTTGTAATGCGAGCCAGGAAGACGACCTATTGACTGAACTGTTCTCAGTTTTCAGCAGTAAGGATAGGTCAATTGGTCTATATTTCTTGTTGCAACTTGTAACACTATGGAGGTCCGATCTCACCATGAATGCATAAACAGATGCTGATGATACGTGTTGCGGTAGAGAATTCGTGTAAGTAACTACTCAGTGCGAGATGGAACCCCAGACGAAAACAATTAGATCCCTGTTTTTTACATTTTTAGATTATCTTTCCAGATGATCAGTGCTAGATTAAATAAAAATGTATTATTACCAAGATCATCGTTCATTATATTATAAAGCGGTTTTACATAAGAGAGTAACCTGAGGTAAGATAGTGGAAAGAGGTTGATCACTGGCTGTTGGGCTCATTCTGAGATATCAGCTTCATATTGAAACATGGACTAACTCTTCAGATCCCACATTCTAAATGTGGCCTCACGAAAGTCGGATATGATGCCTAAGCATTTCTTCGTCCAAATGATAAAATGAATTGTAGTGGTAAATAAACCCTCAAAGTTAATAGCTTTGTGAGTCTTCTAAATTTGATGCTGATCACATTAATTTTATGGAGTCACCTCGGTCACACATCCACACCAGATCATGAGTGAGTACTCCATGCTTCACATCACCTACATCTTTAATGGTGAGCTAGACGTGACCAGGTACACCAATTTGCAAACCGCGAGTCTGTCCTTTGTTGGACCTTTATATATCAGTTTTTACCTTGATTTTTACAGACCGTGATATTACTTTTTGGTATTTTCGAATCATTTTTCTCACTCGTTGCTATATTTCATAGTTGGCATGACTGAACAGACTCCGAATTTACTTAAGATCATTACTTCTACGCCACTCTCATTCCAGTTATTGACATTCTAGTCCGATAACATAGAAACATGGTTCTGTTTAGCAGAAGCTGACTCCTACAAGCACGGTGTGACCAACTTACGTTCACAATTCCTCGCAGTAGTAAATGTACTGCCGCGCGAATTCAACAAGTACGTCACACCTGGTATGTATGCCAGTGATGTTTCGGAACCTTAAAAACTCTAAAAAAAGGTTGAGTTTCGACATGCAAACGATAAATGATAAATTTGAGATCTTCTGTAAATCGTAACCTCATATCTCACTGGAACATTTGAGGCATTAATGATGGCTACAGAGGAAGTCACTTGTTCCATATGTATTTTCGGTGGTATACCTCGAGGGGGGGGCAAAAAAAATGGGATAAGGAAGGGAAAGGAGGAAAGGTAAAGCAGACAATGTTCATATCTTTTGAAGTTGAGTCAGTTGTGGTGGAATAGTTAAGGCATAACTGCTCAGTTAAGTTATCTTTTCTTAATGTAGTTTTTAAGCAAGAACATTCCAATGTGTTAAAGAAAGTAAGCGTAAGTAAGATATAGGTGGATAAAGAACTATATGAACGGAGGTAGTTCAAAAAGAAGCTTAAGTATAGGATTATGTGTAGTTTTAAAGTATAGTTCTGAAAACAGTATTTTCATACACAAATGGCTATCTCACCTTTTTGTTGAAGCTATTTCAGCTCACTCTTAATTTTTATGGTTTTTATAGAGTCATGAGCAGGCTTTGTTTTTGGCTAATTGTCTAGTTTTTCTCGTAAAAGGATTATGCAGTAGGAAGTGAGACCAATTCAACATTATAAACACGATTCAAAGAGGTATTATATTAAATAAATTAGCATCAACACCATTGGTTCGTGACATTCCACTAGACCATAAGGAGCTGTAGTTGAACATGTTCTGCCCCACAGATAATTTATGTACTCATTTCGGACATGAAGTTGCTGAATCGGGCTCCATAAAGTGGTATCCGACTGAAAAAGATGTCTATCTGAGTCGTCAGCTCAGATGTCCCTTACCGCCAAAACTAGCACACAGTCCTAAACTTCTTGAGTTTGGAATACTAAACTCAAATCAAAAGGCACTACATTGACCGTAACCCTTTGAAGGAACGGTATTCATTCTAACTAGCATAATTCTTACGCCAAGAAAGAGCGTATTTATTCTATAAAACATACCTAGCAACCATTATCCATGGACATGATGACTAATTAAAAAAATCATGGGTCAATTGAAGCTAGATTACCATCAAAAACCTGGAAGTACTGGACGGCCGTTTCTTCCTATTATGGGACTCCTCAGTGGCAGTGCGCATCCATGATCCCGACTCGCGAGCGAGATTCGAATCCAGGATCTATCGGTCTCGAGCCGGAGACCTTAACCAATAGACCACTGAGCTGGCATCCAACGGTGTCAATGTCTATTTTCAACCATTCCACGATTTTTGAGCGACCGTTTACCAATTGTCTTCAGTGAGTTGTTAGCTTTACAACAAACTTGATTGAACTCCACTGGCCACTGCTTCCCACTAGAACTCAAGGAAATATCTCTTGAAATCAGTCACTAGTGAGCATATGATTATAGATCAAAGGGGGCTTTGTGGAGAATTTAGTGTTTTCATAGTTGAAATCATAGGTCAATTGAAGCTAGACCACCATCCAGGTTTTCGATGTCAGTCTAGCTTTAATTGACCCATGATTTCAACTATGAAAATATTAAATTCTCCACAAAACCCCCTCTGATCTAATTAAAAAATTCTTGAAATAAGCAAAACTTCCTCATTGACACGATATTCTTAGTCCCATCTTAACTAGGCAGTGTAGATGTTTGAGAGTAGATACAGGTTTCTCATACACCTTGATGTCTTTTGTACGAAATAGACACCATAAAGCTATGAGTGACAGTACCTAGCCCTTAAGCATTCTATTCATTCAACATTGTGAGTGGTAACTATCCTCAAGCACATGCACACTTAGACACGGGTGACGTATTCAGAAGTTGGTGGCGTAACCAGCATTTCTTCACCGATTAACACTCATATGAATGAGTGTATGAGGTTTTGTGTTTTTCAAGGCCAAGGAATGTGTCGCAACACCACTGACAACATTGGAATATCATGATCAACCTCAGTGCAGTGAAGTTTGTAAACTAATGGGAGCAATGCCAGCTCACCTTACGAATAAACTTCTGAATCCCAGGAATCTCTCGTCAAAAGCTCCTCCAAAACCACTTTGAGTAAAATTAGATAATCTTAAGAATAGTTGATGCTGCGACGTGCTCACCTACTGGCTGTGAAACATCTCTTAACTTCCCGAACAAAGTCAGATAGACAAACGTCAGACTGACAGTCACTCAGGAGACACACTGGTTCGTATACAGGAGACTAAAAGTGTCTTCTCACAGTTCACAAGGTCGTATAACTGATAGCTGAACCTGTGAAAATCTTTACGATGCACGATACAGACATGACAGTACATTTTAGACAAAAAAATCTGTTCAGTGAACACTTCAGTCAATTCAAAAAATTCTCCAGATCAGCACGTTCCGTCTAATGATAGCTATTTAAGTTACTTCACGTAAACTGAACTCTCCTGAAATGGTGACCGTAACTCTTGAATCTCATATATACAGCGTTTTGGCTATGCTGAGGTTGGTCAAGCCCTATCGACAGAAGCTGATTGGCTTTTTTGGAAGTGGCTTCCGTTTCACATAGGTCACTAAACCCGAATGTGGATGTGATTGCGTAAGAAAATCGCTGAAACCTCGGTGTCTTGGAGGTCGGGTGTTGCACATGTTGGTTTATAGGCACACCAGTAGCGCGCAGGTTCTCAATCGTGAATCTGATAAAGAGGATGTTATCCAGGCACTTCATGACATATACATAAGCATAGGCACACTTTCTGTGAAATCTAATGATCATCAATCCATGGTTTTTAAGACCATATATCTGGATGTCTTTGACCCGAATGCTTAGGTCGTTTGCGTTTCTTGGGCTCACTCACGCTCATTTCCTTTCTATATACTTACAAATTAAAACCACATATGCAGAGACAAATGCAGGTCGTATACTTAGATATACATAATGGAAAGCCCGCGAGGTTTTAAACAGCCCCATAAACGAAAATTTTTAACACGGTTCACGGCAGAGAAATGGCTTATTCCGTCCTCATCGACATTTCAGATTAGCCAAGAGTTTGTTCTCACTCCCCAGTAGCATCATATGGTGAGTTTAAATTGATTTCACTTCTGGTGACGCAGCGACAATGACTTTCGAATTTTTTTGTAATAAATCTCATACTTCATCCGACATTAAAATTTATGAGAGTGTAGTAGTATGTGTCCCTAACTACACTCTATTTCATGTCAAGCATGTAATTACTGCGACTTACATTCAGCGTGTAACACAAGTGAAAGATCAAAGATGTTGAACACAGGAACGAGTGATCAGTATGACATGGCGCAGTCCTACGGGTGCAGTTGTCCGTGTGGCGACCCACTATTTATGTTATGACTTGTTCTAGCCGTCGCCAATTGTTATGTCTTGATCAAGGTAGTCGCTAATTTGTTATGACCCTACGAACTAAAAAAGGACGTACCTTGCGTGAATTATCCGCCAATAGAAATACGACTTCTACGACCTTCACATTGTGACAACGACGTTCGATTAGTATGAGTAATCTGGCGTCCATATTGGTCCTTAATCCGCCTAGCCCGTCCACCTGAGTCCAGAACACTAATAGCAGCCTCGGCAATACGAATCGTTTATTTCAAGCATACTTTGTTTATATATCAGGCCACATCATACCATAAAATAGAAAGTAATATTTGTACAAAACCAAGCCAAATGTGGCTGGGAGCGTGGGAGACAATAATCAATAAACTGAGCATAACATAGGAATAGTAAATAATAAAATAATAATCAATAGGTCAAAATGAAGCTTACAATAAGATGAATATATATATAGATAATCCGGCTACTGAATAGTTATACAATAGGAATATACATAGAATAATAGTCCAATAATAGGTCTCGTAAATCATCCGTATTTACTTCTTCCCTAGTATATAACAATTTATCATAAAAAATTATTCCACCTTCAGCTCAAATGCGTTCCCCAAGAGTGTTAAACATACTATTGCTGATTGTCACGATTGTCACAAGTCAAAATAGACAATGATGTGGATTCCAAGTAAGATCTTATAGACCAGGGAGTCGCATCATCCTAAATCTGCTATTCCGGGTGCTATGACTTTATGAAAAATAAGAAGATTGTATCCCATTCGTAACGATTTTACGGTCGGCCTTTTGTTACGTGATTTTTCCACCAATGGAAATATGACTTTTTCAATTTTAGTAATGTGCCAAACCAATGACAGTCTACCTTTATGAGGAGACTATCGTCCTCAATGATCCCTTGTTCTCCTAGCCCGTCCATTTGAATTCAGAACACCAATGACAGCTTCCATCATGCAAATCATTTATTTCAAAAATACTTGGTCCATATACCAACCAAACATACCACATCACACCATAAAATAGAAAATAATATTTGTACAAGATCAAGCCATAATGTGACTGTGAACGTGGGATACAATAATGAATAAACTGAGTATAATTTAGGAACAGTCAATCGTATGACAATAATGCATAGGTCAAAATGAAGTTTATAATAAGATGAATATAGATATACACAACCTAATTACTCAGTAGTTAAACAGTAAAAATGTATACAGAATAATTGTCCATTAATAGGTCCTGGGAGCTGTCCATACTTATGTCTTCACCAAGATGTAACACCGGGATTAGGCCTATTATAATTGTAAAGTGAGATCGATAAACGAACACACCCATGATAAGGTGTAACGATCACCACCACATTAACTTTCTTTGACCTTGTGTGACTAAGTCTTGTTTATCCACCAATCACAATTTTTTGTTCACCATAAAACAATATTCGTCATGTTGACTCACTTTTCTTATACTCTAGCTACTGTTCGATATGTTATTTATGTCCCACCTTTTTCCTATGCAATAAACTGTGCTGTTTATTTGTATACTAACGTTGTTAATTTACGTTTTTGAAACAAATAAAGTTTATAAAGCCAAATAGCTTACTTGTTCTAACTTTCGCTAAGCTAAGACTCTCTACTCGACAGTCTAGAGAATAGCTTAGAGTTGCACTTGTAGGAAATTGCTTCCTACAATAATAATACCAAAAATATATGTACTAATACCAAACAGGACCATAATTCTACATTGTTGAGTTAGTCTAAAAAAGCTCATGTTTACTCGCATGTATTACTTACGATTGTTACTCCCTGTGAATGTGCACGGGTTGCCCACCAGCATTCTGTAGCCAACCACGTTATAGATGACCCTTTCCAGTAGTTTCCGGCCACTATTCATCCTTTTCATGTTTGCTTCTAAGTCCTGGAGATTCTGACTTTGATATTGGTTGACAGTCGTTTCAAGTTCCAAACGTTCACCAATTGTAGGAATGCCATCCTTACTTTGCCGATCCTTGCCTCTAAGTCTGAATTCGATCATCCTCGTTCATCGGTGATGCTGACTAGGTGAGTGAAAATGGTTGTCTTCACCTGCATTCGTTCATGTGTATGTGAAAAAATATCCAAGTCAAGTCGGCTGTGTAATCGTCAGCGGCTTAATTTCGGAAAGTTCAAGCTTCTTGTTCAAATCTATCCAATGCATCCTATCATGTTTTTTTCTATGGACTGAAAGCATTATCAGAACTGTCTTTAAAATTCATAATTATAGGCAAATCATTACAAACTGTGTTCGTTTCCCAGGTTTCCATGCACATTGAGGCTGAGACCCTTTATATTTGGCTGTTGGGATTCGTTTCGGATTCTCGTGCTCCTTACTTACTAGCTGAACGATCTTGAGAGTAAATTGTACGGTCAACTCACTAGCTGACTTCACTACAACACCTGGGATTTCTGTTTTTGATGGAAACACTTATTTCTTCTTAACTCTATTGACAAGGTTTCAGTCGCCTACCGAATTTCTGGGGACCAACGTTGCGTTTAAGGGGCCTGCGTTGGAAGGCCCAAGTTCGCTAAGTCTAACACAGTCGATAACATGGAGATGCTACGTTTCGGAATATACCCACCGACGTCCATACGTATTCCATCGACAACGTTGTCGAAAACTATCTTCTTCAGCTCATCTAGAGGCTCTGTTTGTTCATCAATCTCAGAAATTCCTTGATTCAGGGATTCTGACATTTGTTCTCCATGACCATGGTGAAATATAAATTGTTAAATAAATCTTTGAAAAACGATATAACAATGAAAACGTTCTCAAAACGGATAAAAACGGCTGTATATAAAGTTTGGACATACTAAAACTAACCACGACATCAAAAGCTGTAAACATTTGATATTAAGTTGAGGCAAACCACAGTCAATTATTAACTGCAATAAAAATCAAAAAAGTTACCTACCGAATTTTAACCTCTTTGGGTCGAAAATGGCACTTTCTCTGGGTAAGGACATAGCTATGTCAACAGTGCTGTTTGGATGCAAAAAGCTTGTTAACCGAGGCCATCTCAATAGTCAAAAGTCGTTTTCAAAACCCCAAACGAACGCGACTTAATCTTAGAAAATGGACACAAATTAAAGGGTTCAGGAGTATTTCTACGTAAGGACTTACCGTTGGCGGACCGTGTTAAAAGACGGGAAGCCGAAAAGGAACTACAGCTCAGATTAGACGCTGGCGAAAAAGACCTGAAAATTGTAAATTTCCGGGTTGTTAGGCTTCGACAGAGGATGATGCTGAAGCCACTCTGGGTGAAGCACGAGGCCACCTAAATAGGCTTCGGATCTGTTTTACCAACGCCCGGAGCTTACTAAATAAGCTACCGGAACCAGGTGTACAGATTGACTCAACTAGGCCAGACATAATCGCAGTCACAGAAACATGGCTGACGACGTCTATAGATAGTAGGGAACCTTATTTCGAGGGTTTTACATTGGTAAGGGCCGATAGAGTACAAACGCGTAAAAGAGGAGGAGTAGCTGTATTCATTAGGAATGCTATTCCATTCACCATTATCGACAGTGTATCCCATGAGAGTGGGACGTATGAATTAGTTTGCTGCCGTCTGAAATGCAGGGGACAAGAGTTGCTACTTAGTTTGATCTATCTCAGTCCAAGCTGTGAGGCAAACGAGGTCCTGCTAAGCAGTCTCAACACTTTATCACGAAGTGATCGATGTCTAATCCTAGGAGACTTTAATGCACCCATGGTGGACTGGGGAAGTCTGCGGACTGAATCGTCAGCAAACTCCTTCGAACAGGAACTAGTTGATGCGGTAATCACATGTGCCCTAGTGCAACACGTGAAGGAAGCAGCTAGGTACGACCCGGGTTCTGCATCATCCTTACTAGATCTTATATTGACTCATTATGAGGATGATGTTGCAAACCTGGATTACATGCCACCCCTAGGCAAAAGTGATCAAGCAGTTTTAAGCTTTGACTTCCATATAACTGTCGATCACGAGTACGCTTCAGCTCAATCCAGACCTAACGTCTGGAAAGCGAACATACCAGACATCATGAAATCAGCATCATTAGTAGATTGGAAAATAGATCCAGAGACATCAATATAAACAGTTTGGGACGTATTCCGGAATTTATACTTAAAAGTCACCGCCCCCCACATCCCTTGGACTACACCTAAGAAACCGAGACACTCCCCACCGTGGTTCAGTAGGGAGGTTCGCATCCTTCTCCGTAAAAGAAGGAAAATGTGGGACAGATTTAGGTTACTGGGGACTGACGAGGCAAAATCTCAGTATCAAAAGGCTCGAAATATCTGTGCCTCAACCCTCCGTAAGGCCAGAAAGCTGTACTAAGAGAAAATCGTTTAGGAATCCATAGAATGCCCTAAACGCTTGTATTCGTATATAAACCGTAGGACAAAAAGAAGAAATGTTCCTTCACTATGGGGAGACAGTACAGCCACATCACTAGTGGAGGACGACTTTGGCAAAGCTCAAGTATTCTCTAAATACTTTAGCAATGTATAAACCATAGAAACACCCTTCTAACCAGTCCATGAAAATCCCCTCACACAAGCACTGGACAGCGTGTCCATTAAAGGACTCGATGTCCTTGGTCTGCTAGTTAAGCTTGACATAGGTAAATCCACTGGACCCGATGAACTGTATCCTAGGTTACTAAAGGAATTAGCTAACTTTGTTGCAAACCCTTTAAGTGTATGTTTTAATCTATCCGTAACCCAGGGTCATCTACCAAAAGACTGGAAGAACGCCATAGTAAGTCCAGTCTTCAAAACAGGTACAAAACATAAGCCTGAGAATTACCGACCAATTAGCCTAACTTGTGTGGTTGTTAAAATCTTAGAAAAGATTATTCGGAAGGAGCTGTTAAAGTATCTCGATGAAAACCGGATGCTCTCCAAAAAGCAGCATGGTTTTAGAACAGGTTACTCCTGTTTCAAACTTATTAGTCGCTCGTGAAAGCTGGTGCGCTCTTAAGGACCAAAAATTACCTATAGACGTAGCATACATCGATTTCAGCAAAGCTTTCGACGAAGTTCCGCATAACCGGCTGTTATATAAGCTAAGGAATGTCGGGATTGGAGGCAATCTATTGATGTGGATAAAAGACTTCCTAGTTGGGTGTCAATAAAGAGTAAGGATGAACTCCAAGTTGTCTAGCTGGGGAACTGTGCTTAGTGGAGTCCCCCAGGGTACAGTTTTGGGGGGAAGGTTGTTCCTCCTGTAAGTAAATGACCTCCCTCGTCTACCATCGTCATCGGTCTTACTCTATGCTGACAATGTCAAGATATGGAGAGCGATACATAGCAAGGGCGACAGCTTAGAACTCCAAAATGACCTGGAGAGATTATCTGAATGGTCCCAAACCTGGCAATTGCCGATAAACACTTCCAAGTGTATTGTGATGCATATTGGCCACCAGGGTACAGATACATACACGATGAATAACACTGAGTTACCTATTGTCCAGACACACAATGACTTAGGCGTCATCGTTAGTCAAGACTTAAAGACTACTGCACACTGCCGTGCAATAGCCGCCAAAGGCTTTAGAACCTCATAGTTCATACGCAGGGCTTTTAGGCATCTCGACGCTAAAACAATTCTGACTTGGTATACAATGTTCGTACGTCCTGAACGTGAGTACTACATACAAGCAGCTAACCCCTGTCTAGAAAAAGACAGTGAACTCTTGTAAAGGGTTCAGAGAACAGCAAATAATATGATTTCCCGAATAGCGAACCTATTCCGGCTGTCATATAGAAGAATCAAAGGCGACTTGATTACAGTTTTCAAATTGCTTAATGACAAATTCGCACCTGATATGCCCTCATTTTTCTTGTCTTCCAAAACAGAAAATGTACGAGGACACTCCAAAAAAGTTCACAAGCCCAGAACGAATTACTTGTCAGCTGACTACCGACTTTCCCATCGAATAATCAACGAGTGGAATTCATTACCTCATCACGTGGTTGAGGCTCCATCCGTCGACTCCTTCAAAAGAAAGTTGGATCAGCTGAGAGACCATCATTACCAGGACTAACACAGGCCATCAAGCCTCCTGTCCTTTCCAAACTGAAACTGACCTGAAACTGACACAAGGCTGAGAAATTTAAATCACATCAGAACTGAAATTCCTGCTCATAAAGCATGCATATTGTGCTCGAAAATCATGGAATGAAATTGTATACTGTTCCAAAACTAGTAAAGATTTACTGCTCACCAAACACAGATGCTAATAAACACACATGTTTGATTTCTGCCCATTGTAAATTGGCTACATGCATTGACCTTGTGCGATTTACAAACGCATTACTATAAAGCGGGGAAATGAGTTCGAATGCGCTACCATGTGATGACTTCCTGCAGTCAGCAGTAAGCTAGCCTATGATATTAGAAACTGTCTTTAATGACATGGAACTCACGATAATTAACTAGAGGCTCCTCAATCTGTGGAGGAAATCTGATGACCGTGTACGATATGAACTTAATTCAGAATTACCTACAGCATCATTCCTCAACAAAGTAGACTATACCAGCAAGTGTAATACTTTTGTTAATAAAGTAAGCACAACGGTGACTTTCTTAATTATAAAAGATGCTTAGTTATCACGAGAAAAGAACTAATGCGATCAAAGATTGCATCAAGCTAACTTCAGAGAGACTTATTGCACTGCAACGTTCTTCGGAGCTCAGTAGTAATGAATGCAACAAAGAAGTTACGCGCAACATTCAAAAGAAACAACTCCTGGTATAATTTTTATATCTTTGTTAATTTTTTGCAGTTGAGACAGTTTCAAACTGAACTTTTAAATGAGGAAGTCATCCAAACTTCAGCGTTTAAAGTAATATACGAACGCTGTCGTGAGCATTTCCGACATCCTGTTTTTGACAAATTCAGAGATTATGATTTGTAGCTCTGTTAGATCTTCGTTCAGTGTTTTCTAGTGACTTTATTTAATAGATATGTTTTCGAATTTGTATATTTTTTGTTCTGTATTCACATTGACTAGTTGAGGCCTCTGACTAGCATCGTATTAAAAATGTGTCAACTGATATATTACTGTCAGATTCTAAGCTGTGCTCGGTCTAGGTGATCTTGCATAATTTACAAATGTATGCCATTCGATTATTCAGTCAGCTATGAACTGCAAGTCAGAAATTCAAGCTTCTAGACGTGCTAGGGTGAACGTATCTGTTCCAGATTTCTGGCTGACGTGAACCACACTGAAATTGTTGGAGTCTGTGGAGTGGACGATATCATACCTTAGAAAAGTCTGGTTTTCGATCGTTAACGTATTCAAAGTCTACCTGTGTTACCAATCAGTGTCACTCTTCACATGCGGCTTCATGTACTCAGCTCTGAACTTCATAATGATACTACGGCTGCCCAAACCAGCACTTTTTGAACCTGTTAGATAAAAGCCTACTGCTGAAACCATTAAGTTAATTTTCTACTTTAAATTATGTTGGTAGTCGTCAGCAGAACTTGTCGCTAGGTGGTTACTTTTTGCTTAGGTTGATAAATCCTAAAAATTGGTGTTTATCTTGGAGATAAGTGTCACTTAGTTTATGCAGCATTCCTTGAACAAATATGCTGGACGAACGATTGCCACGTGATTATGTATGTAGTTTTCCACTTTGGTAGCTTTTTACGATATTCCGTTCTTTGGCTAATAATAGATTTAAGGATACGGATGTCTCTGTTATCACTAATTTTAGAGGCAAGAAGAAAAGACACATCCATAGTTAGTAACATTGTCAAGATCTGGTATCAGCAAAACTAAGTCTCATCACCATTTAGTCTATACGGATTTTAGCTCTATGGACTTTTGTTTCCACACTAACGTTCATGGCTACAAGTAAACAAAAATATAAAAAGTTAGAACAAAAACTAACCATTTCAAAGAAAAGTAACGTTATAAATAGTTAATAGGTCACACTATTTTTTAAGTGAAACTCTGCTCCAACCGGTGCTGCACGTCCTCATTTAACGCAACCACGCAAATTTAATATAGGCTGTGACTAGAACTTCATGTTGAACATCAACACTACTTGGTTACATCGCATGAAGAGTTGTGGTACTTATCATAAGTTAGATACCCCCAATGGAGCAAAGCCGCCCACCAGCATTCTCCAACGCACTGTCCTAGGTCTTCATTTCTAGTTCTATCGAATATTTCGTCATTCTTCTCATGTATGTCTCCATTTCTCGGCGTAATGTGTTCTTTGGTGTTCCTCTTCTCTTTTGGCTTTGAGGTTGCCATGTGAAGGATTGCTTTGTGATACAGTTGGGTTCTTTTCTCAATGTGTGTCCTATCCACTTCCACCGCTTGCTCCTGATTTCTTTCTTCGCTGGAATCTGGTTTGTTCTCTCCCACAGTAGGTGGTTGCTGATAATGTCTGCTACATCTGCTTTCAGTGCTTCTGCTGGAATGTTGTCTAGTCTCTCTGCTTTGCTGCTCTTGATTTGTCTGATGACCATGCTGACCTCTTCAATTGTTGGTGGGCCAACATCGATTGGGATGTTTTTGGGTGCTGCTTCGATGTTGGGTAGGTTCAATGAGTTGTCTATTAGATTTAAGAGTTCCTTAAAGTGCTCTACCCATCTGTTTCTCTGTTCTTCAATATTGGTGATTACTTTGCCTTCCTTGCTTTTCACTGGTCGTTCTGATTCACGGTAATTTACAGCGAGCTTCTTTGTTGTATCACACAATTGTCTGATGTTTCCTTCTCTTGCAGCCTTCTCCACCGTCATTGCTAGATATTCCACATATTTACGTTTGTCGGTCCTGATGCTCTTCACTTGCTTGTTTGCTTCTGTGTATTCAGCATGTGCCGTGGCTTTCTCTTTTCTTGTTCAGCTGTTATTGATTGTTGCCTTCTTGTTCCTCCCTCCTTCAATCTAATCCAGTGTATCAACAGTGATCCGTTCATTGTGATGGTGCTTCTTGTGGCCCAGAACCTCCTGAGATGTTGAAGTGATTGCCTCCTTGATCTCTTTACAGTTGTTCTCCAAGGTAGTTCCCTCTCCAGTGAGTCGATTGTGAAAGGCCTGGAACTTATTTTTGAGGGCTTTCTTGAATTCATTGTGTCTGTCAGTATCTCGAAGAAAGGTCGTGTTAGACTTTTATGATGTAGTCCATCCCGTTGTCCAGTGCTTCTTGAGTTTCAGTTTCATCTTGGCGACCAGCAAGTGATGATCTAAGGCTATATCAGCTCCACTCTTGGTTCTCATCCTCCATCGTCCTTCTAAACTTCGTATTGTTGCAGATACGGTTGATTAAGTTCTGTGTAGTGTGTATATGTGGTACAGATGATGGCTGAGTATAAGAGACCAATTATTCCCTGCATATTCGATTTTTAATTCTCAAAAAACTATGTGTATTATGTACTGTGCTTCGAATCATTTTGAAATTGAGATTTCTCAAAGTAAACTGGATTACCACGCTAAATGTCACAGTAAGCTGATGGTGTGCCCTTTGAAAACTCGTTACCACTTATTCGAATGCAAACCCATCAAATCAAAGTAAAATTCTGTGATGACTCTTTGGTGAGATTGTTGTGCTTATGAAATAATAAGTTAGTAACAAACAAAACATTTCTAGAGTTAGAAATGTTCTGTAAGATTGCGTTAACTTAACCTTTGGCAGTAAAAATTATACAACCTTGTTAGTGTTTCTACGTATATAACTGATGTATATAAAACCTATGTATATAGCCTCCAAATGCCCTGACATGGCTGAGAGTGAGGAGAGTACACTCTCCCTCTCCAAATGCTCTCAGATGGCCTCGCGTATATAGCCTCTACCAGGGAAGTCCTACTCACTACCTTCTCGCGGCATTACTGTCGTTTACGAAATTGAGAAGACGAATGTCCGGCGCTTTGACCGGGTTAGTGTACACGGAAAGTTCACCTAGGTCAGTTGGAAAACCCTGATTACAAACCAATGGTAAACATGGACTCCAGTATCCTGAAGGAACAAATGGCGTATGAATCAATCGTTGTTCACTGGCTACCATGAAACTGCATCTCCTCACAATGATCCACTGCCTTGTGGATCAGACCTTCAGGTCAAAGGCTCGGGGTGTGGCCCTCTAAGAAAACCACCTGCTTCAGTTTAAGCACCTGGGCAGTATCACAGCCCTCACACAAATCAAATAAAAATTGTGTGGCGCATATATATCTGGTGCCCCTTTGTATCAATATTTATGTGTTTAAATAAAGAAATAAAATATAACCTCTGATCGGTTTCAGTGCTTATCATTGAGCTCCAAAGCCCAGTTTAACCTCAAAGGCTCAGAGTATGTTATAAACATGAAACTAGGGAGTAGGAAATATGATGAGTTTAAAGTATATACAGCTGTAACTCTCGGCAAAATTTAGATAAAATCCTATTAGAATTCAATTCCTGACGTTATGAATTGCACAAAATTCTAAGAAATCACTTTATAGTGATAAATACAGCAAGACAACACAACTCATTCAGTTCGTTGTGATAGCCAGTCACCAGATCTACACAATATTTAAAATGGTACAATACATAAAACAAACAAGGCGTTATAATTCTAAAGAATGTTAGCTCTACCGATATGTTTGGAATTCTGTACGAAAGTGGATTACGGAAACAAGTACGATACGCGATAATGATGCGATTAAAAAGACACCACATGCTTTTTGTCCTGCATATAAAAAGCCAAACTAAGAAATTACTGATGCGACATTGCTTAATACGTTGTAATCATGGATGGCCTATTTGTGTGGCTTACATAGCGTAAAACGATTGGCCGCTTAAACAACTTACAGTGCCGAAGAAAGTCTACCGAATATAATACGACCATTCTTAAGTACTTGTCGAGAGCTCACCTGAACACCGACCTATTCACTTTTCTTGACTAGTGTAATTTCGCCTCTAGTGTTACCGCTGGCCCAAACCCGGGTGAACGACTAGCAACTATAACTCATAAAAAGAAATCCCGATACAGATTTACTCACTATAGAAAATCAAAGGGTATTTATAGTAAACTAGCCATGAACCGACTACACCGAGTCAATATGAAAGTTTTTTGAGCTCTACTCCATTACAATATGCTTAATCTACAGAGCCATTATTTGCTACGAATCTACTGAATACGAACTGATACCCATCAAAGTTCCTAATGAAACATATCCGTAACAATTTGAAGTAAAATTATCAACGGCTTTCTTCTTAATATAATAGTCATGTGCTATAGTTACCGAGGGAAGAATACGAAGTATAAAAAATTCTTAAGATGAATACTTACTGAAGTCATATGTCGATTTTTCATTAAGGCTACAATGAGTTCACAGGATAAGGGATAAACTACCTACCTCAACCAATTCATCATTTCAGTTGCTCTTATGAAGCCAATCATATTAGCCGTACAACCAAACAAATAGTTTACCACAATTATGAACATTACTCCTCTTGGCTGGCCAAAGAGAACAGAAAAATAAGCTCTATTTTGCCACATTTCATAAATACCGGTCACTGTGTCGATACAAATTTAGTTTTCTACGTTATTTACAGAACTCTATCGAACTTCCCTATTTTTTAACATGAATAGGTATGCACATCAAAAAACATAACCTTTGTGTACAGAAAAAGTCTATATGGAAACCTAATTTACCACAACCTTGTTCATCTTGGCTACTACATTTCTCAAAAGTTTGCAATTCTATTAGTGTTAGCGAAAAATAAACCGGATTATGGCAGGTTATGTGCATGATCTGACGGTGCACGCTGATTGGCTAATTATTATTGGAGAAGCATCTAGAAGTTTCTTATGCATATTACTATAAATATATGAACGTTCTTCTAACCATTGATTGCTGTTCACCTACCTACACTTGTTATTTTGAATACAATTTCGTTCCTGTTCAACGTGTTCTGATTTTTAGGGTCTTATCGAGTGTCATTGTATAAGAATACTAAGCAATAGGAGTAGCTGGGTCGTTTATTAGCAATAATAATTAGGTTTTAATTTGTAACTTCACTTTACATCATCAATGTTGATAATCTGATTGTTTACACCCATTTTATTAATTTTGAAAACATTAAATATATTTACATTCAATTGTCTAATTTCAAACCTAACTAATTCTAGTCCTTAAGTAGCGAATTATTATTTCTAACTAACTATGTAAACCTAACTTCAGATGTAATTTTACATCTGGTTGTTATATTTTAAAGAAATACCGAAGAACATTGTTGAGTTGACCAGTCACCATTTATTAATAATAATAATTATTAGCCATTGATTTTATTACTAACTTTAATATATATAAAGCAATGTGTGAACTAACTGAAAATACTTCTTTCTAGGAATTTTGTTTTTAATATATTAAAATATTTAATATAGCGAAATCTGAGGTAACGTCGCTCCGAGACTACTGAATTACTGCTACTCTTGTTCGACTCCATAACCCTTAATTATTCATAGATAAATGTTAGCGGGACATAGATTGGTTTAAAGCGTGTCCCATGAACGATTGCGTTGATGCAAACTCATTGGCTAATTCTTATCCAATCAGCGCTAGTCGATACTGAGAAAAGACTCTAGAATCCACTTATATAAAAACTAAGAATATAGTAACATATTTCCTATTGTGCTTTTTGCTTTCATCTATCCTTTCCTGTTCAACCGTATACTGATTTGGGGGACTTGTCGAATGAATTAATGTCCAAGAATACTGAACAATGGGAAATCATAACGATTGAAAAAGTTTAGAAAAAAAAAGTATACATGTATATTCTGACTAAAATAATCCAATTTTAATGGTACATCAAATTAGAAATGTGCAGATTAAAAGTATTGTACACTTAGATCGTTTTTATCAAATTACAGTAGTCGTATTCGTCGTCATTGTCAACATGTGTGTGTATGTCACATTATGAATATTCTACAAAAAATTCAGTAATGAATAGATATATAAAAATAACAAAAAAATTGTTTGAATGGTGTATGAAATCATCACCATTAAACTAAAGGTGAACATACTATACTTTCATAGTGGACAAATAGATATGTGCATATACAATTTCTGTAATAATAATAAAAAAAGAGAAGTAGCAAGACATGAACGGTTTTTTTTGTTTAATATACTTTACTGGCACATCATCAATGGGAGAAAAAGAAAAGTCCTGTACAAATCGTATGGTTATACAATCATAATAGGCATGACTAAATAGAATACATATAGAATATGAGATATCATTCAGTAATGTATCTATATATGAATAAATCATCGTCATCTTCATCATCATCAAGCAATGATAATTATCAAGAAAAGAAAGAACAAATTTTTCAATGAATATACACTGTGAAATGCTCCATACACAAAAATTATGGAAAGTATTGTGACTAATAAAAAAATTTATGAAAAAAGGAGGGGAAAGAAATACAGAGAGAAAAAAGAGAGAGGGCGAGAGAAATCATCTTGTTTATTATATGGAATTTTAAAAGAAAAGCACAAATTGTTGGTTGTCCTGATCGATACAAAAGTTGAGGGGGGGGGCGGACACTGAAAAGTTTAAAAAGAGCATAATTTATAGTATACAATTAGAGTAATATTTAATAACATAAACATTGTTACAACAGAGAGCGATTAATTTTTGAGCAACCTTATAAAGAAGTATAGTAGTTCTATATTCATTGTATTGTATCCTACCATGCCAGGCAGGTTGGTTGAAGAGCGGTAAGACTAAAAGCAGTAAACCCAAGGTCCGAAGGCGAAGTCGTACTGCTGACTGTACAGAAGTGTGACAGCAGTAAGGTGTTTCCTTCAGACAACCAGCATAACAAAGATGCTGCCTTCCGACAAGGAGAGGTGGGGTTAGAAAAGGACGACCCTAAAAATGCACACCTCACCTTATCCCACGGATATCCGTCTCAGGCGGTAAGGTCTCAACAATTACGGAGCTAACACAAAAATCACCCCTAAAAAGGTCGTGTGTGATCGACCTCAAGAAGTTGTCCCTTGGACACTGCGGTCACGCTCTCAGGTCATTAAGACCACTTTTAACCCAATTTCCTTTTCAGGTACCTCTCTCTCATTTTTATTGTATACTCTAGTGTGGTTCACAATTAATGGTAATATGTTTTTATCTTCCTTAAGTTATTTTACATTATTTAAAGATCCATTATTTCAATACCACATATGTCGTGGTTATGTATGCACATGGTGAACTACTATACATGTTTCTATGTGATCAGAAATCTACTATACATCATTATATACATTTTGAATCACACAGATACCTGAACAATAGAGAAGTAATCTGCTTCCTAACTTTGCCATCTGATTATTTACAGGGTTGGAAGGAGCTCAAGGATCAAAAGTCATTAAGGTTTCCGTCTCTGTCTACTAGTTAGTCACAGTGTTACTGATAAGCTAAATCACTGGTCTTACGGGAAAAATATTAGACGAATTACTCAACAGGTTGACTCAATAACTGTTTGCCCCTATAAAGCGTAAATTGGTTACGCAGAGACAACAAAATAATGGATTTGTTTATTTTTTTGTTGAAAATATAACTAAAGGTGTGAACTTAAATAAATCTAAGTAAACCTAACACTCCACAATTTCACACCATCTTGTAAGTTGAGTACGACCTCGAATGTCAATCATCTAACACAAAATCCATTGTAAGAGTGGCACACAGACAAAAGATATTTTTTTAAAAATCTATAGCCATATTTTGCAGTACTTGTATATTTACATTCATGTCAAAGAGATCTCAGATTAATTACTTTCATGTCTAAACTACAGTTCTTATCGTCCCAGTATGGGGGATTTGTGTCGATAGTAGTATTTCCACAGTTGGAATTACGAGTCAATACAAGTTAGAGCACTACTAAAAACCTAGAAGCGTTGAATAGCCGTTTTGTTCGAGTACGGGCTCCTCAGCAGTGTGTATGCATGATACAATACGTATGGCTTGAACCCAGGACCTTCGTACTTGCGTACGAACACTTAACCTCTAGACCATAGTGATGATATTTAAATATATGAATTTGAACAACCCTTGATCCAATGCCAGCAATGAAGATCTATCGTGATTCCAAATGTAAAAATAATACAATCTCCAGAATCCCCTATACTGATAACAATCGGGTATTCTCTAGTGACTAGCCTTAGGATGTAACTCCTAGAGTTCTAGTGAGAAGCTGTGACTAGTGTAGTCCAATCCGTATCGAGTGTGAGACAGATATCCACCTCAGACAAAGGATGAAGGGCTGCGCAAGATCATGAACAAATTGAAGTTAAATAATAACATCATTGGATCCCGGCTCAGTGGTCTAAAGACTAAGCAATCGCGCGCGAACCCAAAAATCCTGGGCTGGAGCCCCACATATGGGATCATGCATGCACACTGCTGAGTCCCATACTAGGAAAAAATGGCAATGCAGTGTATCCAGGTTTTAATGGTGCTCTAGCTTAGACTGACCCATGATTTCCTCTAGCGATAAGCATAAACATATTTTTTTCTAATTCATACCTATACATAACCTTTGTTATTTTATGATTAATTATTACTGGTAGCTTATTTTTTTGCCCCAAGGTCACGACACATGATTACTAAATAAACAGAGTCCTTCCACCTCTATCGTTGAAGAGTTTTGTGTGTGTCAGTTGTTGCATTATCGAGTTCATGAGCATTGAAATGATCAATTATTGTAAGCCCAACCGAAACACAATTGTAATTGTTTATTGAAATTTAACAATTCATACAAGTAAATAATATTTACAAAAAGTTCAAATGAAAGATTATTGAAGTTAGAGCAAGACGTTTTATATATCTATCTTTTATACCAATACTTTAAGGGAGTAGTTAGGTAGCGATACTACTAGACATTGTTCATTTCATAAAGTTTAACTAAAAGCTTCAGTTTGATTTGAGAAACAATAATTCTATCTGAAATATGAAATGTTTTAAATATATAGACATGAACGAACCATTTCAACATTAATTCAGTTCAACGTGGTAGCCAGATATAAGTTCGGGTATATTTGACTGAGTTATACTATTAATGTGATGGTAAATTTGTTGGGACAATAGTTCTGTAAAAGAAATTTAATCACTAAAGATCAAGTGCTTAAAACCATGAATTTATTGTGTCAATGATCACCTGAGAAGTTGTTCAATAAAAGCATCTATGGAAAAGTATTAGAAGTACTAAACAAGGGATTTGACTGCCTCTTTTCTGCAAACATAACTGCTTACAAAATAATGTCAAAGGATTGAGGATGTTGTGTACAAAGAAATGAACTAGATGACGATTAGGTTGTACATTGATTATGAAAAACTTGGAGATTAACGGTCCATACAACAATACCAATTTACAAAATCATTAACTTGATAGTTCAAAGTGTACAGGGGGAGGGAATTATTAATTAATCTGGTTTTTTTAATGGACAGCACCAAATAAACATTCCTCTACTTTAGTATTATTTTTAATCATTTAAACTATTCCCATTATAATTGATAGTGAAATTAATAGACGAAGAGATAACTTAAGTTTAAAACACATTCATCAATGTAGCGAATGTTAACAGAACATTGAATGTACACTCAGCAAGGCCATATCTATGTATCTATCTATCTAACAAACAATAGGATTAGAATTTTAAATAAATTGGTTTGTTAACTTACCAATTACAAATGATATTTTGTCATTCATTTACATACATTATGTTAAACGTTGTTTTTTAGCTGAAGGTTCAATACTACATAAATCATCATTTAAATTAACGGATTCTAGAATAAAATTATTAGAATTTGTATGATTCATATTGACAATGTTGTTATTATTATGATGATGATCATTATTATTAATATTATTATTATCAAGACCATATAGTTCAACTACACGTGAAGCAGCTTCAGCTGCTGCACCAGCTGGTCCAGTACAATTAAAAGCACCAGGAAAATCACTTCCAACAGCTACATCAACTTTTGGTACATAAATCATTGAGTTCATTGATCTAGCAGCAGCAGCTTGTCGTGCTGCTCTATCACTTGGACTCATTAATGCATCACCAAACATTGTACTAATACGTCCACGTGGTTTCAATTCAAGATACTATAGGGATTCGATGTAAGAAGCGAAAAAAAGAAATAGAAAATAAGTGACGATGAAAGTTTTGATAAACATGTTAACATTGTTCATAAGAACAACTTAATTTATGGGAAATATACACATACAGTATCATATATAACGTGACAATTGAACTGAGTGTGTTTTTTGATGATAAAAAAAAGGAAAATAACGAAGTGTAAAGTGGTAAAGTCATCTCAAGTTAGTATACCTTAACAATACATAAATAGTGTAGTTTGAATTTCAACAAAACACACCGAATTCATATTGTATCTTTTTGAATGAATCTACTTTTTGTAATCGACATCGAATATCTTGAGGATTTTGTTTTAAAAAATTTGACCATTCTCCATACATACTGATTCAGTCAGTCGGTCAGCTACAACGTAGCTGCAGGCACACATATACATCGGTCCAAGTTGCCATACCTCGTTAGCACAACAAGATCAACACCGAATCCATAAAAGTAGTTAATTTAATGGTGGTAATATATAAAAGAAACGATATAATACACAAAGAAAGACAGATTTGAAGTAATTTTAATCTCAAGGTTTAAGGGGAGGAAGATAAAGAGTGTATACAACTGCGCCATTGTGATCGATTCTGAGCCATGTCACCTGGAGTCTCCAACCATTGGTTACGATAGTCGCGCGGACCCCATATCGATTGTGATGATACCTTGGTCTGTATAAATTGAACTTCAAGTTAATACCAATTGTGTTGTTTTACTAAGACCTATTGTTTCAGAATGAATACAACTAATACACTGTAGTGTATGCTACTTACATTGACAGATGCAAGTAGTATGTAGTACCAATCGAAAGTGGAATGCATGATAGATTCAATTTAAAAGAAGAGAAAGTAATTGCGATTACAATAGAACTGGAAAAAAATCATGAAGCATGGTAAAGGAAAGTTGATGTATTTAATGTATGCTTTTCATATTTTAAGATGGTATTGTGTAATGTTGCATAAAAAATAAATTGGTTTTCCCCACCTGAGTTTTCCATTAGCTACAATACTACTACTAATCAAATCATTTCAATGATATCACCAACAAGATTATGTCGATTGAATGCACGAAGGAATGAGGTTCGAATACGTATATTTTTGTACACTCATTGACTTGGAGTGACAATCAGGAAAATGAAGAGCAGTGGAGGTCAGTGAGTCAACTCGATTTAACGAAGTGTAATTCGATATTTATAGTCAAACAAAAATAGGTTATAGATATTTGATGGACAGGATAAACAATGCGCACGCTCATATAAAAACAGTCAAGGTTGATAAGATAACAATTAACAAGGTCAATATGTGACTCAAGAAGAATGAATAATTGGTCTGGATACTAGAATAATCAATGTGGGCTTGACATGGTAACTAGACACTACAATGATACATTCCAATTCATCCATTGGGTTTTTTTATTAATTTATAAATGAAAAAACAAACAAGCAAATTATAATAAAAATTTCAGTATAAACTGTTAATATACTGATTTGTAGTGAGTTAAGAGATAAAAGATGATAAAATTAGGATTAATTTACAAGGAACAGATAATCTTAACAGATCAAGATAATAAACCTTTGATAATTTGATTTTCTGGAATGCATAGTTATATCATGGAGTTCATGTACTGATATCTGAGATGTATTACAGATCAGAAACAAACCAACACAAATTTAACCAAGTAAATATGAAAAATAAAATGTAGGAAAGAATAAAATCTACACAGAATATAAGGTGGCTTTGTATTTTGATAACTATGAATTTCGAATGCTAAGAAGATAAACAAGTCTGTTTAACAAACAAAATTGAAAAAAAAGATTGATTATGAATACAATGATCTTGAGTGATGTTAGAGGTATGAGGACAGTTATCACTTTCCGGTTGCTCACAACATGGAAGGGTTCTTCAGGAGGTAGCTGAAAAGAAAATTGGATTAGTAGTGGTTTTAATGACCTGAGAGTGTCACGGCAGTTCCCAAAAGACAAGTGCTTGAGACCGGTCACACACGACTGGTGTTAGTTCCTAGGTTAGATTTCCTCATAAAATCATCTGTGTACTGATGAGGAGTCCCATGTTAAAAAGAGACGGATGTCAAATATTTCCACGTTTCGACTGTTGGTTTAGTTAAAATTAGATTGTCAGAAGTTACAGAGTTTCTCATCATAGTTGATCCTTTGATTTCATGAATTTGATTCGACAAAAACGTAAATCGATATAGAAGTTTGCCGATATATATATATATATATATATATATATATATATATATATATTATAGCTGAAAGCGTGAGTCAATTGAAGCTAGACCACCATGGAAAACCTGGAAACACTGGACGGCCGTTTCGTCCTATTATGGGACTCCTCAGCAGTGCGCATCCACGAACCCGCTCTCGCGAGATTCGAACCCAAGACCTACCAGTCTCGAACCGAAGCCCTTAACCGATAGACCACTGAGCTGGCATCCAACGGTGTTAATGTCTAACTTCAACTGATCCACGAAGTTGAGCAACCATTCACCAATTGTCTTCAGTAAGTTCCTATCTCACAACGGCCGTCCAGTGTATCCAGGTTTTCCATGGTGGTCTAGCTTCAATTGACTCACGCTTTCAACTATAATAAATACTAAAACTCCACAAAACCCCTTCTATAATTTTTATATATATATATATATATATATATATATATATATATATATATATAACAAGAAACAACTTCACAGCTCTAATCTACAAATAATCACTTTACAATTGAATACAATATATTGTCAGTTAGTCAGTCAGTTACAACGTAGAACTTCGTACGTACGTACATCAGTTCGAGTTGCCATACCACATTTACACAGAGATGAAGTTGTCGATTCAAATCCCACATTGGTGAAAGTAGTAAAAGTATAAGTATTATGTGAAAGATAAGGGTTTACAATATATTGTACTATATTATTATCACACTTAAGAACTGGAATACACTTACATTTCCTTCTTCATCACGATGTTTTTCATGAAATTTCAAATGAACATTAAGATTTGATTTTTTATTGAATCGTTTTCTGCATATATGACATTCAAATGGTTGTTCACCACGATGTATCCTTAAATGTTCATTGTAATAGGCAGCTTTAGTAAATCGTTTATTACAGTATTCACATTCAAAACGTGCTTCTTTATGTATTAACATATGCATACCAATTTGTGTAACAATCTATGAAAAAAAGATATGAAGAATAGATTAATTCTATGAAAGAATGATTGATCTATATGAACGAAATAACTAAGGTAAATTATTTTTCACTGTTTTATCTACGATTCTGACCAAATTATCTTCGAGAAAATTTGTTGATGATGCTTCGCTAGAAAAACCATTAAGCATAGAGTAATCAACTGTTATGCTCCAATAACAATAGTGAATAGTAACTTTGGGATCCTTTTTATGGACCAATATTATGCATATCAGTTTTATCGTATATTTGCTAAATAATTAAACTACTCATATTCATGTTCCGTTCATTGCGGCTTTATTTTGACCCTTCGACTGTTATTGTACGATTTACCATTCCTGAGTTATACTCAGTCTATTAATTACTGCCTCCCACATTCACAGACACATTTGGCTGAATCTTGTACAAATGTTGTTTTCCATTTTATTGGTACGATGTGGTCAGTCTATTTGGTATATAAACTCAGTATGTTGAAATACAAGGATTCATACCACAGAGGCTGTTATTGGTGTTCTGTACTTAACTCGCTGGGCTAGGCAGTAGCAAGATCAATAAGCACTCTAGACTGCTCGTACGGTTTTTGTGTGTCACTATTCCAATCGATAATTCGCTGTTGTGATTGGCGGTCTTATCACGTCATACATTAGCTAGACATCCACTCGGCCACAAGATATAACATCAACATAACAAAAAAACATATATGAAGTAAAAATCTTCTCCATCATTTTAAAATCGTACAAGCGTACGATAATGTCTCTGTCGATCATAAATTTTTTAAAGCCTAATCATAAGTACACACTGATATGGATGTATCCAAAATCTTAGTTTTACACTGATCATTGTATTTATCAACACTTAAACTATCTGTAAAGAAACAAAAACGTTCTAGTTACTATTTACAGGTACCAAGGGACAATACAAACTGTCTGATTTTATGTAGTGAATCGGGTAATTTTGATAAAATCTACAAAATAGTAAGTGAAGTAATTTTATACCATTAAAATGGTGATTGAATAAAAACAATAAAGTATACAATGTTAAAGCAGTTTAACTTGAAATGTATTCCTGCTGCATCTGTGCTCAAACAATAATCTATTTTTAGTAAGCACTAGTTTTAAGCATAAAGAAAGACATCGTCTAACATGGTGACCATTTGCAGCAAACAAACGATGAACTTAAATAGACTATATGGCCATCAGTCATCGCTGAAGAGGCTCGACTGAAGACTGTCGTTTGTTCTGGAACATCTGGAACAGCACTCATTTGCTTGCGCCTCACTGGACGCAAAAAACCACATTAAGAAGACCCATTACAGTTGAACTCAATGACGAGAAAGCCAAAAGTAAATTCCAGGGACAACTGAGGTAGTTCTGCAAACGAGGCTGACCCAGATGTTGCTTGGAAATATATACAAACAACAATGACATCTGCTTCAGTTTGCGCACCTGTGCAGTATCACAGCCCTCACAAAAATCAAATGAGATATGTGTGGTGCATATATATCTGGTGCCTCTTTGTACCAATGTTTATGTGTTCAAATAAATAAATAAACTTGAAATCGATCAACAAGTATCTTTTGAAAATTTTAAATGACGTCACTCAAAAAAGAGAAAAATGCAAGTGATTTAAAGTAAACTATTTAGGTGTACTAAGAATTTCAGTATCCTGACGGAATAAATGACGTATGAATCAGTTGTTGGTCACTGGCTACTATGGGACTGCAACTCCTTACGATGCTCCACTGCCTTATGGATCAGACCTTTAGGTCAAAGGTTCCGGGTGTGATCCCCTAAGAAAATCACCTGTTTCAGTTTGGGCACCTGAGCAGTATCACAGCCCTCACACAAATCAAATGAGATTAGTGCGGCGCATATTTATCTGATGCTTCCTTGTACCAATATTTATGTTTAAATAATAATAAATAACTTCGTTATGGACTTCTTCCTCTAGTTAGCGGGGCCTGGGACAATGGATTAGATTAGCCTATCGTGTCACTTCGTCATTGACCTTCGTTCGTTTACAGAGAAAATCGTAATTAGCATCAAGCATATCAGACTTCAACAATAAACATGCATGATTAGCATGTAATATCTTTTATTCATAAGTTGTCTACTTGACATGAATCCCTAATGAAATAAGCCTATGTTTAATAGAATGAAATTGAAGTTTGAAACCAAAATATCACAGAGAAATGATAATTTTACCTTTCCACATATTTGACATTCGAATTTTTCAGGACCTAATTGTAAGTGTTCTACTCGAATATGACGTTTCATAGCCAATTTACTCTTGAATGTTGTTTGACAATCAGTACATTGATAAATACGAGTACGAAAATGTTTTTGTCTATGTTGAGCATAACATCTTAAGTTAGCGCATACTTTATGACATATTTCACATTTAACAGCTCCACTGTGCATTTCTTTTACATGACGTCGAAGTTCTGTTTCTAGACGAAAACGTCGTTGACACATGAAACATTCATGAGCTAGTTCCTAAAGAAAAACATTTAATATTGTTATGCAATTTATTTCCATGACATTATTTGATAACAAATCATAATAGTTAAACATACAAATAACGAAAAGGAGGATTGTTTCTATTGAAAAACAATATTATATGTTAGGTGAGAAATAGTCGAATATAATTTATCAAATATAGATATTTATCATCATTATTCGAACGTACAACCTCTGTTAACATGAACTTCCAATATTCCAGAAAGGATTTAATATCTCTCTATTTAAGATTTGTTATCTGTAGAATGTTTGAACGACATGATCTGTCGTGACTTTTACGGTGTGACTTTGGTGAGTACTTTTTCTCAACACCGACTACTCGGGTTAGTAATTATTTAATTCACGACTGGATCTTAGTTAGATAACCAATGAAAACCAGGGAGCACTAGACAACTATTTTTCCCCACCGTGCATTTACGACCCCATCGAGAGTCTAACTGAAGACCTCCAGGTTTAGCGGCGAGAACTTAACCCTCAAGACCACTGAACTGAGTACCATTTTAGAACAAAACAGCTATCTAGTGCATCCTGGTTTCTAGCGGTTATCTAACTAGTATCAATATTATATAAATTATGAAATTTAACAATCACTATAACACTCTGTAAGTTTGAAAGCTGGTGGTCGACGTGGAAATACTAGATCCCTAACATCAGATGCAGATAAACAAGTAATTGTTCGCCTCACTTTTATGAACCATGTTTGAAAATATTAAGATAGTGGGTAGTTAATTTAAGTCGAACTAGCAGAGTAGTAATGTCATGGGTAACATAAATGACTTCAAGCTACTAGTAGGTTACAGATTCGAGACCCATCTCACAAAAGCAGATAATACGCAGAACCTTGCAATACTATGATAATTGATTAAAAATAAAATGACGATAAAAAAACAGAATGGAAATAATTGATGAACCATAAAATTTCCGAAACACAAAAAAGATAGAGACCAATCTAACATTGTACATTGTTTCATTGCCTTAACATCTTCAAACCCTAATCTTTCACACAATGTTTATACTCTTACTACCTCTACCACTATGGGGTTTGAACCGACAACTGGATCTCTGTGCTAATGTGGTATGGCAACTCGAACTGATGTACGTACGTATGAAGTTCTACGTTGTGACTGATTGAGTGACATTGCTCTACACACCATAAAAGAGGTATAATTATTAAACTTTTCTGCATAATTAGCTACTAATAAACTTTTTTAGGGGAAACACCTGTATTTGAGGCAAAAAAGAATAAGGATTGATGGAAATTGACAACACCTTCTGGTCTGAGAGATATAAACTAGTCTTGTTATATAACGCTTTAGTAGTTTTGTTTTGGAAATCTCCATAACGCTCATTAGTGATGGTCTGCACAACCAAGAAATGGAAACTTTTCTCTTCCAGTTAACTACATGGATTTATAATATATTAAATACATAGTATTGAATAAAACGAATAAAATAATCAATCTGATATTTGTAGTCATCCATTAACTGTTTTTTTCATGTTTACAAAACAAAAATGATTTGTTGTTGGACTAAGAATGAATGGCATGTTGTTGCTTACTGATACCTAATAGAAGATACAAGGTTCACATGACTATTCTGATTATATACATCAGTGTGTATGAATCGTGACATGGAGATTAACATCACGTAGAAGAAAAGATTACTAGTAAAATACGATAAATCGACACCTGTCACTGAGAGTACTTCATCAGCCAGAAAATAAAGTTGAAATAACACTTTGTCTACTTGACTGAATATGAATAAACTATTTTGTAAGAATGAGAAAGTCTCATTTTCTTTCTCAATATTAGAACATTGAAGATAGTAAGGGATATATTGTTAGTGACAAACGAACATGTCAACTGGTTTAATATAATGTGAAAGTGACCTTACCTGATTATGCATACGGAAGATATGATATCTTAACGACGATCGCTTAGGATAAATTAAGCCACAGTATTCGCAAGTTGCTGGTCCTTGATCATCTCCATGATGACAACGCATATGATGAAGTAGAGAAGGTCTTAGCCGAAATGCCCGTCCACATTCCATGCATCTGTGTGAATAACCTTCATTATGTTTATCCATATGAGCACGCCATACTCTTTTATCATTGAATCTCTCGTAACAATGGATACATTCATATATAGGCGGGGAGGGATCATCATGTACTTCACGAGAATGTCTTAACAGACCTTTATTGAAACCCCAAAATTCACAATGTGTACAACGGAATATTGTCTGAACACCTGCATTGGCAAATTCCCCGGTGGGAAAATGTACTTCACCAAGATGAGCGGAAAGATCCTCTGGAGATTCGAAAACATCAGCGCAAATACGACAAATATCCTCAAGAGTCGTATTGATATTATGTTTTTCACTAAGATGTTGTACGTAATCTTTTCCACTGCAACGAACAACAAATCCGCATAGTTTACATTTCATTTTACGAATACCGAGAGAAGAAAGATCTTCTTTATCGACACGTGGTCGAAGATGTCGTGTATGGGTGAGCATATGAAGCATATTTTCCGACACTCCGTCACCTGGATGTACTACTCCGTGTTCTGCCCACTGATGAAAATAATAGTTAAATTTCGTTCCATAAAACTCTGTACAAATGTCACATGTCATTAGTTTATTTGCCGATTTTTTATTAGTACCATCCTTGAAGTTTACTTCTTTATCTGGATCACTTTTCACTATTTCAGCTTCCTCATTCTCAAATTCTTCCAAGGCATTTGGTGCATCAGTTTTTATGTGTGTATGATAATGATCAGACAATTCTTCCATTGACCGAAGGATGTTATTACACAAAATGCATTGAAGGTGATAAACAGTGAAGTGTCGAAGTATTTTATCACGTGAATTGACTTGAGTTCCACAGATACCACAAACACATGCATCATCTTTGGCGTCTGATGTCACTTCATCAGCATTTGGAACAGAACCTTCCACAGTTGTATCATCTCCAGACCTAGTGTATGAATCATCTGCTAAGATGGTCTTTGAAACACCACCGCCTATTCGAGATAAAGGGGTACGAAGAGAGAAACTAACACCATCACAAAAGTCTAGATGTTGTGCAAGTACTTCTGCTGATGGGAAATAATCACTGCATTTTTCGCATTGTGGAGCTTCCATTCGACCAACTAAAAGATTTGTGTTGAATACGTTCGCAAGTCCAGCGAGTAAACCACTACCTGGGGCAGTGTCTTGTTCAACTAGTTCATCATCTTCTTCATCTTGGTCACTTCCAGAATCATTTTGATTAACTGGATTCGGGCGTAAAAGAACAGATAAAGGACCTGAACGTGGGCATGCATGATGTTCATTCATATGAACTTGCCATGATCGCCGATCAAGGAACGAAACATTATGAACTCCACATCGGAACCTAGAGAGACCTAAATGTCTCATTTCATGATCCAACAAACCGTTTGGTGAACGCAGTTCTTTAGCACACAAACAACAAACACCCCAGTGTTCAGGAAGAGGAACTGGTGACGGCGGAGGAGCATGAGGATTTGCGGCAGCTTCAGCATAAGCTGCAGCCTCTGCTGCTTCAATATGCTGTCTGGCTAAAATCTCTGGCATGTATTTTTGTGCCATACGTAAAACAACATCGTATAAACTAACTGAGACAGGCAATTCGAAAAACAGACTGCACAAATGATCAGTGAAACCAGAAACAACACTACATAATTTGGTTTGTTCATAATGAGGATAATAAAATGCTGGTAAAACAGTTGAACTGTTAGTCTCATCGTTCACTATCCGAACGTTAGACGGACAAGACTTGTGAGCTGCAGAAATAGACTGTGCACAAAGTGATGGATTTCCTGTATGCGGATATATGGAATCACAGCGAGCGGGAACAATCTCAATAATACGGCGAATAACACGTTGATCATCGATTTGTAAACCATACAACAAACCGTTTATAGCAACTAAACGATATTCAGCAGAAGTTGGTTTAAATGATGACTCATATGACTTTAATTCTGAAGGAGTGATTTGATCGAAATTGACAGAAGCAGCTTCACCATGGGGGTGTACACCAAGTTTATCATCTGCTACCTGAAGGGTAAGACGAACAGGCGAATCAAATGCAATTGCAAGTGGAACACGCCTTTGACGATCGAGTATGACAAATTTTGTACAGTGAATTACAGCTGCAGGACCAGTTGATGTCAATGGAAGAGTTGTAGTGTCTGGTCTCGACGAAGCAACAACAGCTGCAGCAGCTGCCGCTGTACTACTAGAACTGGCCAATTCACGTAGCATAACTTTTCTTAAAGTATCAAATAAAAGATCAGGAACTACTAACAAAGATTTATCTTCAAGTATATCTTCTGGATCAACTGTATGTACACCATCAAGTGCTATAGATAATTCTGGCATGAATCCATGTTTTTCTAGACAAAACTTGGATTCATCAACAACAGAATAAACAAAGAAATTATCATTTTCAGATGGATAACAACTAACAGGATGAGCAACTAATAGTAAAGTATCTCGACGTCCATTTGGTTTAACAATAAATGCATCTATAAAACGTACTGGTCCAAGTGGAGAAGACTCTTGTTTGTTTCCACGTTTTGATGAACTATATTCTTTAGGATCAGATTTTAAAACAACCCAATCAATAATGTTATCTAACACTTCACGAACTTGTTCCTCTCTAGTTTGACGATTTGTTCCTTCTGCACCATTTTGATCTACTGGACAAGTAGTACTGTCCGATAATGGAGTTATATTAATCAGATCGATAGGAGCTATTGGTCTGTTGTGTGGAATTTCAGTACTGTTCCATGTGTCTAAAATTGCTATCCCAATCAACTGACCTTCTTTATTAATTGCTAAAACAATTCTTTGTAAATTCGGAGGTTCAAGTGGACTAATATCTATATCAGCTTCCTCATCTTGTTGATGTACTCTGGCAAGAGCTAATTCATAAATTCGCTCTGGAGGCAATGCAACTAGTTCAGTTAATCTTTGATACAAATCAGATGGAACAATTAATTGATGAATATCTGGCATATATCTTCCAAGATTACCAGCACCGGTAATAAAATTATACTGTGTATTTGATACACCAAAATCGCTTGCAACAGAACTACGAATTGCCAGTAAATTTGTCTCTTGATTAAGAATATAAGCTGGTTTAATAATTAGTTCTTCATCAATATCTTTACTAAGTGTTTCAAGATGTTGACTTATTGGTGTCATATGAGCAACACCAAACAATGGCTGATGAATTATAGGAATTAAATAAACAATACGGTGTTGTAATTGATCATATGAACGTGCGACAAATGCATGTAATAGTTCAACTACTTTATCATGATCATTAATACGACTCATAAGACTTTGTAAACTGGCAGATGCACCATAAAATAAATTGGCATGTTGATTACTAGGTTTACAGATTTCCGCTAAAAATTTATCAAAACTAGCATTTAAAACATTTGATTTCAAGAAACTTGAATAAGCATCTAAATCTGCACGTGTTTTAAGAGCAGCTGCAAGAGCACTATAAATATTGGATCCCCAACTAGTTCCTTTCCCAGGAGCAGTTCTACGTGTTGACCGACTAGCTGAAGTTACATTCATACCACGATTGGCAGCATTTGTTGATATCTTTTTCTTTAATGAAGTAACACGTTTATCAGAAATAATACTTTGTGCATCGAAATCATAAATATCTCTTTGTATATGATTACTTTCATCTTCGAATAATTGTAATGGCATACCGCCGTTAACACCGGAATGATCCATTAAAATAGAATCTCCCAATTCTTCATCATCTTCATCTTCCTCTTCGGATTCGGACTCTCCGGCTTCGTCTTCGTCAGTGGATCCACCTTCTTCCACATCACTACTGACTGTTAACTGGGCCTTTGAACTTCGGCGTGTGCGTGAAGAAACTCCCTTACGAGATCTTGATATTTTTGACAATTTATTAAGAGTTTCTTCATCAGATGGAGCATATTCACTGTCTTCATCCCCAACATCAACGTTCTCATCCAAATCGTGTTCATCATCATCATCTGCAAGAAACATATCGGAATAAGAATAAGTTTCTTTTGTTGGTGCATTAGATACTTTAGGTTTTGGTGTAGACTTGGCAACTGCAGCAGAAGTTGAAGAACGTGTACAACGACCACTACTACGAGTCTTTTCAGGTACGGTTTTGGGACGTTCATTTTTCTTACGTCTCAGAACAGGAGTGGCTGCCGGTTGGGAAGATTCCCTAACTTTTGCATGTGACTTCCTTTTAGACGAACGGTCTTTAGATTTTCGACTTCGGCTAGATCTACTATTTGATGCTTTCTGCTTCCGACCATGGGATGATGCTTGATTAGGAGTATTGGATTTTGTATTCCCTCGATCTTCTTGCTTCATTTATTCAGTTTAATTGGACCTAAAAAATTATGGAATTAATGAGGAACAGACAGAAAATTTAAAGCAAATTGATAGACAAGTTGATTACTTCACGACCACCAAACAAACCGATTATAATGTTCAAACAAAGTTCCCACTAAACGTTAAAAGATGGACACCTTATTACTGAGTAAACTATACTTGGATATGCAACAGTTAATTTAAAACCGTAACTGTCATTTTAAAGACAAATTTTAGATTTTCGAATCTCCAAGCACAGAAAGTTTAAGGAGTGTATACAGTACATATATGTAATGGTTAATATGTGTTTACAGCTTGTTTATATATTCCATCCAATCGTTTAAAAGGCTATATACTTATCCTTAATAATTGATCTGATTATTTTGAAGTATTTCGTCATCAGAGTGGCGACTTAATAGCTACAGTGTTCGGCTTTCAACAAACCAGTTGCAGGTGCGAACCCACTTCACCTTGATTGAAACACTAGAGTGATATAACTTGCCCTCAAAATCGAGTACAACAATTAGAAATTGATAGATGGGTTTTATCGAGTAGGACATTTATAAAATAAGTATCCAGTACATATCTTTAAGGACCTAAATACTATGCTTTAATATTATAGCTATTCAAACAGCCTTGACAATGGCTTGTTCTAACTGTTAAATCTCAAAGCTACATCAGATTTAACCCCCCCCCAATAATAAACAAATGACATCTTACTGCAAAAGCATATGTCAAATCATTCGATCAATCTTAACGTAGAACCTGGGACATATTTACATAGGTTTAAGTTGCTACATCTTATTAGCACAGCAAGATAAAACTGTCAGGCCGAATCCCAGTGATAAAGGTAGTAATAGTATCAATGGTCTTAGAAATTATCAGGCATCAAAAATACGATTGCAAAAAAATATGAATGAGTGGAATGACATGGTGTAGAAGGCAGTCTAGAAACCTAAAGGAATTTTTAAAAATCTGGTTGGCGCTTTTTAAGCAAGATATTTTTCTACAGGATGGGGTTTCAGAATACATACCCAACCCTCCTCTTTTACCCGGGTTTGAGAACGGAAGTAACTCTAGGAGAGCTACACGCGTAGTGATGAGAGCAGCAGCCTACTGTGGGAGAGGACAAACCAGCTTCCAACAGAAGAGGAAATTAGGAAAATACGTTCCAAGTGGATAGGACACACTGAGGAAATTACCAAACTGCATCACAAAGCATGTTATAACTTGAAATCCTGAAGGGAAACGGAAAGGAAGAAGACCAGAGAACACACTGTGTCGAGACATGGAAGCAGACATGAAAAGGATAAATGGAAACAACCGGAAAGGGTTGCCCAGGACAGAATTTGATGAAGAATACTGGTGCGCAGCCTATGCTCATCCATGAGGGGTAATAGGCGTAAGCAAACTTAAGGGAAAAAGAAAGGTGAATGAAACTGAGTCATTGTTAACTATTTTGAACAATGTCACCCAGTCTCTAACTATTAGTTACGGTGATCCCACGGATTCCAACCAGTTAGTTTGTAACTATCTACATGGCTCAGTGTAATAGTGTCTGAATGGGCTGAAGCCATGTCTTGGTAAGGCCACCCTTGATTTCATTTCAACCAACTTTTACACCAACCACTGCGCGAGTTAGTCAGTGGATGAATATGTGTAGCACATATTCTAAACATCTCAGTCGATATAGATTTGCAACCTTGTCAATCGATTTGCAGTATTTGCTTAACACTCTGCGTCTAATCTCATAATTGCTAACTGAATGTGTGTACTAGAGCAATGAGCAACTTTTTCAATTGTTTTGACATATGTTAATGCTTTAATGTCACAGAATTTCTTGTTAAGAAATCTATATCCATAGAAGGATGAACTATATGAAACGAAACACATATCGAAGCGAGTGTCACATTGTGGTCAAGCGGTTCAGTTATTTCTTATTTTATAACAAAATCATATGTTTAAATATTCCTCGACTTTACGTGCAAGAACTGGATAGTACCATTAGCTTTCATTGAGAAAAATTCCAAAGTGACTGAATATTTAGAAAGAAAAACTGATACCTAGGTAGTAAGTTGCAATTAGTGAAGCTTAAAAGTAATCGCTTTAGTCACTATGATGTACAACAAGACAGAAGATAAATGACTTCATGGTTAAAGTAATGCAGGTCATTTATTATTTACAGATTAGCATATTCAGATAGGAGACACTTTGTCAAAGCAAAACTATCGAGCTGTTCAAACAAATGGAGTGGTTTCGAGTCGCACTTTAACCATATAGCCGCCACTACATTACTAATAAGATCATTATAAGCAACAATGCAAGCATGTTCGGGATGCGATTCTCCCACTCGAAGTGCAAAATGTTACTTCAGGATTATTTATTTATTTGTTTTATTTGTACACATAAATATTGGTACAAAGGGGTACCAGATATATATGCACCACACAAATCTCATTCGATTTGTGTGAGGGCTGTGATACTGCCCAGGTGCGCAAACTGAAGCAGATGGTTTTCTCAGGGGGCCACACCCCAAACCTTTGACCTAAAGGTCTGATCCACAAGGCAGTAGAGCATCGTGAGGAGATGCAGTCCCATAGTAGCCGGTGACCAACGATTGATTCATAAGCCATTTTTTCCCTCACGATACTGGAGTCCATGTGCACCATTGATTTGGAATTGTGGTTCTCCAACTCTCTTAGGTGAACTTACCGTGTCCACTAACCCGGTTAAAGCGCCGAACATTTGCTTTTCGTCCTCACAATTTCGTAAACAACACCGGCGACACGGGTAGGCAGTGAGTAGGACTTCCTTGGCAAATGCTATATACCCGTGGCTATATGAGAGCATTTCGAGGGAAAGAGCGGACTCTCCTCACTCTCGGCCGTACCAGGGTATTTAGGGGATTGGGTTGCATCGGCAACTTATCTAATGATAGGGAGTGAAAAAGTTGTGTTGACCGCTTCACTTGTCTTGGAGTCTCATCAGCCTTTGTGGTCTGGTGTGTGACGAAATCTCAGCACGGATACAGAAGGCTCGTCTAGCTTTCGCCAACTTGCATCATTTATGACGTAGGTGGGATATCCGTCTAGCAAACAAAGGACGAGTTTACTGTGCAGCAGTTCGTTCCGTCCTACTCTATGACAGCAAAACATGGCCGATAAGAGTAAAGGATATTCGTAGGCTACTAGAATTCGACCACAGGTGTCTTCGAAGCATTACTCGTATATCCTGAGACCACCGAGTAAGTAATGCAGTCGTTAGGAAACGGGTACTAGTTAAGGATGGCAAATCGATTAGTGAAGTAGTGAAACTTCATCAGTTGAGATGGCTGGGACATGTGTTACGTATGCCCAACTACAGACTGCCCCGAACTGCAATGTCTTATGGTGTAGTAGGTAGGAAGAAAGTTAAGGGCGGTCAGACCAAAACGTGGCACAAATCCATGAAACCACTGACAAGTTGACTGAGTCATGTTGGTAGGTGTAGATTACCTGGTTGAGATCCGCGCGATGATAGCAATCGATGGTTAGAGACTTTGAATGACATGGCTGAAAATCGTTTGCAATGGCGAAGGTGCATCTACTCCATGTGTTCTGCCAAATTCTAATCTGAATTCTTCATATCTTTTATTTCACTGGATTATACTCCTTCAATAACATCTTCAAACGCTAATCTTTCACATAATGCTTATACTCTTACTACTTCTACAACTATGGGATTTGAACCGAAAACTGAATCTCTGTGCTAATGTGGTATGGTAAGTCGAACGGATGTACGTACGTACGAAGTTCTACGTTGTGACCGAACTGAAACTGACTGATAAGAATACATGTTTTACAACCATTACGTCGCACGTTGGAACATGCTTAACGATTTTAGGCAATTATCAACCCTCCAACTCAAAGTGTCGCTTAGAGATGAATAAATAAATTTGTATTAGATTACTGATTATAAGGTGAAAGATAGGCAACAAGGAACAACAAAGTGGGTTATGCAAATTATTGATTGAATTGTAACCCATGATTATGTGAAAAAATTTCTCTTTGCAAAAATATCCTTTTTCAGATACAGAACTGGTTAGAAACATCAAAAACTAGCTAGCTTTATCAAATGTTAACTTCTAACTATGGTTAAAGATATCGCAGTCTAACTAAATGGCAGTAAATCAAACTCACTTGGAAAACAGCCTAGCTTTTATATATTCTTTTTATTACAACATTAACTCACTAGACAGTCGAGTCTCTTTTCACTTGGGAATTCGGTCGCTATCAACATAAACTTTCAAGTATAAAAACAATCTATTTATCTGCACTAAACTAGTGTGAATGTAATGAAGTTAATTCGTTTTTGTGGAAAAGATAAAAATTGTCCTAATCCTCCAGACGATCTGAAAGAAGTATTATTACCTCCAGGAATGAATTTTTATTAATCTATACGAAACAACTCAATATCCAAGTAATGAACCTAGAGAGACTTGTCATGGTCTTAATATCCGCATCTCAAACCAGGAGTATTCAAAATTATGACTATGTTGTCCTAAATAACAAACAACCAGGTTTACTTTTAATAAACCCCTTGTCTCAATAAACTAATTTATACTTACTACTATGCATAGATCCTTAGTACATGACTGACGTTGAAATTTCATGATTAGCCTTGGTACAACAAATACGGAGGCACGCTACAGGTAGGTAAGAAATTGGTTTATAAGTATAATCCGGGCAGCTCGGCTAAAATATGAGAAGCGGTTGGTCCAATATGTAATAAAGTACCCGAAGAGACTGTTTTCGTACATAAATTACAGAAGAACAGACCCCCGATGCTAATATGCGCTGATGTAAGTCTGGCAAGAAACAACAGGAGACCCATATGCATGTGCACTTCAAGCGAGCATAGATGTTCTGATTAGCTGGTCTTGAAAAGTGGCTGGTGCCAATCAACGCGACTGTGTTTACACATTGAAAATAAAAAGCAATTAGGTGAAGCATAGAGGAAGAGTCAGTGCTAGCAGTTCGGTCTCACAATGACCTTGGAGTAAAAATGAGTCATGATTTTAAGACCATGGTCAACAGCCGTGACGTCGCAACTAATGGGTTTAGAACCCTGCAGGCCCCAAGATGAACATTCATCAAGTTTGATACTACTATGCTCACCATAGTATACACAACCTTGATCAGATCCAAACGGTGTCCAGGCTACAAGCCTTTGTTTGAAAGATGACTCGGATATTCTGGAGAAGGTATAGAAAGAAGTTATCTATGCAGTTTCGGAACTCCAGGGATTGTCATACGAAGAGCGGTTTAATAAGCTAGACATCTTTGCTCTGTCCTATCGCAGATTAAGAGGAGATCTGATTTCGATGTTTAAAGTAACAATAAATAACTTTAAATCTGACATTTCCGCTTTTTTTTCCTACGGATCAAGACATATCAGAGGTTATGGCAGGCGAGTAGAAAAGCCAAGAAGGAACAAAATCCCCGTGGTATGCAGGTCTTCACACCGAGTTGCCGATTGTTGGAACCTGTTACTCGAAGCAGTGTCCTACTCCTCAATTAAATCATTCAAGTGAAGACTAAACAATCTTAGAAACTTACTGGGGAAGGATTAACACAGGCTGTAGGTCTTCTGAACACAAATCTGAATCAGAACATAAACTGATCAAATACATGAAAACAAACATGGAGAGGGTAAACTGTAGCAGAAGTCAATAAAAATGGCGAATAAATTGTGAGATGTTGTGTAGGTAGGACCAATGAATGCAATAAGATGTAGGTGGATGTGAGTTTGAAAGCAACATGATGAATTCCGGTGTCAGCATACCTAGTCGTCAAGTGAAGTCACGCATAAATTCTACACTAGCTGTGTGTTACCGATAGCTATCGCTGGTACCCAACCTTCCATGTTTAAAAAAGACCCAAGTCACACTTCGACGGGGTGATAGTAAAGTGACAACCACAGACGAAGGGGACGTCACGCTGTCTGGATGAGCAAAGTACCGAAAGCCTTAGGTTAAATTACAGCAACAAACGTGCAAGTCAAGAACTCTTGTAATTCAATCAATAAGTACAGAAAAAAACACTCAACAGACCTGTGGGTATCCAACTTCCAAGGGAAAACAATCATCAACTTATAAAGAACGCATGGACACCTAACTATGAGAAAAACTATGCAGTCAGAGACTATTAAACCAATTATACACAACTTGTTGAATCAAAAAGTACATGTTTATATGAGTGGAACAACACTGGAAAGAAGAATTTTCGAACTTACAAAATTCAGCAAAATGGCGACGTATACTACTGAATAGGACTTTCAGTAGGCAGGTTGTGCGATACTAAACAAACAAAAGTGAAAAAATTAAAAGAAGTATAGTGATAAAATCAAAATCACTTCGTTTAATAATAAGTGATTTGAAAACATAATTATGAGAACAAAAGAAAGAATAGCGCTTTTTTCAAACCTTACCAACACCAACAGATTACTCCAGCAGAATTGATGAAACGAATTCACTACTTCTACACAGAAAATTCGATTTCGAAGATTGGAGAGGACGCTAGTCTTTCCTGAAAAATTCAGCGAAATATTTTCCTCTATTTCCACCGGTGGTCAATTCCCTGGATCAGACATATTCCCTAGTTGTTGTAAATGAATCCTAAAGGAAGTAGCTCTTTAAGTCATCGACATTTATGCTGACCCAGTCAATTTTACTGGGCAAGTCATAACTTATATCGCAAAATTCATGGTATATCGACTGTCCTTCAAATATAATGTCACACTCCGTTCCTGACTTTTGGTTTGACTCGGTTCGGGGTATTTCGACCATTAAGTTGTTACACAGAAAATTTATGTCTAATAGTTCTGGTCGGAATAAAATAAGCTTTCCATATCTAGTAGCAGTGGAGCACCAATACTTATGGGCAGGAACCTAGGTATATTATCGATAAAATAGGAAAAATAAAAAAAGGTAAATCATAGTAAGATACTATCCTCACGAATATGTCAATTTTTCTCTTCAATTACTCCTGGAAGGTCGCTTGTACTGCATCAGCCTGCAGAGAATTCCGATATTTGACTTTTCTTAAGCAGTAAGTGTACTCACAGTCCGTTCTGTTTTGTGTCTCCAGTTTCTGGGTGTTACTCAGGCTTGTGTTCGGACTAAGCTCAATTATGTGTTTAAGGGACGTTCAGAAGTGTTAAGGATGCTGTAGGCCATCTTAAGGTCACTTATAAGGCGCCTGTACTGTAATGGGCAAAGGAGAAGTGATTGGAGGACCCTTTCGTAAGACATGAATTTCAGTCCCCGAAATGATTTCGTGGCTCACCATCTGATACGATCCAGAGTGTCCTTATCCTTTTGGAGTGAGAGAGGAAATACTATATTTCCGTATTCTAAATGGTAAGAAATGAAATTGTTGAAGATTATGTGAAAGGTTTTCCCATCAAACTGGCCCAAAATGCGCTTCAATTTAGCCAGTGCGAGGTTTGCTCGAAAGGCATTTTTGTCGCATTTAATGTAAGACTTCAAATCGTAGGGTATCAACACCTCTAGATTTCTTTCAACTCGGAATACCTCTAGAAAGAGTTGCCCAAGTTGTAGTTGTAATCTTTAACATGTCTCAGATGGACCACGTAACATTTTGAAGTTTAAAGGCAAGTCTGTTATAATCTGCCCAACTTTGAAGTCGAGTAAGATTCTCTTCAAGTGCCAGTTTATCCTCTTGGTTACAAATTTCACATCACCAGTGAAAAGTAATAAATCTGATGATACCTGCTGTGGGAAATAGTTCATATAAGTGAAGAAGAGAAGAGGTTCTAGTACTGAACCCTGGGGGACACCACTAGGACATTCCATAGTCTGAGAGAAGGTGAAGTTAGCCCTGACCTTAAAATATTGTTTTTTTTAGATAATGAAGTGTGTTTCCATTAGTCGCTGTATTATTTTTAACTCGTATTTTAAGTATCATACTTCTTGTTTAACCTCCAAAATATGCCCCCTTCGATGTGTTTCAGTTGTGGAAAGCGTCGATGACCCTTGACCGTGTGAAGAATCGTAGGTAAAATAACACGTCACGACTAAACCTCACCTAACCTTTCTGCGCTGTGCGCCTTGAGATTTATCGGTTTGAGGGGAGTTGCGTATAGTTTAATTCTTTTGACACACCCTATTATGGACACCATTTTCCAGAACTCGTTGTAAGCGAACAGTATACTTTATGGGATAGCAAAACATGGTGAAACAGTTTCTTTTTTGACGGGGTCTTGAAGAAAGTACTGAAAAACCAATTTCATTTCCTACGAAATACTTTTCTAAAATTTGGGTTTTGCATGTCATGTGATTACAAAACTACTTGTGCATTAAGATATGGATATTCTTTAAAGAAGTTTGTTGGATACGAAAAATTGTGAATCTAGGAATTGATAATTTGAAAATACATAACAATGGCATTATTAGTTGATACGAATGACTAATAAAGACCAGACTCCTGTCTGTTATTATCACGATTATCAACAGAGATATGAGGACTACATTTTAGGGTGTTAGGCGACAGTGTGTAATTATGGTCTACTTTGTTATTAGTACTGCTTTTACAATATATCCACTCCTAAAATTGTAGATTTGTCGTGATTTAAGTGCTTAGTATTTAAGGTCCTACGTAGAAGTCATATCGTCGTCTACACAGACTCGTCGTATCGTAACAATCACCAATATATGATGGAGTACACTATTAGGCTGGAAAGAGAACAATGTATTTGATATGAATAGAAGCTATAGGCTACACAAGAATGACCACGCCTGTAAGGCCAAGTCATGCCATTCGATAAATTCAAATTAATTGATTTCGTTCTTCTCACCTTCTCCATTGTTGGGCTTTTCTCCGCGTTAAATGTTGAATATCTATTTTCTCAGTTGCTTAATGCCACTACACTACTCTCCCACTAAAGTCAACGTGACGTTAGTTCGCTACGAAATCCGGTAGGATTGTCTCGTGCCGGAGGTTATCAGGAATAATAGGAATCCTTTGGGTATAGGCAAGCTGCAAGATAAACCAATAATTAGGTGGCTGCAACTGGTTGAAAAGTACATGTAATAATTTCGAAATGTTTAGTTTGATTTTCAAAAGGCAGAAACGGAAATCTACGTGGATGTTATTTGAGCCAAACCAAGTGTGATTATATTAATGAAGAACGATTTCGTGTACAGCTATTTTAATAGGTCGCCGTAAGATGCGCAATGATAATTTTTGAATAATAACCTAACTTACAGGTAGCATAAGTATTTTGTGTTTAGAAATATTACAAACAATCATTATTGTAGAAATTCTAATACTGGTTTCATTTTTTATTTAAATAACGAAGCCAAATAACGTTTATGCAGGTAAGCTGTCCGTATGAGTTGTTTTCCAATTACATCTGCATTAGTAAGCTAACTGAAAGAACAAAAGTACAACCGTGGGAAAGAGGAATTCCAACTAGTATTTAAGTTAGTTTGTTAAGTTTGATACTTTTTATTTGGTTACGGAGAGACTTTATCGACCTCATTATTACTTAACAGTGATAGAATTTAGTAATACTAGTAATACATATGAATTGGTATCAAAAATTCTTTCAATAAGTAAGAAAGTGATAATTATGTGGATTTTGGACAGATAGCTAAGGGGAATTGGTTAAACATGAGAGTATTCGTGAGAGACATGCCATAGACTCGATGTCATTTATATTCATACTCACTGGCTGACGGTGCACACTAGTTACAAGTATCGAATTAGAAAAAACTTACTACAAATATAGTGATTAAGAATTGTTGAGATTGACCAAGCCTATGTGCCATAAACACAGGTGCTGTGGTGTTGTACGATGCTTCCAGTCAAATAAATCTTTACAATATGATGAACTGTGAGTGGCTCTCATTCGATTATATGGGAGAACATAAATTGTAAGTAAGGGATGTACACTCATAACGCATGTCTATGATAATGGCTTGAACCTTAGTCAGCGTTGGGATAAATTCGACACTGATGTCTTCAGCTTGCAGGAGATTCGCTCGATTGCTTATACTGATCACTTGCATGCATGATTGCGTCGCTATACCTGCAATTAGGCTAATAAGGTTTTAAGATATCTACTGAATGAGCAATCGGTAGAGAAACATACTGCAATCATCTGTAGTGAATTAAGATAACGAGATGATAACGTTATTTAGTGATAATTAGATGTCAATTCGTTCACCGATTTTGGTAATAGTTTCATCAACTTTATCAATCATATTACGCGATTGTTAAGTTATAACAATGCTTTATGACGATATCCTGAAACCATTATAATTAACTTATAGTGGATGTCGAGTCGAAGACGGACTATGATCACCACTACAATTCGTTTACGCGCCCAAAAACGACTTGGTTCCTTTGTAAATCAGAAGGCTTTATTAGTCCAGATCAATTGTATTTATTGGCGATCTCGTGGTATCGAAATAATACCGAGACGTGCCAAAGAGTACAGGCGAACAGGCAGTGCGTGAGCAAGTTCGAACCAAACAAGGCGGAGGGCGAAAGCAGAAGTGAAACTGACACAGTTAAACAAATACAGTAAAACAATCTCTGGTACAATTGGTTACAATAATAATAATTGTTTCCGTTATTCCAATCGTGTTCTTATAGAGACTGGCCGGTCACTACAAACTAATTATAGTGTTGGTTGAGAATTAGCCAGTAGAAAATATGTATTTCTGTTTTAGGTGATTCTGAAATAGCAAAAGTTTGTAGCGTTAAAGAATCCAAGCTACCTGATCTTATTATAAATTGCAACCGAAAAACATTCTTCTACATAGTGTTAACTTTAATAGTAGGAGCAGGAGTTTTGATTTTAAATGTGTATTTGACCGGCGACTATCTGATTTTTTAGTTATTATACTAGTGTAGTATGATAGTACCCAAATGTGGTGATTTTATTATCTAAACTGTGTTCATCTTTTTAGGCGACTAATATGACAGACCAATCCATAAACCGAAACACGTACAGCAAAAACGACTATGATGAGTTTGTTGAAAATGTTAAACGCGGTTCTACTAATTATGAAATTCAAATGTCAGAAAAGATAAATGCAACGCATGTACAGGCCAGTTTAACATGCAATTTGTTGAAGTATATAACAACTTAAAAATAATAAACTTCACCAAAATGGAAAATATTTTTGAACTTGAGACGAATTATCGTGCTTCAGTTAGGAATATGATGAGTTATAAACCTCACATAAGAAGCTGCTGTAGTTGGCCGAGGGATATTTATAAATATGGCAAAGGTAAGGGAAGCTAAGAAATGTCACTTTTTGAATCTA